TATGGATTGCGCGGCATTTTATGCTTTGGAGTCGAGGCATGCATCGCCCAATGGTTGGAGTTTATCAGGTCATCTTGATGTATTGCGCCATCCAAGGAACAGATTGGCAATTCCGGCCCGCGCCGATAACGAACACTACACCCGCGCGCAAGTTACTAATTCGTTCAAGTGGATCATTCTCGTATGGGTCACGTTGGACTGCAGTGTGATTTGGAGTTGAAACAACTTTCACCATTGTTCGATCCCAAGTCGCGATTCAGAGTCGGTGGCGACAAATCTCTAGTAAGAGAGTCGGCCAATTTCATCTCTATTACAAGTACGGAGTAGAATTTTACTGCAAAATAATCTTAGGTTCTAAGGCTACAGATTTTCATTTACTGCTGACTTAAGACAACTCGAACCACTCAGAACACCAGTGGAGACTTAGGCCCCTGAATTTATCGAGGCTTCGGTGATCATTGACAACCCGAGGTCAGCCCAAAATATAGTGACTCTGGGATTATGTCAGAACGACTGTTAGACCTCAACCGTAGTCAACCTTAACGGACTTTATTGTGTGCCGTAGAGGGGTGACAACTCAGTTGCCGAAGCTCTTGGCGAAGAGAGGAAACGTATGGTATTGTTGCAAAAGCAACTGCTTGTTCAAGCGGTCTACCTTGAACGAGGACTTAAAAGCAATAAAACCGAACATCGGGACGAGAAGAAAACCAACAGAATGACGAAGCTAGGATAGTTGCAGCTTTGATATTCTGTCGATGCCGGCAGTGTCTCTTATATCTTGATTGTGTATGTTCCTACATGTAGCTCCTGCCACACTTTGTTCCACGTTGAACCATAATTCTTCGGCACGAGGTATTGATGTTGATTGCTGTACAATACTCGAGGTTTTTTACCTTGAAAGGCAGGTCTTTGTTGCTCGCTGTCTAACGTACGGCACAAACTCTGAAAACTAGTCCTCACTACTCGTCTTGAGGAATACAGTCCCCCCTGTCGTCGGATCTCATCCATCATCTCCATCACGCGGACGGTCTCTGCCCAAGGCATCACGTCACTTTCCAGTTTACCGGCCAGCACGTCCAGTGCAGCGTTGTCAGCTTCCCAGTAATAACCTCGTCCAACTGGCTTGTAGTCAAATGTCTTGACTGCATCACCTCCGATGATGCCCTTGATCTGGTCTCTCTCAAACGTGGAGTACACAGTGAAAGAATCTGGATCAGATGGAACTATGCCGTGCACCTCAATTGTGCCTTTGGCCCCTTGAATGCGTGCCAATACTTTCGGGTTTCCAGTCGCCATTGTCGTCGATGTAACGACTCCCTGTCTACCCGTAGAGGATAGTGGAGGATAACACTGGTTGTGACCTCGACGGCACCATCGTGCGACTGTGCAGCTAAGATCTTAGGCTTCTCAGAAGAACCAGGGGTTCCTGCATCTAAGCCCAGGATAGCCCACGTCAGAGTGTAGATGCCCAGGTCCAACAGCGAGCCTGCACCAAGATGGGGCTGCTTATAGCGTGAGCTGTCTGGGAGATTTGGGATGTCTAGCCCGAGGCCAAACTCGGAGTAGACTCTGAAGACCTCGCCAATGACCTTCTCTTTGTGAAGCATGCGCTGCAGATCTTGAACCAAAGGTCGGTGGCGGAGCCACATGGCCTCAGCAACATAGACTCCCTTCTTTTTGGCAAGTGCAAAGACCTCCTTCGTTTCGCGGTGTTTACCGTGAAGGCCTTCTCGCAAAGAATGGGCTTGCCTGCCTCGATAGCATCCAGGCAGTTTTTGCTTGTGGAAACGCGTGCGGGGTGCCGATGTAGACTATCCACATTGGGGTCGGCATAAACTTCCCCGTATGATCCATAAATAGCCGGTTTAATACTATTCGGGCAATATTGCTTCGAGAAGTCTTGCCCTTTCTGGACGGACGAACTTCCAATGGCTTGCACAATGTGCTTCACTTTGCGTCTGGTCGTGAGATCAAGAGGTCTTCGACGAACAAGTCCTGATTCTGAACATGTCCTTTGTGCTGGACAGTGTCCTTGTTTGGATATGTTGGATAGCTCATATCCTGGTTATCCAAGGATCGCTTGGATAACTCATATCCAACATATCCTTATCCTTATCTCTTATCTCTTATCATCACGTGACTTGTCCATAGTTCTCCGTTCCGTGAGAGGGTGCCTAGTGTTCCTTGTCCTCTGCAGATATCCAGCCCAGCAACTTCTGAACACATACCTCGAAAGGTACCCACTGTTAGTAATTGTTAAGGTTATAGAGGGCTACGGCCCACTGCACTATCATCTCTCAACATCAGCCCATACGAGCTGAATTCCACGACCATGGCGGTCTCCCTAGATGTAGGGCCATCGATCACGGTTCACGGGGACGCCGGTATATCTCGGCGGTCGGGACGAGTCCGGAAGCCGACTGCAAAGGTCAGAGTGGTTGAGCAGGTCAACCACCAGGACAATTCTGAGCTCAAAGACGAGATCAATAAGCTTTCGAATCTGGTCCAGGACCTCCTGCGTCGGGACGCCGAGAGGGAACAGTTTTTGAAAGACTGTTTGACGAAGATCGAATCCTTGGAGAGAGAGCTTCAGGAGGAGAAACAGCGTTCAAACCGGCATCAACGTGGTCTAGCAAGGTCTATGCACGCTATTGGCACAGGGCCTAGCGAGACTGACCTGAGTTCCCAGGGGCATCCCTCGCACACAACCCAGAACCAGCCGCCCCCAGTCCGTTCATACGCGGCGGCGGCGAGCCAGCCACTGTCCAGAAGACAGGATGAACCAACGCCAGCCAAACAAGCCGCAAAACAAGCTACAAACCGGGCGGCCTTAAAGGATCTATGCGTCTTCGCGCGTCTATCGCCTGAAAGCCCGCTTCGGAACGAGAAAGCCTACGACATATACATCTTCGTTCGGGAAAGGCTAAGTCCCCAAGCCCGAGAAGCCCTCAAGGGGATCGACCATGTCAAGACAGGATTAGCACTCCTACCTTCGTCAATGGATGGTGCAAAAGTCCTGCTAGAGAACAGAGAACAGATCGCTGCCCTTCTCCAAGCGCAAGCGATCGAGCAACGCGATACCTGGATCCGAGCCTATATCGCAAACGTCCCTTACACCAGGCATTGTCTGGTAACCAACACTGAGCTGGAAATCACGACCGAGGAGCTCCTTGAAGAGATCCAGGTCTCGACGAAACTCAAGCCTGAAAAAGCACACTTCTCTAGGAAGGACGAAGTCGAAAGGCTAGGCACGGTGACAGCCTGGTTCAAGGCGGAAGCCGTAAGGCAACTACCAAGACGCCTCCGTTTGATGGGGGCCAGCGTTTTTGTAAACCTGCAGTTCCCGAAGGAGAAGAGGTCTCCTTAATGTCTCCGCTGCGGCGGTTTTCACAGCGAACGAACGTGCACCAGAAGGAAGAGATGCCTCAAGTGCAGCTCTCCTTCCCACACAACTGATCAACACCGGGCACCCTGCGGCGGCACTGAGGGTCACGATGGCTGCGACTGCCCCTTTAAATGCCCGTCGTGTAACGGGCCTCACGCCGCCTTCGATGCGACTTGCCCTATCCAACCCAAAGTGGTGAAGGGGGTAGTCCAGAGGAGGGATAAGGCTCAGCTACGGGCCATCCGAGCTGAGGGAGAAAGATTATGGAGAAATGCGACCCAGCAGTCGCATCGACATTCCCGTAAAGAAGAACAAGCGATGGACTATACCCCGGCGAATAGAATAAAAGAAGAATATAGCCCTCTAAAACCCTGCAAATCATGCAAGCGAATGTGGGCAGGCGGGCATCCGCCTACGAAACAGCACTGAACCTGGCTTACGCAGCCCAGATCGATATACTCCTAATACAAGAGCCGTCTATCCGTTCGGAAGAGAGGAGGCTCACAAGACACCACCCAGGTTTTGAGACTTTCACCCCAGTAGATAACTGGACCGAAGACCGTCCCAGGGTACTTACCTACCTCCGCAGAGGAACTGGGGTACGAGGCGTATAAATACGGCCTCTACCCGATCCATCCACAGACCTGCTCTTCTTACGACTCCTCTCAGGAACGAAGGAGGTCCTCACAGTCATTAACGTATATAACGCCCCTCGTGGCTCTCTGCGATCTGGCCAGGCTCTCAGGAACATCCTAGCGGCCTGGCAACCCAAACCTGAGGATCGAGTACTGATTGCGGGGGATTTTAACTTACACCATTGGACGTGGCAGCCCGAGGCCACGAGTTCCCCGGACGCTGAAAACCTAGTAGAATGGGCAGAAGCCGCTAGCCTTGTCCTAATGTCACCTATAGGTGAACCCACGCACAAAGGCGGCAACACCCTAGATTTATGCTGGGCGTCCAGCAACCTCCATGGGGCTTCCACCAGCATAGAAACGTCACTACACACGACATCAGACCACGAATCTCTGCTTACCCGGGTCCCCTTGGCCCTGATCGATTCACCCAGCCAGACCCCGGAAGGTTTCGGCTCGACACGATGGACGAGGAGCTTTTCCTCGCATCATTAAACGCAACTTACAACCCATCGCCGCACTGCAAGCAACATCCAAGACCCACAGTCTTTAGATCTCCTAGCAAACAGCTTACGGACTGTCTTATTAAAGCACTACGGCTCCAAAGCCGCTCGGAAGTACAGGGAGCCATACTGAGCGGCGCTTTTGGAAGCGTAGTGCTTTAATAAGACAGTCCGTAAGCTGTTGTGCTAGGAGATCTAAAGACTGTGGGTCTTGGATGTTCTTGCAGTGCGGCGCATGGGTTGTAAGTTGCGTTTAATGATGCCGAGGAAAAGCTCCTCGTCCATCGTGTCGAGCCGAAACCTTCCCGGGGTCTGGCTGGGTGAATCGATCAGGGCCAAGGGGACCCGGGTAAGCAGAGATTCGTGGTCTGATGTCGTGTGTAGTGACGTTTCTATGCTGGTGGAAGCCCCATGGAGGTTGCTGGACGCCCAGCATAAATCTAGGGTGTTGCCGCCTTTGTGCGTGGGTTCACCTATAGGTGACATTAGGACAAGGCTAGCGGCTTCTGCCCATTCTACTAGGTTTTCAGCGTCCGGGGAACTCGTGGCCTCGGGCTGCCACGTCCAATGGTGTAAGTTAAAATCCCCCGCAATCAGTACTCGATCCTCAGGTTTGGGTTGCCAGGCCGCTAGGATGTTCCTGAGAGCCTGGCCAGATCGCAGAGAGCCACGAGGGGCGTTGTATACGTTGATGACTGTGAGGACCTCCTTCGTTCCTGAGAGGAGTCGTAAGAAGAGCAGGTCTGTGGATGGATCGGGTAGAGGCCGTGTTTGTACGCCTCGTACCCCAGATCCTCTGCGGAGGTAGGTAAGTACCCTGGGACGGTCTTCGGTCTAGTTATTTACTGGGGTGAAAGTCTCAAAACCTGGGTGGTGTCTTGTGAGCCTCCTCTCCTCCGAACGGATAGACGGCTCTTGTATTAGGAGTATATCGATCTGGGCTGCGTAAGCCAGGTTCAGTGCTGTTTCGTGGGCGGATGCCCGCCTGCCCATATTCGCTTGTATGATTTGCAGGGTTTTAGAGGGCTATATTCTTTTTTTGTATCTTATTTGCCGGGGTATAGTCCATCGCTTGTTCTTCTTTACGGGAATGTCGATGCGATTACTGGGTCGCATTTCTCCATAATCTTTCTCCCTCAGCTCGGATGGCCCGTAGCTGAGCCTTATCCCTCCTCTGGACTACCCCCTTCACCACTTTGGGTTGGATAGGGCAAGTCGCATCGAAGGCGGCGTGAGGCCCGTTACACGACGGGCATTTAAAGGGGCAGTCGCAGCCATCGTGACCCTCAGTGCCGCCGCAGGGTGCCCGGTGTTGATCAGTTGTGTGGGAAGGAGAGCTGTACTTGAGGCATCTCTTCCTTCTGGTGCACGTTCGTTCGCTGTGAAAACCGCCGCAGCGGAGACATTGAGGAGACCTCTTCTCCTTCGGGAACTGCAGGTTTACAAAAACGCTGGCCCCCATCAAACGGAGGCGTCTTGGTAGTTGCCTTACGGCTTCCGCCTTGAACCAGGCTGTCACCGTGCCTAGCCTTTCGACTTCGTCCTTCCTAGAGAAGTGTGCTTTTTCAGGCTTGAGTTTCGTCGAGACCTGGATCTCTTTAAGGAGCTCCTCGGTCGTGATTTCCAGCTCAGTGTTGGTTACCAGACAATGCCTGGTATAAGGGACGTTTGCGATATAGGCTCGGATCCAGGTATCGCGTTGCTCGATCGCTTGCGCTTGGAGAAGGGCAGCGATCTGTTCTCTGTTCTCTAGCAGGACTTTTGCACCATCCATTGACGAAGATAGGAGTGCTAATCCTGTCTTAACATGGTCGATCCCCTTGAGGGCTTCTCGGGCTTGGGGACTTAGCCTTTCCCGAACGAAGATGTATATGTCGTAGGCTTTCTCGTTCCGAAGCGGGCTTTCAGGCGATCGACGCGCGAAGACGCATAGATCCTTTAAGGCCGCCCGGTTTGTAGCTTGTTTTGCGGCTTGTTTGGCTGGCGTTGGTTCATCCTGTCTTCTGGACAGTGGCTGGCTCGCCGCCGCCGCGTATGAGCGGACTGGGGGCGGCTGGTTCTGGGTTGTGTGCGAGGGATGCCCCTGGGAACTCAGGTCAGTCTCGCTAGGCCCTGTGCCAATAGCGTGCATAGACCTTGCTAGACCACGTTGATGCCGGTTTGAACGCTGTTTCTCCTCCTGAAGCTCTCTCTCCAAGGATTCGATCTTCGTCAAACAGTCTTTCAAAAACTGTTCCCTCTCGGCGTCCCGACGCAGGAGGTCCTGGACCAGATTCGAAAGCTTATTGATCTCGTCTTTGAGCTCAGAATTGTCCTGGTGGTTGACCTGCTCAACCACTCTAACCTTTGCAGTCGGCTTCCGGACTCGTCCAGACCGCCGAGATATACCGGCGTCCCCGTGAACCGTGATCGATGGCCCTACATCTAGGGAGACCGCTATGGTCGTGGAATTCAGCTCGTATGGGCTGATGTTGAGAGATGATAGTGCAGTGGGCCGTAGCCCTCTATAACCTTAACAATTACTAACAGTGGGTACCTTTCGAGGTATGTGTTCAGAAGTTGCTGGGCTGGATATCTGCAGAGGACAAGGAACACTAGGCACCCTCTCACGGAACGGAAGAACTATGGACAAGTCACGTGATGATAAGAGATAAGAGATAAGGATAAGGATATGTTGGATATGAGTTATCCAAGCGATCCTTGGATAACCAGGATATGAGCTATCCAACATATCCAAACAAGGACACTGTCCAGCACAAAGGACATGTTCAGAATCAGGACTTGTTCGTCGAAGACCTCTTGATCTCACGACCAGACGCAAAAGTGAAGCACATTGTGCAAGCCATTGGAAGTTCGTCCGTCCAGAAAGGGCAAGACTTCTCGAAGCAATATTGCCCGAATAGTATTAAACCGGCTATTTATGGATCATACGGGGAAGTTTATGCCGACCCCAATGTGGATATCGTCTACATCGGCACCCCGCACGCGTTCCACAAGCAAAACTGCCTGGATGCTATCGAGGCAGGCAAGCCCATTCTTTGCGAGAAGGCCTTCACGGTAAACACCCGCGAAACGAAGGAGGTCTTTGCACTTGCCAAAAAGAAGGGAGTCTATGTTGCTGAGGCCATGTGGCTCCGCCACCGACCTTTGGTTCAAGATCTGCAGCGCATGCTTCACAAAGAGAAGGTCATTGGCGAGGTCTTCAGAGTCTACTCCGAGTTTGGCCTCGGGCTAGACATCCCAAATCTCCCAGACAGCTCACGCTATAAGCAGCCCCATCTTGGTGCAGGCTCGCTGTTGGACCTGGGCATCTACACTCTGACGTGGGCTATCCTGGGCTTAGATGCAGGAACCCCTGGTTCTTCTGAGAAGCCTAAGATCTTAGCTGCACAGTCGCACGATGGTGCCGTCGAGGTCACAACCAGTGTTATCCTCCACTATCCCTCTACGGGTAGACAGGGAGTCGTTACATCGACGACAATGGCGACTGGAAACCCGAAAGTATTGGCACGCATTCAAGGGGCCAAAGGCACAATTGAGGTGCACGGCATAGTTCCATCTGATCCAGATTCTTTCACTGTGTACTCCACGTTTGAGAGAGACCAGATCAAGGGCATCATCGGAGGTGATGCAGTCAAGACATTTGACTACAAGCCAGTTGGACGAGGTTATTACTGGGAAGCTGACAACGCTGCACTGGACGTGCTGGCCGGTAAACTGGAAAGTGACGTGATGCCTTGGGCAGAGACCGTCCGCGTGATGGAGATGATGGATGAGATCCGACGACAGGGCGGGACTGTATCCTCAAGACGAGTAGTGAGGACTAGTTTTCAGAGTTTGTGCCGTACGTTAGACAGCGAGCAACAAAGACCTGCCTTTCAAGGTAAAAAACCTCGAGTATTGTACAGCAATCAACATCAAATACCTCGTGCCGAAGAATTATGGTTCAACGTGGAACAAAGTGTGGCAGGAGCTACATGTAGGAACATACACAATCAAGATATAAGAGACACTGCCGGCATCGACAGAATATCAAAGCTGCAACTATCCTAGCTTCGTCATTCTGTTGGTTTTCTTCTCGTCCCGATGTTCGGTTTTATTGCTTTTAAGTCCTCGTTCAAGGTAGACCGCTTGAACAAGCAGTTGCTTTTGCAACAATACCATACGTTTCCTCTCTTCGCCAAGAGCTTCGGCAACTGAGTTGTCACCCCTCTACGGCACACAATAAAGTCCGTTAAGGTTGACTACGGTTGAGGTCTAACAGTCGTTCTGACATAATCCCAGAGTCACTATATTTTGGGCTGACCTCGGGTTGTCAATGATCACCGAAGCCTCGATAAATTCAGGGGCCTAAGTCTCCACTGGTGTTCTGAGTGGTTCGAGTTGTCTTAAGTCAGCAGTAAATGAAAATCTGTAGCCTTAGAACCTAAGATTATTTTGCAGTAAAATTCTACTCCGTACTTGTAATAGAGATGAAATTGGCCGACTCTCTTACTAGAGATTTGTCGCCACCGACTCTGAATCGCGACTTGGGATCGAACAATGGTGAAAGTTGTTTCAACTCCAAATCACACTGCAGTCCAACGTGACCCATACGAGAATGATCCACTTGAACGAATTAGTAACTTGCGCGCGGGTGTAGTGTTCGTTATCGGCGCGGGCCGGAATTGCCAATCTGTTCCTTGGATGGCGCAATACATCAAGATGACCTGATAAACTCCAACCATTGGGCGATGCATGCCTCGACTCCAAAGCATAAAATGCCGCGCAATCCATATCGCTATCTCAGAGCCTCCCATGGGAAATTGCCAAGTCGTTTGGTTACAAAAACGTTAGTCGATATAAGCGATTGACACCTTTTCCAACATACACTTCATTCGATTGTCTGCTACAATGGCGGTCAAACATCACAATGGCACCAATCCTCTGAAAGTTGCCATTATTGGTGGTGGTCCCGGAGGATTGGGGGCAGCAATTGAGTTTGGAAAGCTGAACTATGTTGACTGGTCACTGTACGAGAAGAAGACACAGATCAGCGAAACTGGCGGCGGAATCAGCCTACAACGACATACCTGGAGGCTCCTGGAGTTGAACGGGGCTGCCAAGAATATTGATCCCGCGGATTTTTTCAGATCTGCCGATGGAACCAGCGGACAGTCAAGGTAGTCGATATCTTGCGTCGAAAATAGTTGAGACCATTGAATTTACTGATAGCGAATCACCGCCATAGAAACGGAAGAACTGGAAAGCTTTTGGAGCAACACCATCATCCTAAAGATACACCGCCGCAGCAAGTGAGCTGTCGCATGGTCCGAGCTAAGCTGCAAGCTGCTTTGCTCAAAGAGGTTGACCAAAGCCGTATCAAAACCTCCAAGAAGCTGATTGACATCACGAAGCAGCCGAACGGCAAAATCGCGATCCGTTTTGACGATGGTTTCAGCGACGAAGTTGATCTACTGGTCGGAGTAGATGGCATTCGATCTGTAAGTCTCGAACGCAGGAGGATATTGACTGGAGGCAAAAGAACACTGACAGCGTGAAGTTTGTGAGATCTTACGCTTTCCCCGAGCACAAGATTAAATACAACGGCCAGTCTGCCTATCGTACAATCATTCACAAGCCGGCAGCCGAAAGAATTGAGGGCATTCCGAAGTCTCCGGTATTTTGGCAGAACACCGGTGGAAAGTACGTGTTCACATGCCCGCTCGGCGGGGACGACTTCGAAGTCACTGCTCGCATCCGTCGGCCGATCGAAGGACAGGAACAAGTTAGCTGGGGTCGGCCATTCGACTTTTCAACCATCGCTTCGGAGTATGACGAATTTTGCGAGCCCGTCCGCAAAGTCATTCAACTTGCCGCTCAGGGCGAGACACAGGAATTTGCACTCTTCTCTGGTCCGCGATTGGAAAGCGTTGTCTTGCAGGACGCTATTGCCTTGATTGGAGATGCATCCCATCCTCTATCAGGCGCCTTCGGTGCTGGAGCTGGGTTTGCTTTGGAGGATGTCTATGCGTTGACGCAAAGTATTGACTGGCACTGGAATAACGGTGGGGGACTACCTGCAGCCCTCGAGTTGTATGACCAGATCAGGTCACCTCATTATCGCGACTTGTACAAAGTCTTGGACGATTTCGGCGCGATGAACACTACGCTGCTTTCAGAGAATCTTCCTGTTAACGAGGAGATTGAGGAACGAGTCCGAAGGGCAGCCGAGAGTAAGAGTACGTGGATGTACCACTACGAGATAGATAAAGCTGTCGAAAAGCTGCTTAGGGCCACCAATCAGCATGGCCAGGTCGCAGCTGTGATTTAGTATAGATCTATCCCATCGAGTGCTAGATGGCGCCAATACATGTATCCCCGATTTTCTCCAACGGTGGTCCCTTTCCCGATTTTTGATTAGTTGTAGTATTTGCATTTACTGCGGTATTATCAAGAAAGTAGGAGAAGAATATGTTATTCTTTACTACCCCAAGGGGCGATGTATTGGCGCCATCTAGCACTCGATGGGATAATTCACTGCTCGAAGCCTGATCACGTAGGTGGATTCTTTAATCAACGAAGTAGATGGTTCATGCTGAGGAAAGTCAACAGCGGGCCAGCTAAGCCTGGAGGCAGAGTTGACGCTGATGGCAAATAAGGCACGCGCCGTAGAACTTCTGGATACGCGGCCTGTTACCTGAGTGCCTTAGACACAGTCTTGACGCAGGACCACTCGGCACTTGATGGACCGGGAAATCTATGACCGAATTTCAGTTGCCGAGTCTGGTTGTCGGGGCGGGGCCGGCAAGAGCGGCAGGATCGGACCCCACTCTTCAGGGCTTGCGGAGAGATCACCGGCGATGGTCCTTGACAAACTGTTCCTAGAAGTGTTTGTTGTCATCGACCAGTTGAAATCAATATGGCTTGTCAATAATATTGAGCGAAAATTCTAGTGCAGATATCAAATACATCAGACCATGCTATTTTTGTAATCTACACATTGTCAACGGAATCTGCGATGGTGATGCTTCCAAAACGAGCAAGACGATTTCATTACAGAGCTTCGGATATATCCTTCCCGCAAAGTAAGGTGTTCAAGCTAGCCAAGCGCTAATCTTATTGCTGTTACATCACAGCGCAAAAAACTGCATAATCCTTGTATCGCTGGGGTCGTACAAGCTACAAGGGGACTCGAGAGGTCCGGGGGCGATATATCAGTATGCGGGGTAAATGGCTGTTTGGTTCCCTTTGCTGCCACATCCCCCCAACCTCCTAGTAAATCTGAGAGAACATAAGATGAGATCGGGAGCCCATTAAATGTCATCGGGACAGAGAACCAGTCTGTCGGGATTCGCTACTCTCAAGATGCTAGCCGTAGTTTCTACAGTCATTGCCGTTTTGCTGGCGTTGGCTGCGCCTTCGGCAGCAACTTTCCAGAGTGACTGCCTGGCTCTTACTCCTCAGACTACAGTGGTTAACTCAACTGCCCAAAAGATCAGTCATGTGGAGTCCGGCACCAATCTCACCTTCCCAGAACAAGATGCATCATGCGGTCGCGGAAGCCAGGTGGTCCGCGCCAACCTTTGCCGTGTCGCCATGAACATTACAACTTCTAGTAGATCTCAGATTGTCGCTGAAGTATGGCTGCCAGAGAAATGGAACGGGCGCATGGTGACGGTTGCTGGTGGAGGGCTCGACGGGTGTGAGTACTTAATTCTGAGCAACAGCGATGAAGGCTGGTTTGTATTGACACTGAGATCTACGATAGGCGTTCACACTGAGGACCTTGCGTACGCCACTGCTCACGGCTTTGCCGCTGTCGGCACGAATAACGGGCATGCTGGAACGACCGGTGTACAATTTCTCAATAATGACGATGTTGTCATCGACTTTTCGTACAGGGCGTGAGTTATCCCAGCTTCGACTCTCTAGTCTACGGACTGACTAACATGGCTGACAGAATTCACACTGGCGTTCTCGCCGGGAAGAGTCTTCTCAAGTCTCTCTACAAGGGAAAGATGACGGGCTCCTACTTCCTGGGTTGTTCTCTTGGAGGACGACAAGGGGTGCAAGCTGCAGACATGTTTCCCGAAGACTTTGATGGCATCGTCGCAGGTGCACCGGCAGTGGATTTCAACAACCTTTACTCCTGGCGAGCCGGATTCTACCCTCTGACCGGGTCTGTCGACTCCAAGGACTTCATTACTCCCACCGTCTGGAAGACAACCATTCATGATGAGGTTCTCAAGCAATGCGATACTATTGATGGGGTTCAAGACAGTATCATAGAGGATCCCAGCCTTTGCAAGTTCGAACCTGGGACCCTCCTCTGCAAGCCAGACAGCGGCGACTCCAAGTGCCTCACCAGCGCACAAGTCGAGATCGTGAGAAAGATCTTTAGCCCGACCAACTACACTGACGGCAAGTTATTCTGGCCAGCCATGAATCCTGGCAGTGAGATCATTACTGCAGACGGGCTGTACAGTGGCAAACCATTCGCTCTGTCCCAGAATTGGTTCCGCTATGCCATTTACAACGATCCGAACTGGGACCCGGCTACCTACACACTCGTAAAGGACGGCAAATTTGCCGAAAAGCGGAACCCCGGCAACATCAAGACGTATCCACGCGATTTGTCTGCGTTCAAGAAGAGGGGAGGAAAGCTGTTGATGTATCATGGCCAGCAGGATCAGCAGATCGCAAGTTTTCACACCCCCATCTTCTATGATCGCTTGGCAAAAGGCGCGCATCTGAACAACACTGGAATGGATCACTTCACACGCTTTTTCCGAATTTCAGGCCTCTACCATTGCACCACAGGACCGGGTGCCTGGCTGATTGGTCAAGGAAGCAGCGGTGGAAACTCAGCCGTCATCAGCGATAGTCTCCCGTTCAACAGAACTTACAATGTTCTGGCCGCCATAGTAGACTGGGCAGAGGGCGGAATCGCTCCGGACACCATAACAGGAACGAAATTTGTCAATGACAGTGTGGATTCGGGTGTGGAATTTCAACGCCGGCATTGCAGATACCCTTTGCGGAATACATACCGGGGCGAAGGTATGGATCCGAAACTCCCGGATAGTTGGCATTGTGTGTAACTGCACGTTTAACCGGATCAAGAAGACGAGATGGCAAGAGAGGTTCATGATAGTTGCCTCGGGTCTTGTAAGCTAGATCCTGGATCTATGTCCAAAATGAAGTGTCCCATGCCAGTCTTTAATTTTCAGTAACAAGTCCAAAGAGCCAGGCAAGTCCTGTTTAAGAAAACAATGATATTTGGCGCAATAGAGCAAAGGGCCAAAGTCACAGAGAATGGTACACAGTACAATGACACTGAGTTCCAACATTTTCTTACAACCAGTGTCCTGTACAAGTTGGTGAGGCCGTTCCTCCGAGTCATCTTGGACCTGCTAGACTTGCACATGTCACGTCAGCCGGTCCGGTCGCCTCCCGCTTAACCGGGCCAGGAATCGATCCCTTGTCATGATCAAAGAAACATCCAATCCAGTCAGCTAAATCCGGCCAAAAACAATGGGCTTATGGAGACTTCATTAGTCAATAATTCGCCAACTAAGTCGTATTTGGGTGAAATTTGTACACAACGCACGGACTCCCGCAACAAATTTTCATTACCTCACCTCACTTATCTACATCGAGTCATCCACAGTCGATACATTTACATGACTGTTTGGTGCATCCTCTCTTTTCTTGTCCGACATTGAGTTGTAATTCTGCAGTCTTCGGCAAAGATATCAACATGGCAGACAACTTGGAGAGCCAGCGTAACCAGCGCATCGATGAGAAGCACGCAACAGAGAACACCGGGGCCGGGGCACAGCGAACTCCGGCTACAGGCCGGAGCAGCAAAGGCCTCGTGCGGAGAGTCTTGATGGCTGGGCGGGTCGAAGAAGGCGGGATCGAGCCCATCCCACGAGAAGTCCGAACGAATACCAAGTATTTCAATGCTTTCACGATTTGGTGCTCCATCAACACAAACATTCTGGCGTAAGTTCAATAGTTCTCAAACATGCATTTGCTCTTCACTCTGGCTGACGCTTGCCACTCAGTATCACCTTCGGTATGCTGGGCCCGGTCTCTTTCGGCCTTGGCCTCCGAGATTCGGCGCTCGTCATCCTCTTCTTCAACCTGTTGTCAACACTGGCCCCGGCATTCTTGTCAACTTTGGGCCCGAAGACTGGCATGCGACAAATGATTCAAGCTCGATTTAGTTTCGGGTAAGTTGCCATTCTTCTCACTATGTAGACGAGGGCAGGCAAAAACCAATGGGTTGCCCGCGGCCAACTCATCATTTCAGTATCTCAACTGACACCTCAACAGGTACTATTTCGTATACATCCCTGTCGTCCTCAATCTCGCCACTCTCACCGGCTTCTGTGTCATTATTTGCGTCATTGGTGGGCAGTGCCTTTCAGCAGTGTCCGAAGGCGACCTGTCCACTGCCGTTGGCATCGTCTTGATCGGCATCGCGGCTCTGTTGATCTCCTTCTGTGGCTTCAACGTGCTGCACTTCTACGAGGGCTACGCTTGGATGCCGGCTCTTGTTGCCATCATCATTGCGGTTGGATGTGGCGGACAGCAGTTGCAAAAGCAGGCGCCTTTTGAGCCGGCAACAGCGGCTGGAGTCCTGAGCTTCGGTGGTGTTGTTGCCTCCTACATGATTCCGTGGGCCTGTATCGCATCCGATCTGACTACGTACTTTGACCCTACCAGTCGGGCAGTCTCGTAAGTCAAATTACTTAGGGTTATGATATCAAAACTGACCTTTCACCAGACACCGCATCTTTGCCTACAGCTACTTGGGATTAGTTGTGCCTACTATCTTGCTCATGACCTTGGGTGCGGCTATCGGTGGCGCTATGAGCAACATTCCCGAGTGGCAAATCGGCTTCGACAGCACCTTGGTCGGCGGCGTCCTTGGGGCCATGCTTTCCCCAGCCGGCGGATTCGGCAAATTTATCCTCGTCGTGCTGGCCTTCACGTTGTTGGCAAACATCTCCGGCACTATGTACGCGATCACGCTGAACTTCCAGACCCTCATCCCTTCCTTCCGCCTACCGCGCTACGTCTTCTCTGTTATCGTTACCGCCATTATCATCCCGATCGCGGTCAAGGCAGCGCACGACTTCTTCCTCAGTCTCGAGAACTTCATTGCGCTCATCGGCTACTGGTCTGCTTCGTTTGTTGGAATCGTGGTTGCCGAGCACTTTGTGTTTAGACGCGGCGACTCCAAGCTCTACGAGGTGGCTGTGTGGGATGTACCCTCCAAGCTACCCTTAGGTATCGCTGCTATCGGCGCAGCTGTCTTGAGCTTTGGTCTCGTCGTGCCGTGTATTGCGCAGGTCTGGTTTACTGGCCCCATCTCGGTATCGACGGGTGACATTGGCTTTGAAGTTGCGTTCTTCTTGAGCGCTGTCTTGTATGTGCCTCTGCGTTATGCCGAGAAGCACTACTCAGGACGATAGTGGGATGTGATGTGTATAACAGATATGTTGATAGCCTTGGACCATAGCATTAGCTCTCAGAGGAGCTCAGGTTACGAACATATCGATGAAAGGCTTCAATTATTCAATGACAAGGATATACTGTTCTCGCTTTCCAGCCTGCCCTGTAGCCCTCTTACGCAAGTGTTCCTGATTCGAACATAAGCTACGGGGCTTGATCTTCCCCAATGCGACGAGGACATTGGTATCTGTGGTCAACGCCGCGTTCCTGCAGTAGCATCGCTTGTCAATGCCTACTTCCTATGCTCTAGGACCGTGGTCCGCTGGGTTCTCAGAGTAGTCATACACCACCAACCATTCGGGCGGCTGGAGGCTGCAAACAATGTCTTCTACTCCGGGTATAAGGTCTATGAGAATTTTCCTTCCGATGGTACCACAGCATGTTGCATGCAGAACCCTTCGGACCAGGGTCAGGCTCACTACTCGACAGCCAACAAGAGACAAGGAATAGTCAAGGACCCCTCACCCAAACGACTCCACCATGGACTGGAGCTTACGAATCGTCTCACTGCAGGGTCTCCTCGCAGCTCTTCCCTGAGGATGTCGTTCAATGAGAATCATCCACCTGGCGGCACAGGCGCCGACTTGGGAAATCACTTTGATTATCTCCTTGGTTATTCCAGGTGCCGGCAGCTCGCAATAGGCCAGTGTACATAATGAAAAGGAAGCATCGCTTTCACATCTCTCCGAACCGCAAAACTCCAAGGTCTCTTCACATTCTACTTACTTATCCTTCTCAAAAGTCGTCTTTCATTCAGTTCACCTACTCTCACAATGGTTGGCATCGCACCTGGAAAGACCTTCACTCCTGGACTCGACTTTAGTAGTCAGTCTTATAGCAAGCTCAGCGAAAAGGTTGAGGCCGACGTCGCGCGCGCCCACGAGATCATCAAGGAGAAGCTTCCCCTCCTCGCCCAGCTCAACGCCCTGATCTCCTTGACCTTTGGCGATCGTGCTCCTGTTTTCGTGGATGCTCGTTCGTCCGAGGCCAAGCTCCTCGACTCTTGCTCCGATGAGCCCGATACCAAAGTCACTATCAAGCCCGAATATATCTCTCAGTTCTATGAGGGTAAGCTTGAGCCTCGGTATGGCCTCTTCAAGGACGCCTTCTTCCACGAAGCCTCAATGCCAAAGGGAAATGTTCCCGTCGCCATCAAGTTTGCCGACCTACTCACTTCCAAGCCACCCGTTCCACCGAAGAAGGTTGTCCCAGGTGCCTTTGCTCGTCTCCCCGAACCCTCAGAGGACATCGACCAAGTGAAGCGGGATATCAAAGAGTTCGGCTACGGCCTCGTCAAGAATGCCCTTACTCCTGAGCAAGTCTCTATCCTGAAGAAGGGAACTCAAGAACAAGCTGCTGGTGAGCGCAAGGCTGGCGTTTCTGCTGCGGACGGTGGCCCCAACGCCCCCAACCAGCGCATCTGGACTCTCATCAACAAGGGAGGGGAGTTCCTCGATCTTCTCAATCACCCTCTCATCGACGAGATTGTTCCCTGGTTCCTCGGCGAGCATGCTCTCATCCACAGCTACAGCGCCAACATTGGCCGCCCTGGCAACGTTCCCATGCAACTTCACACAGATCAAGTCGCCATCCAGCCGCCTGTTCGTGAGCTCGCCTTTTGTCGGATTGGAAGTCCAATTCGACAGCGAGTAAGGGCAGAGCATGGGCCACCTCGAGGGAGTACAATTAGACCTCGACTACCCACCCAACCTCCGGTTGGAATCTCCCTTTTACTCCTTACGCAGATCAATCAATACAGAGATATTAATACTTCGTCACCCCCAGGACCCTACAGTTCAAACCAACTTCCCTGTGATAGGGATACCAACACTTTTGGCCTCAACATCGTGTGGTATCTTGAGGATATCACAGAGAAGAACGGCGGCACCCGTGTGTTCCCTGCGTCTCACCTCGGTCAGATTGCCCCCAACGATCTGTTCACCGTCGACGGCACCGTCGCCGCCGAGGGGCCTTCTGGCACTGCGTTGGTGTTTGATAGTCGCTTGTGGCATGCTACGGGTCCCAACCGTGAAGAATCTGGCGAGCGCCCTGTCATTTTGATCTTCTTCATGCGATCTTTCATTCGCCAACAGGAGAACAACTCCTTGTCGTTGCGCAAGGATGTCGAGGCTAAGTTGTCCGACCGCCACAAGCGCCTTCTTGGTTTCTACACTACGGGTGCTCTGGGTGGTATCGAAGGAGAAGTCCGGGAGGGATTCTTTGTGACAAGAAAGGATGACTGTTTGCGTGCCGTTCATGAGTGATCACTTGAGTCCATTGATGAGGAGTTCACTGCCTATATCTTAAATTCTCTGTAGACCACTCAACAAGATCCTCCAGCTATATCAACTAACGATCGTCTTTGAATCTCTGTGTCGTAGACATCATTGCGTTCATCCTCATACAAACACAATCGTATCCGCCATCTAGCCTACCTAACCATCTGAACAACATCTTTCGACGTTCGGCAATTTGTCCGTCCTCAAGTCGTGCCTTGGTTATCCAATCTTCGAGTCCGTCGTTGGAGTCTTGAAGAGCAAACATGATCCCTACCGTCGCCCCACGTCTTCATCGGGGAGAAGCCGCTGCTGCGTAATCCTTGAGTTAGTATTGTGGAACCTTTCTCCTCATCCCGTAAGCCCTCGGGACGGCACGATCTCCGCTTTCTCTGTTGGTTCACTGTTGCATTCCTCTTTCCAGCCAACGAGGATTCAATAGAAAGTCATCTATCCAACACGTAATTGCACTCCGAATAGCCGAGTTTCAAGACCTTTGCATCTGTTAAGTGACCTGGTACCCTGGTCCTGGCAGAGAAGTTATGAGAACATTAGAGCTGGCAGGGTTGTTCTTTGCCTATTTATCACTGTTGGTACTTGTTAAGAGCCCAGCCCTCGTGTGGCCACGTAGGGGTGATTTCTGTATATAGAATCTAAGCTGACGAGAAGAGATTTAAGATGCCGGGTAGATCTCAGATCCATAATCCCCGTGTTGGGAATCTCGCTGGCATCTAAATACGAGCTGTGCATGCGGCAGTGGGGGCAGCGTCCAACGAATAAGATTCGGAGAGTTTTCGCCCTCAGATTGTTGGTAATCACAAGGTCTACATTGATGTCAGACGAATTATCCTACATCAGCTTTGAGACGAGCAATTTCTTCCGCATAAGCTAAACCAATTAACAGAAAATGGCATGTAGTTGAGGCTGATCCAATGGTCTGGGCCTACCTAATACTGGATGGCAAATTGACACTTTCTGTAGCAATATCGACTCAGCGCCTTGGCGAAGAGTGAAGCTGTCGCAGCGCCACACGTGGCGCTGCCGGTTACTGCCGTACGATACCGCTTTCCACAAGCCCATTACCCGTCTTGTACGGTATATAGATAGGACCCTCATACGGGTCTTCCACTTAGAGGAATCAAGCCACTTTCTACCATACAAGTCTTCCACTTGCTACCTCGCTTTGTGATAGAAGCTGTCAAGGGCGGTAGGAGCAATGTTGCAACTCGTACTTCCTTTCTCAACTGAGAATCCTTAGATGAGGAAGGGAAGGTTTCCTGTTCCTCTAGCTAGGTCTACGTGTCGTTTTATCTACAGTTACCCTAGTATCTCCCTTATATCTACCTAGATCTACCTGGATATCTTACTATCAAGCCGAGCATAGCCGAGAGCATCCCATGTGAAGGGCTCGGCCCGTAACAGAAGCATGGTGTTTGCTTCGGGTAACCGACCACATTGGCCCATTGTATGCTTGCGTTGCTCGACCGCATTGAAGGGGTCAATTGGAATATTCAGAAGCTCGGTTGTGCAGCAGGATATCCAAGGTGCGTCGTTCCAACAGCCAAGGAAGCACATCTCCACCAAACATATCCGCAGTTTATCAGGCATTGCCTTCCAACATCCGGGCCCAGGATATCGAATCTGCCCTTGAAGTCCCACTGCGTTACCTGCGCACCAGTGACTTTCCCTGGTCAGTGGCGAGCAGCAACAGCAGATAAACCAGCTTTTGGTACTTACTTGTTAGGGACTGGACCAAGGTGTATGGGCCGCTACTACGTCTTACCCTATCAAAAGTGGTATCGTGAGTTTCAAATGAGGGCAGGAACTTTTGTATGCAAACAATCCACATATATCACTTCATCACACCCAGACCCTGTCTATCCAAGACAATTGGAACCCGGTCGTGCGGATGGGTATGCTACCGAATGTACATCTCCATATAAATTGCTCCGTGTAATATCAGCTCCTGGTGTAGAACAGGAAAATCGATCCACGCTAAGCCTTCGAGTAGTTACTCAAGGTATGCGAGGTCCAACAGAATTTGTTGAAGCTCGCTTCTTGTCCTTGACCGAGCCCTTGAACACTCTTTCGCGAGAATCGGGAGCCCGGTCTGGCTCAAGAGCGGCTTAAATTTCAGGGGGTCATATGGATGCCTAGAAGTTGAAATCTAAGTGGACCATAACGACTGCTCGTCGATGGACATGGTTTCAATCAACGGCCCAACACTTCCCCTGTCGCTCTACCACACAAATCTGGTAGAAGTGGTCGATCTCTGTGAATATTGAAAGCGCAATAGGGGGCCGGGGTTTCAACGTAGGTAAAGATCTTGGCCACCAAACCTCCCTTCAGGAGACATTCCGAGAGGCGGTGGAGTAGGCTGATGTGGCCGTCGAAGAATCTGTTCTTCTGTCAAGCATCCTGCCGATTCTTGTCATCAAGTAACTGTACAGACATTAGTACTCTTTTGTTATTCGTGAACACGTCGGGTTACCGCACAACACCAAGCAGAAGAGCTCTGCTCTGTCAGATTACCTGCAAATTTCCGCCCACGCTTGAAGGTCCTCAGTTCTTCGAGTGAGCTTTCGACATGGCGGCGAAGCCTTTCGACGAGATGGAAGTGAATTGGATCACTAGACCGGATCTTCTAGGGATGGCGACGCTTGGAACCACAATATGTCTGGGGTCTATATCTCTCATTGTCTTCATCCTGCGACTATGGGCACGGCACAAGACGCGAGCGACAGGAATAGATGACTATCTTATGGGTGTCGGCGTGGTGAGTATCTTGTATGATCTTGCTTACCTTCCTGGTCTTGACCTTTTTTTTACAATAGGCAATCTACCTGCCATGCTACGTCTTCACGTCAATCGTGGTGTATGCAGGAATGGGTACAACAGACTCTCGTTTGCAAGAGTGGAATTCGGTGGCTGGAATCAAAGTGAGTCCTTGTCCGGCTCCTCCCAGCATGACTCCGTGCCTAAATCAACAGACTAACCGCAATACCCAAAAGTGGCTCGTATTTTTCCAAATCACTTACGCATGGAGCCTTCCGTTCATCAAAGCCAGCATCTGCTTCACGGTCTTCCGCATCATGAATCGAAGAAGATATCGAACCATCCTTTGGGCAGTCATGATTGCATCGGGGCTTAGCACCACAGTCGGCTTCATCGCCGTGATTGCGGTATGGCGCCCAGTCGAGTACACTTGGGATAAGTCCGTGGATGGACAGTGCGCACCTCAAAACATCATCACTACAATCAGCTACATGATCTCGGTTCTAGCTATTGTCACCGACTGGACTTGTGCAATCGTCCCAACCGTTGTTGTATGGGGCCTGCAGATGAAGTCTAGGGTGAAGGTTTCTGTTTGCGCTGTGCTTGCACTAGGTGCGATGTGAGTTTTTCGAGTGGTATGAATCATCTATTTAAAGCTGGTGTGATTGCTAATTCGCATTTGTTTGCCAGTGCAAGCGCCGCCACGATTGTCCGACTGCCATACCTGCAATACTACAACCAAGTTGAGAACTACTTGCGTAAGTTTCTAGCCACTCTGCGATTCTTCTCTCTCCGGTTCCTGGAACTGATATGACATGCTGTAGACAACATCGCAAACATTGTTCTTTAGTCGATTCTCGAATGCGGCATCGGCATCATCGCTGGCTCCAACTTCCCTCTCGCCTAATTTTTCTTGGCATCTACTATTAGTGCAATAGATAGGCTACTACTAATATCCTTAACAGCTAAAAACCCTTTACCTCTCCTCCGGCGCCCTCCCGCGATGGCCTTATAGCCTCTGGCGGGCTCTGGACTATTGTTAGCCTCCTCGGCCGGCCCTGATAGAGGCTCTGGACCCCTTCCGGAGTCGTTTCTAACCTTAAGGGCTAAATGCCGCCGTAATACCGAGGCCTAGCTACCCCGGCCTAGCCTTATGTTACGCCCGCCCCAACTTGTCACTGTGGCCGCGTAGCTATATAATGCAGAACAAGGGACAATGATGCCGGAGTCATCATTATCGAAGCTTTTGCTTTGTGCCACAGTTGGTTGCCTTGTCCTGCTCGTAACATATAGCTTATATAATCTAAATTTTAAAGAAGATTAACGTTATAAATAACGAGATTATAGCTCTAGCTCTAAGCCGGAAATAAATTAATATAGCGACTTGTTACGGCCAGCTAGTCGTAGGGGTAGTTTGCAGAAGTTGAGGCTGCGGAACTGGTAACAGTAATCGTAGTCGTGGAATAGTTTCAAGGAAACTATGTCTGTCAATCGTAAGGGCAGGTAAGGCTTCGGTGATCAATCGTAGTCTTGTCAAGGTAGTAGCTGAAAGCGGATGTTAATCCTGATACGAAGTTAATTGCTGAAGAAGCTATGGGAAGTCTGTCCTAGAGCCCGGCTCGAGTCCATCCTATATACAAGTCCTGATCCTGAACATATCCTTTGTTGCCTGGTCACCATGTTCGTTGGTGATCACTAAGTGGATACTGGTGAGCGCTCACTTTGGGTGATCACTGTGATCACCTTATCGTGTGCTCACTTTGGGTGATCACTGTAATCACCTTATCGTGTGCTCACTTTCCTTATCGTCACGTGACTTGTTCCATAGTTCTTCCGTTCCATGAGGAGTCACCTGAGTTCCCGGATTCTCTGCGTATATCAGGTAGATAGCCGCCGCAGGCCTGTGGGGCGGGCCCCCTGGCCTTGTTATGCATGTTGGGTTGTAACATACGACTATGCTTTGCTATATACCTAGTTATAGAAGGTTGATTAATAATATCCCTTGGTCCTAAGGCTACTGTAGCTAGGGCGGTAATAGACCAGGCTTTAAAGAATAGCTGTCCTTTTACCTAAGTGTCTAAGGCTAGCATTCCTATAGCCGTAATACCTCCTAGGGTCTTATGACCTTGTTGTTATATAGACGAAGGAAGTAGTAGCTAGGATTTTCTAGGCCTGGCTTAAGACTGTACTAGGTAAGTATATAGTCGTATATTTAGACGGTTTTAAAGCTCTTAACGGGGCTATAGGGTTTAATTTGTTATTTACCATAATAATAAACATATAGCCTAGGGCTACGGCCGTCTCGGCTTAGTAGAAGTGTTTAATAGTGAGGCTAAGGGGGCGAGGGCTAGGCTCCGACGGGCCCTTTAGACCTCCTAAGGCCAGCTTATATATATCCATATTAATAATATTTACGTTATTTAGGGGATTTGCGGTAAATCACGGATTCCCCTTGTGATCGTCGGCGTCGTCAGCGGAGTGGACATTGGAGTCGAAGTGCCCGCCGGCATTCTGCCAAGGCGCCGGCGGGCAGTGTCTGCATGTAGGTATGGCTGCCAGACGTAGATAGATTTCTTTGATTGCCCACGTATGCCGGTCGTCTCTCAGTTTGCCTCTCGAATGTAAGGACAGAAATGAGTTCTGGACGCAGCATTATCCAAGTCAGTGATTGTCGGGTGATTTGACTTTAGCGCTGGCGGTTTTCATTCCTTCGATACATCCAACTTACCTAATGCATATATGTGACGACCTTCCGAACGACCTGGACAAGCCACGGCTGAGTAAGCTCGTGTACGTTTGTCTCTGTCCGGCAATGCCACCCCCGCGAGCAAAGTCTCACCGGATGCGGATAAGCCCGCTGCCATTGGTTGTGCGACGTCAATGGCTTCAATTCTCTCATCTTCGCGATCCTCCCAACTCTGACTAGAACTTCCAAGACGGGATTCCCGACTTTCACATAGACAATCGAGCGTCGAGATTTGAGTATGGCCATGGAGATCCTCCCCCAAGAAGTCGTTGACCAGATCGCATCCAACTTACATCGACCTGATCTCAAGAATCTACTACTACTGTCACCCAAACTCCGCACCGCGGCTGAGAAATACTCTCACGGTTTCACGGATAGCACACTGCGAGTACGCGATCTCTGCGAATTCGAAGACAAGTTTCGCGGTCCGCGCTTCTGCTGGCTACGGAAGTTGGAGTTTAAGCTGGTCTTGCTGCCCCAACGGCTGCCAAATAGGACACGCTCAACGACGGACAACAGAGCGGAAGCAAAACGAAACGCGGAGTACCTTTCCAGTCAGATCCATCAGCTCTTCGATTGCCTGAAGACCCTCGAAGAGAACGATGGTCCACAAGGCACGATAGACCTTACCATCATCAGCCCTGAGACGCGTGAGACGGAGATTAGGATACCTGAAGCATGGTTCATACGGATCCTTGACTCAGACCAACTACCAACGCTCGATTGTATCGGTTCCCTGCACCTTGGACCCTCTCCAGCCCCCCACCAGTCAAACTACTTTAGCAGATTCGATCTCAGAGCCACACTAGATCTCACACACAAGCTCCCGGGTATTGAGAGCATATGTGCAGAGCTCTTTGACGAGCACAATTGTGATGCAGAAATCGACCGGCTCCGTGTCCATGGGCGAGAAGACTTTTCCAGGGCCGCCAAGGACATGTCCCTGAGAACAAGGCAAGCGGAGTTGCGATTCCAGAGCCGCAAATCACACCAACTTCTCGACCATGACGCTGCGATGCCGAAGCTCGTCCGCTCAGAGTCCTCGGACCTCTTTAGCTCTAGTCTGAGACTTCTCTGCCAGAACCTGACTCAACTTCGATTGAGTGCCATTATTGACCACTCTTTCTTCTGGCCCGAAGATGAGAATGGTTCGGTCTGGCCCAATCTGGAGTCTCTAGAGGTCAAATTCCACCCAGTCACCCCAACCGGATCCTGGTATTTCATGGGACCCCGTGGAGAAGGCAAGGACGTACAGGGGTATCCTGTCGAAGGGGTGGAATATGTCAGCCAAAGCCAGAACGCTCACAGCGATACCATCGTATTCGGTCATGCTCCTTGCCGGCCGTCGGGATGGCGTCTCAAGCCAAATCCGAACACACTTTACCCGCTGCTCACTGCGTTTGCCAAGTCAGCTGCCAAGATGCCTCGCTTGAGAGAGGCCATGATATGGTCTCCAATCTGGTGGTATCTAGGAAGTCACGTCTCGGACAAGTTCTCGTACAATAAAGGATTCGACATGATGAACAGCCAGAGGTCCCTTGGTTGGGGAATTGGGTACACGGCGCCGGACGCCGACGAGGCCTCGGGCTTGGTGGGGTCCGATGACGAGGATGTCCGGCTTTTTGAGTGGAGAACCGGCAGTTGGGAGGCAGATGAGGCGTTAAAACAGCTATTCCACAAGATTGGCCGGGAGAAGTATGGTGATGAGTTTGAAGACGATTGGGATCCTGACGCAAATCAGGAAGATTTGTTCTTTGAGGGGTTCTGCCAAGGCGAAAGGAGTGTGTGATTGAGTGTTAGACGTACAAGATATTTTCAAAAGGGAGACTGCAACAATTATTAGTCAATTAAGCTCTATTGGATCGTTGACAGCAAAACTCAAGGGCCATGTATCTGTGGGCCATTGCAAATTCGAAGATGATTATAACGCTGTGTCAGAAAGAACCTATCATTCCCGATGACGATTCGCAATCTTATCTCCAATCCCACGTTGATTGGAGAGTGATAACAACTTGACTTCCAAGAAGTACTAATACCTTGGCTGGCCCCATACAACCCACTGAAAACCCCCAACATCATCTTCTCGGCATCTCGGCGCTCCTGGGCAGCTGGATTTCCACTCCATAAGCGAGTGACAAGCCTTCCGCGGCCCATATTGCCTTTAAGCCCCAGGACCGAGCGGGTGATAACAACGGGACTCAATGGGGGCCACGGGAGCGAACAAGCCCGCCGGCAGAGACAACATTCGCCCAAGGCGAGGATTCCGCTCGTCCACGCCAAGATGCGGCGGCGCACTATGCAGACATGTGCGACAATAGAGATAACTTGCGACCCCATCTCCCTGCGTAATATCATCTCAATGACCTTATCTCTCAGAGAACCTTTCCGCCCCGGCGTATTGGACAGAACTCCTTGGCTAAGAGTCTTTATCAGCCTTTCTGTAGTCTGCAATGGATTTGCTAAGCTCAGCATCTGTTTGTCAGGTCGCAGTAGAAATGATTAGCGTCTGAAGTACGTCAGAAGCATGGGGCTTCTGATATGATGGGTAAGAGCCCGGCGGCCATTGAGAGACAGCAGACAAAGCAGACGGAACGCTATTGTCCTGACATATATCCATTAGCTGCCCCAATGGTCCGGGGAAATGCCTTGAGTTAGAAGTATCCTGAGCAAATTTTAGTATTCTTTAGAAATCTTCATTGTGATAGAAGTTAATTATGGACTCGACACCAGTCTTGCACCAAGGATGGGGGTTGGTGTCTTTCCAAACTGCACATCATATTTGGGGCGCTGACAACGTATAGCTACGGCCTCATGATCGGATTGGGTGTTCTTTTTGCGTATGTCCCGTCTTCCTCGTCCATGCCTCTAACTCCACTTACTGATTCAGCCTCTAGTGTGTTCATGATAATCATCACCTGGGCACTCAAGAGATACAATTATGAGCTTCAGACATCTGAGATGTTCACGACAGCTGGGCGATCACTAAAATCGGGATTGGTAAGGTCGACTGGTTTTTATCACGGCGGTTACCAACGCTGACTCTTGCTAGGTCGCCTCATCGGTGCTGTCAACTTGGACATGGGCCGCGACCTTGCTGCAGAGCACAGCGGTGGCATACAAATAGTGAGAGCTGTGACGATATCCTGTCTACGAGTGAGGCTAACGAATTCAAGCGGTGTTTCAGGGCCCGTATGGTATGCTTCCGGAGCCACGGTCCAAATCATACTCTTTGCCACGCTCGCTATTGAGCTGAAGAGACGCGCCCCCAACGCGCACACATGTAAAGCTCCGTAGATGATGACCTCGCGAGACTTGACTGACCTATCTCTTTCAGTCCTGGAAGTTGTCAAAGCTCGATATGGACCGGTCACACACGGAGTTTACGTTGTTTTCTGTTGCTTCTGCAACGTTCTGGGTATGTCTCGGCCATTGTTTGCCACAACTCTGAGCATCAGAATTCTAACTCTCGTTATAGTGACGGCAATGCTCCTCACCGGGGGATCTGCGGTCATTCAAAACTTGACCGGTGCCCCCGTAGCTGCCTCCGTATTTTTGTTCCCGATTGGTGAGTATTATCAGAAATTTTCAAGCTTCGTGTTCCTGACAGCCGAACAGGTGTGGTTGTCTACACTCTCTTCGGCGGCATCAAGGCGACCTTCATCACGGACTACATCAACGGCCTGGTCATTCTCATCATTATTTTCATCTTTGCATTCACAGTCTACTCGACCAATCAACTCCTAGGCTCTCCCGGGCGAGTATGGGAAATCCTCACTGAACTTGCGGCTGAGCGTCCCTTGGCTGGGAACTCTGGCGGGAGCTACTTGACAATGCGCTCCCAAGGAGGCAGTAAGTTTCCATATTGACATCATCATAAGACTCGTCTCACAGCCAGGTAGTTGAGTTCTTCATCATCAACCTCTGCGGAAACTTTGGTACGGTGTTTTTGGATAACGGTTACTACAATAAGGCGATTGCGGCAAGCCCTATCGATGCTCTTCCGGGCTATGTCATGGGGTAAGGTCATCGCGAAGAGTTACAAGTACCCCGTTCTCATGCTGACATCATATCAGCGGAATCAGTTGGTTCGCCGTCCCCTGGCTGACTGCGACAACAATGGGCCTTGCTGGCCTTGCTTTGGAAAAGTACGACATTTGGCCGACGTACCCGAACCGTCTAGCCGCTGCGGACGTTGATGCTGGATTGGTACTACCCACCGCCGCCGTTGCCATGCTTGGAAAGGGAGGAGCGGTTGCAACGCTCATCCTGGCTGTCAGTTATGCTTCTAATTGCGACATCTTAGTTGGAAACTAATTCTTAGCAGTTCATGGCTATTATGAGTACCTACTCATCTGAACTCATCTCAGTCTCGTCCATCTGCACCTACGATATCTACAAGACCTACTTCAACCCGGCTGCGACCGGCAAGCAACTAATGCGAATCAACTACATCGGTATGGGCGCCTTTGCTCTGGTAATGGCTGGCTTTGCGACCGGTCTCAACTACGTAGGCATCTCCATGGGGTACCTCTACCTAATGATGGGAGTTATCATCTCCTCCGCTGTCTTGCCAGCTGCCCTGACCCTGCTGTGGGACGGACAGTCCTGGGCTGCCGCGACCTTCAGCCCAATCATTGGATTCGCTCTTTCAATGACTGCATGGCTCTTCACAACGAAGATCAAGTATGGCGAGCTCAGTGTCACCAACACAGGCGCTAATGCGCCGATGCTAGCGGGAAACTTGACATCACTTCTTTCTCCAATCGTCTTCATCCCGCTTTTGACGTTTATGCCGCCTTTCAAGCCCCAGCAGTATGATTGGCAGAGTATGCTCAACATACGTCAGGCTGACGATCATGAGCTCGTTGATGCGGCTCAAGTGGATGTTGAAAACTCGCCCGAAGAGAGGGCGAGGGCACTACAGAGCGATCCTGATGAGCAAGTCAAGCTCGAAAAGGCAGCGAAGACTGCCCGCTGGTTGACAGTTGGTGTGACACTTGTTCTGCTCATTCTGTGGCCGATGCCCTTGTATGGCACAGGCTACGTCTTTGGTAAATCTGTGAGTACTTGCTTCATCTTCAATTACGACGATCCGGACTAACACTGTATGTTACAGTTCTTCACTGGCTGGGTAGTCGTGGGCATCACTTGGCTGTTTGCCTCCGTGGTCATGGTCGTCTTCTTGCCGATCTTTGAATCCCGAAGCACGATTATTCGGACTACCCGCATGGTGTTCAAGGACCTTTTTGGCATAAGAGTAAGGGGTAAGCCCGTCAGCGAGGGTATGTCGCCTGGCTCTGGGACCCCGCCTGAGATCACGGAGAAGGCTACGGCCAAGACGTGAAGTTCAGCTTGACTTTCCTTTGAGTTGAGCTTCGAAACTTAGGTTGATGAAATATTTCAAGCATTTCTCGGTGCATGGATTGACGGGGTATGCCCTACACACTCTCCGAGGTCCTGCTTAAAAGTCTTTGATTGTCTACACAGGCTATCATGCTGGGAGAATATCAATAGTCTACCATATACATCCTCTGATGTTTCGAATCTAAGACGTAAGGATATCATCTTAACAAATTTGAGCATTCCACAAGTCTAGATGTAAATTTCCTTGGCAGGAACTCGACCAAAGCCCACGACTAGTGAAATCCATTCGTCGTGCGCGTCGTAAAGTCCTGGAAAAATCCCGAGATATCTGCAATGGCCAGCTCAATGGAGAATATTCCGGCAACGTCTGTGTTCACGAAGTCAATTAAGCCATATTTAGCAACTCGAAGACATTTTGACGGTGCTTACACTGGTCTGGTCGGACGAGCACCATCGCACCAACCTTTGGGTTAACGCCATACTTCGTATATGCTTCTCCGTGGCCCGCGTGGTAACTGGCATCATCAACAAAAACATTCTGGAGGCCTTCATAATTCTGTCAGCCAAAAGTTCGGGCCCCACTATCCGAAGCATAAATTTTCGGGACTATTTTTGAAATATCGAGATACTCACACTTAACTCCCCATCTTCCTCCGTCGGGTGTGAACAGTCGAGGTACCTGCCTATCTTCCAACTTTTGTCGGTCGGATTTGAGCACCAAGATCAGGCTTAAGAAGCTATGCATGTCGTTTTCAAGGACTGGGAGGCGTTTCATCAATCCTTTGAGCGCTTCTGCAACCTACACACATGTTTAGTGGAGCTACAGCATAGCGGTCCGAGACTTCTGTATGCTTACCAGGGACAGACGTTTCTCTGCTGGAGACTCCAAGATGTTGCCAGGAAAGATAACCAAAGACCACCTCGAGTCCGCACGAAGAGCATGTGAAAGTTGCATTGCTTTGGCGTCGGAGTACCGAACGACTTGCACGCTTTGGAACCTCATTCCCACGCTGATACCAGACGCCAGGTTATCATATGTACCAGGTCTCACAAGCATCGACGGCTGGTACTGTGTGGCTAAACCAGCAGTGTATCTCCCAGATTTTATGAAATAATTTTGAAAGTCTTCAGTAGTGTAGCCATTCTCTTTCCGGTACGTCGAGGAGAACATCTTTGCAAATTGTCTGTCGAAATCGATGAGGCCCTTGGCGGTCTGGTGGCGTTCGGAGACATACGTCTCCAATATCGATGGATGAGCGTGCTTTCGTAGGACCGCAGCAAGTTTCCATCCAATGTTGTATCCATCTTGTAGACTGACGTTCATTCCTTGTCCAGCTTTGGGCGAATGTGTGTGGCAAGCGTCGCCAGTGAGAAAGACTCGATGCTTCTTGGTGAAGTGGTCCGCTAGGCGTTGTCCAATAGAGTACGCAGAGAACCATGATATCTCGGCGATATCAACTTGGTAGGGCTTAAAGATGCCATCGATGCGCTCCTTGACTCTCTCAGGTGTGACTTCGCCTGGTGTCGACACTGGCATTTCCATGTAAAACCTGACCATTTCGTCGCCCTCTCTTGGTATTATGACCAAATTCCCTGCGTCGGATTGAATGACGCTCTTCTTCCGGATATCGGGGAAGTCAGTTTTGGGGTAGATGTCCATGACAGCCCAGACCACATCACTGCTGTCCCCCACCATCTTGAAACCGAGGGATTTTCTCACAGCACTATGGGCTCCATCGCAACCCTAGGATCATCTGTCAGTGTTTCTCACTTTTCAGGAATCCAGATAACCGAGAAGCACTCACCAAAGCATACTTGGCATGGTATGTGCGCTCAACGCCACTCTCCATGGTCTTCACAATTACGCAACGGGCCTCGGGGTCTCCAGCAGCCTCGCTATCGACAAGGACCTCACGTATCTCACTCCCATACTGGATGTGCGACTGACCAGATGATTTCACAATATCTTCGATCAAGATCTCGTTGATACGCGCTTGATTGAGAATGACGTGGGGCAGATGGCTGAGTCCAGGCTCGGTGTCCGGCTCGAGATGTGACCTGCGGATTCCACCTTTGCCGTCAGACGACCAGAATGCAAGCTCGAGAACGTGGTAGGCCTCCTTCAGCACGTCCTCAGAGAGACCGAGATGCTCAAGAATTTCTACCGTACGGACTTGGACACCGTCTGCTTGGCCTTGCTTGAGAGGACCTTCGCGGCGCTCGAGGATTTTGAAGTTGATGCCGCATCGGGCCAACCATACTGCTGCGCAAAGACCGGCCGAGCCGCTGCCGCAAATAAGAACGTCGTACTCCTCAGACATCTTGCAAAAGAAATAATGACATTGGGTTTCGGTACAAGATATTCCCGTTGTAGGTCCAATGTTGTATCTGGTCGCATATGACACCTGCTACTTGCTCGTCTTATACATCACTAGCCAGCCGAACTTCCGAAATCAGCTACCGGGCGGGGTTAACAATTATTTCCCCGGAAGTCAACTCGTGCGGGGGAATGTCATGGGGAGCGTCCCTGCATACAACGACGTTTCCTGTGCATCCGACAAGTCTTCCGAATTCCGTCCGGGATATGAGGTCGGCACCGGCGACGACACCCACCAAACTATTGCGCCTGTGGATCCGGGTCCGCGTGGGTCCTCGAGATACCGACGGGGCCACGGCAGGTTTTTCACAAAATGCCGGAGGTTCGGCCACAAGATGTTCATCTGAAGGATCGTCCATGCCTCTTTGCTGCAATAGTACCAAGAAAGGTTTGGCATGCCAGTGCTGATGTATGACGAAACCTGCTTTGCCTAAGCGCTTATGCACCCCAATTACCCCTCAATTCCGCGCCTCAACACAACATAACGCCTTGGCTGCAAACGCAAAAAGAAGAAGATGGGCCAAAATTTACCTAGATAAGGGCAGCTAAATGGAACTTAACCAGTCAAATTCTGCCTCGGCGGATCATATTTCCATTTCCACAATTTTACGTCATCAAATACGTGAAAGAATTTCTCCTACCTTTTCACTCCCTTATGCGTCATCACTGCAAGTCTACCCTTATCCAAAGCAACTGAATCGTTGTTCAATAAATTATCACGATGTCTTCCTCCGTTATTCCCACTTCTACCTCCGTCGTCGAGAGCGCCGTCATCAACGCCCCTCTCAGTCATGTCTGGCACTTCATCAAGCGTAAGTGCAATGAAAATCTGGTCCAGGTAGTGGACCCAAGGGTATGTGAGGGCAAACGCTGATATCTCACTTCCAACAAACAGTCCAGAACTTCCAGAACTTCTGGTCCGCTCTGAAGGGCAGCGAGTTCGTCAAGGCTCAGGAAGAGACCGACATTGTCAGATGGACTTTCCAGGACGGCACCGTTCTTGAGGTCAAGCAGGAGGAGCACAGCGTAAGTTTTCATTTTGTTGATCGCGGGGTTACTTCCTCATGCTTCAATTCCAAACGAGGGCCTACCTGACACATTTTTCTAGACCATCAACCACTACATCACCTACAGCGTCATCACCTCCCAGCCTGAGCTCTCTTACACCAGTGTCGTCAGCACCATTCGCTGCTACCCCGTCACCTCCGGCAAGAACGAGAACAGCACCTTCGTCGAGTGGACCGGCAACTTCTCCAGCGATGCCGATGCCGGTGTCATCCAGGACGCTAAGTTCAAGCGCCGTGAGGCTCTTGCCGACCTGGCCAAGGCTGCTACCAAGTTGTAAATGTTCATGAGAAATGAGACTGGAATGTCGAACCGTTGAACCCCTGCACTTGCCACGTCAAGTAAGATAGTCAAAAAAGTAAAAGATACCACTTGTTGTTCAGGCTTCCTTCCAGTTTGCATGTGTGATATATCAGTTTTGCAATAAAGTTTACAGAATTAAGAATTTGATTGCATTTGAGCAGGAATCAAACTAAAAGGGTGTGAGATAATCATTGAGATTCTCCATGGTGGGTATGTTTTGTCACTCATAGCAGGAATGAAAACGCCACATTGAATCGTTCTCAAGTACAGGAAAGGTAGACGGCAACATATACCGTCGAACATACCTGAAATATGCGACTCAACTTTGTTTGGCAGTGGTTCTCTACATCGTTACTAGTCTGAAAAGTTGGCGGATCCAAGCTCTTCTAAATCTTCTTCTACTTCATGATATGCCAACTCTCTTTCTCATATTCGCCAATTTCATCATAAACAGAGCTCTCAGCAATTGCATGCCTACACTCAGCTGTTGCCAATAGCGGTTGCGAGCCAATGGATTCCGAGCCAGGCCAAATATCAGTGTCAGAGCGTATCCCACGACGGCAGCAAATGCCAGCTTCTTCGGCCACGTCCGTCTCCTCCGCCCCGGATGAGTTGGTCCCTTCGATATGTCAGCACTTTGCCGTTCCAAGTAATCCTCTGTCCAATGGTATGCTTACCCGAATTTGCAAGTCCCCAAAATCTGGGAACAAGCAGCGGTACCAGAAGTACACCTGCGAATAAGGATAGGTCGAGCCGTTCCACTTCTTGCCGCTTGTTGTGTCCTTCAGATACCAACTGGTGCACCCTGTGGACCACACAGTCTTCTGCATGTTGGCCTGCATCTGGTCGACGTATTCCTGTTCTGCCTCTCGGGTGACCTCGATGGTCGTCCCCTTGCCGTCGAGCACCGGTTTAATGATGCGGAGCGCAAAGTTGATGGAATTCTCGGCCGCGATGATCGTGGATGTGTGACCTGTAAGTGAGTTTGGTCCTAAGTGGACACAGTTAGCAACAACTCGACTGTCTTACGGCGTATAGTGGGGATCTTACCAAGAAGTACAAAGAAGTTGGGAAAGCCGCTTGCAATCGTACAATTGTAGGCCTCCGGGCCACCAAACGACTCCCAATGCTGGTCAATCTGCTCTCCGTTTCGGCCAACGACGTCCAGGCCTCCAACTGCGTTGTTCGTTACAAACCCGTTGGCCAAAACGATGACGTCCGCCTCTGTGACGCCGTCTTCGATACGGATACCTTCCGGTACAATTTCTTGGATCGGATCATCTAGCAAGGTGAGATTTTCGGAATGCAAGCTCTTCAAATAGCCCGCGTCGAAAATGCGTCTCTTACAACCCAGTTCGAAGTCCGGTATGAGCTTGTCGTGATACTTCTCCGGCGCCATTGTCTTCATGTACTTTTCAGCGCTGGCTCTAGCACGCTTGCGATACTTGTTCCCGTCATTCGTCATATAAAACCCCCGTAGTGTGTTCTCTGCCGCAGCGAAGACAAGAAATCTCTGCAGCGTCTGTGTCCCCGGCACATGCCTCAGAACCTTCTTCATGAAATCCGTGTTCTCATTGTCGACGGGCGGCAGGACCCAATGCTTTGTCCGGATCGCTTGCGTAAGGTGCTTCGTCTTGTCCACAATCGCCGGCACGATTTGCGATGCGGTACACCCGTTCCCGATAACCACGACCTTCTTGTCCTGGATATCCACGGTCTTATCCCACCGGGACGAGTGGAAGATGCGGCCCTTGAAGCTTGTTGAACCGGGAACGTCGATCTCCCGTGGTTGCATAAGCTGTCCCGTGGCAGCGAAGAGGAACTGACACTCGTGCGCGAAGACCTCGTTAGTTTCGTAGTGACGAATGTTCATCCTCCAGCGTTTGCGCTCTTCTGACCAGACACATTGTTCGACGTTGACGCCGAACCTCATCTTGTCTATGAGCGAGTACTTCTTGGCGACATCGTGAAGATACTGCCAAAGCTCCTGCTGGGGAGGCAAAACTCGACTCCAGTCTGGGTTAGACTCGAAGGAGAAGCTATACAAAGCGCTGGGCACGTCGCATGCACATCCTAGGGGAAGATATCAACAGCTGCCATATTTGGTGGAGCCTATGCTCGAAAAGGGAATGTTACCTGGGTATTGGTTGATGAACCATGTCCCTCCAAGCTCGCTGTGCCGCTCAAAGAATTTGATGTCGCCAATGCCATACCATCTCTTCAGAGTAGCCCCCAGCCCGATCGCCGAGAACCCAGTCCCAACGCACGCGAACTGACTGTAGGTAGGCGTTTGTGAAGCCTGCGACATTTTCCGTGTACCGAACTAGCCCGTGATATACTGACTTGGAAAGGCGTAGTCACGACTAATCGTCTCTCACTTCAGGTACAACTGTTGACTTTGTTTCCAGAAAGGATGAGGTCGAAAACTTAGTTTCAGGAAGCGACCGAACACCCGCAGAAGTCAGGACAATGCGGGGGAGCATGTCGTCGTCGACCTTGGTCAACGGGGGCTAGTTCGCTCATGCCTCGGCTCGTCCCACGTTGAGTCCCGTCTCGTCCGAGGGGGGCAAGCATATGCATGCTACTACGACGTCGTTGTGAAAATTTGTATTACCTCCTAAGAAACAGTATGACCTAAGAGGCTAAGAGACCTCGTACCATGGGGGATCGCCCCAAAGTGGAGAGCTAGCTGGGGAATGAGGGAGAAATGGAGCTGAGAGCGGAAAGACGACGATCCCGCTGTGGACTATTGGTCGAATAATGTTCTTGGCAGATCGGAAGCACACGAGCTATGTAAGAATGCAACGGTTCGCGGCCGGAGCGCCGGGGTAACGGAGAGGTTGACGCCACGGTCCATCTCGATTCGGCTGAACTCATCCGGCTGGGGGCCCTTGGAGACCCATCACCACATTTGGCGAGCTGCAGGTCTCAGCTCTTGCTAGGCGCATAGATGTGACAGGTCGATATCTTGACTCGGTCCGAAAAGGAGAATTACAAGAGTGTTTATTCAGAAATACTTCTGTCATCGGCACCTTCTGCTAGGTTGGAAGTGTGTACTACTTCGCATTCACTCTTTCAAGAACCCCTTACATGGAGCTGAAGGCTCTCACTTCTCCGCAGGTTCCACCATCTCAAATTGACCAGTCGTATCGTCAATCTTTTGCCTTGGCGTGTACGCAATGTCCTTCGCGCTCGCAGTTGTTTCCCTTGCAAGGCGCCAGAGCCACTCTGGACCGGCTCGCTGCACATCAGTCGCGTCAGTAGAGTCCAAAAGATTGAGAGACGCATAGAACTCACCAGAGCTGTCACAGATGACATGATGCCCGGCAGATAGATTGTCCTTCCGAAGCCACTGTACAATGAGTTCACAATGGCTTCTCCCACTGAATCCACATGAAGCAGCGGCATCATAAAGTGAGGCTGACCGGGATCGAACGGGACCAGCGGCGTTCGGATGAAGCCAAAGATTCCGAGCGTTTGGCGAACTTTGGGAGCTTTGTGAATGTACTTCAGCTCAAGTTGGAGTGACTGGAAGATGTCAGCGGTTGTCAGAGCGCTCAAAAAGTCAAAGGAATGTCATTTACCTCATGCATTGCGGTAAGTCCTGCCTTGGTAGCCGAATAATCGGCAATTCTCACTGGCGGCACCACAGAACTCATCGATCCGACGTTGACGATGTGGCCATGGTTAGTGCGAACCATGTACGGTAAGAACTCTTTCGTAAGAAGGAATGGAGCGAGCAAGTTGGTCTTGATGGTTAACTCAACGTCCGCGTACGAGCCTTCCATGACGCTGTAGCCCCGTGCGATTCCCGCATTGTTGATGAGGACGGTGGGATCACCGACTTGAGTTCGGATCATTGTGCAAAGAGTTTTGAGCGCCTTCGTATCGGTCAGATCACATTTGAAGAAGTGAACCTTGGAGCCTTTGGGAGGCTCCCATAACAACGGAGCCAAGTCGACAACAACAATATTCGCCCGCGGGCTCCTGGCCAAGATATGTTTGATGATGCTGTGGCCGATACCGCTGCTGCCGCCGGTGACAACGATGATCTCTTTGTCAAAGTCCCATGTGTGGTCCGTCGTCCAGTTGTTTGCCGACCACTTGTTGAGATACTCTGTAGTCGACAAGACAAAGCTTGCTAGAGCCGCGAGGAACGCAACGCGCTGGGCGGTATCAAATCTGATGTCTGAGAGTCTGACCGCTCTGTTCTTTTTGGCTGATACCACCGCCAGCCCGGTCGCAAGCGGTATTGAGAGGTATGGATTGAGGACTGATTTTCGGAGCCATCTTGCAATCACGTCGACTGTGAATCCTTCTCGTGATGTTAACATGGTGAAATTGTTGCTTGACTCATCAACGTCGTTTGACAATGAGGAGATGCAAATGATCTACAGTGCTGTCCGGGGTTGATGCTTTAATGTTATGGGCGAAACTGTCACGTTTCAACCTGTGCCGAGAACGACCCCAACAGCTTTGGAACAGTCCCTCGCTGTTGAGGAGCCGAGGTCCGGAACCACGTCCACGAGGTCAGACCAACCAATTTGGTAACCCCATCTGCACGAGCATGAGGTTTGGAGATCCAAGCTTCTTTTCCCTGCACGTCAAAGTGAGGGGCATCCCCCACGCAAAAAGGCAAGGATCTAACCTGAAGAAGCGACGTGATGCTACGTGGGATACCGGCTTCTGTGACGAGTTTAAACGAGTGCGAACTACCTTGCCAGCCAACCAACCTATCTACACCAAGCTACTGATACCTTTACCACCCTGAACCACCCTGAACAACCCTGAATTATGCCTCGGTCGGGAGGTTCGGTAGTTGGAGCTTCTTTTCGTTTGCCCGTGCCTCCTGCGGATTGCTGCGGACAGACATGTCAGTGACATTCTGAGCCACATTTGCGTTTCTTGTCCACGTCAAACCTCCTGTCTGAACCTGTCTGCACGTTCTCCCAGACTTCCAAAGCCACCCGGTGCGCTGTGTTGGTGGTTGCTTACTCACTTGCCAGTTACTAGTAGCACAGCCTTTTCTCCTTTCATTTATGTCGGCCGTACGGCTGGATCGTAGACAGTTTTGACACCAGACGAACCGAATTCTTAGGCACATCAGTAGACTTCTTTCCGGGTGCGTTCATCGGGTGCGAGTGCGACCGAGAAACAAACATGTCGGTGTCGAGACCGCAGCTTTCGCTGTGGGAGAAGAGAGACCTGGTCTTTCGTTTGCTGTTCCGTGGTATGTTTCGCTGTCGTTATGGCTCCTCCGTCAACCTTCAAGCTAGATATCGAATGGTGACTGACTTCGTATGTTGGCAGCTCCGATACAATTGGCGTGGAATTTCTTTTATGGCATCCCGTTTGCCATCGCGAGAGGCGTCTCAATTCGCCTCTTCGCCTTCTGCGCCTACTATCGTTTCGCCCTCGGGTCGATGAGAGCGCGCGAGATACAGTTCTTGATCCCTCCTTCAATCAAGACGTACGAGAAATGGATCGCGAAGAAGCAGAAACGTCACCCAGAGCTGGCAGACAAGCTGCAAAAGAAGATTGAGCCACTCCCTGCTAATGATGGCTCAATCTTGTGGATCGGCAATCGTCAGAAGGCCACCAAGTTTGTCTTGTTCTTCCATGGCGGTGGATACGTGGTGCCGCTTCTTCCCGGACATCTCGACTGGTGCTGGAATGCGTATGTCAACGGCGGTCCCGGAGCTAACGCCGAGGTTGCTGTTGCCGTCTTGCAGTACACTCTCGTACCCGAAGCGCGGTATCCCACCCAGCTTCGCCAGGCCATCGCGGCGCTCAATCAGCTTATCCTCTCCGGCGTCAAACCCAATGATCTTCTCATCGGTGGTGACTCGGCGGGAGGAAACCTAGCCTGCTCCGTCGTCCGCCACATCTGCCACCCATGCCACCTCGAGATTCCGGCCCTGCGCCTCGAGAACCGCCTCGCAGGCGTGTTCCTCGTGTCGCCCTGGCTCAGCAGTAAGACGACGGCGCCAGCATTCAAGGAGAACAACTACGTCGACATGCTCACCACGACGTGCATGTCTCGCGCCACGGCTGAGCTCCTTCACCCGCGATTTCCCGTGCGAAACAAGTCCGATGAGAGCGACCTCGCCATGGCGATGCCTATGGACGGCGACATGGCGTGGGTGGATGAGATATCCACGGCGACCAAGAGTCTGTACATTACTGGAGGTCAGCAGGAGGCTTTCAGAGATGACATTCGCGCGTTCTCGGAGCATGTCAGCTGTGGGAACAATGATCTGGATCTACTGGTCGAATTGCCGGAACGCGAAGCTCATGATTTTATCTTGCTTGAGGGTCAGACTGGTCGTGTTGGTGATGCGACGGTGAGGATGAGGAACTGGGCCACTACGCAGCTGAGCACCGGGCGCGCTTCAGTCTGATGTGGCATGTGAGATGAGAGCGATGCATGTAGGAGAGGCGGTGGTACCGAGTTCTTAGCGGCAATGAGTTAATTCAACCATTAATGAGCGAATAAATTGTGATCTGACACTTGACGATGACCGCGGGCTAGTACATGCGTGAGTATTGTAGTGTACATCTTGTTGTAAGCAATGCAGGGTGAGAGCCAGACTGGAGTGAGTGAACACCATGCCCCAATGAATGTGAATGTGGTGAGGGGTCCTTTTCACTCGCTATCGTGCTTCCAAGGTGGAACAACGTGAACTTTGAGTGCTTACCGCAGTGGAATAAGGCAACATGTGCTCCTGAGTCATCATATCCAATCCCTGGCTCAATTAGTGCCTTTAACCCTGGTCGTCATCCCAGTCAGAATGAGCGGTCTGGTCAAATCAGAAAAGACAGCTTCTGCATCTGTCCGCACCACCTGCTTGAAGAAGACCACCAGTCGCCAACGGTCTCGCCAAGCGAGGCCTATTTTGGCCGCTTTGAGAGCGGGGTGGAAAGAAACAGACGCGTCGCGTCCACAAACTCCAGGCAACAGACGGCACAGCATCTCATCGAGCCTCTTCACGATAACACATCTTCTGCGGGACATTTATTGTTCTCTCATTTTCTCTCAGATTGTGAGACCGGTGTGAGTCTTGATCACTAAACTACAACCTCTCAGAATCGCTTTGCTCACTCACTCCTCACATTCAGCCGTGGCCACCACCATCGACGAGATGCTTCCAGATCAACCCCCCCTCAACTGCGCCTACAACCGCGATGATGTCGTCGCTGGCCTCACTCAATACTACTCAGCGCTCACGCGTATGGCCTACATCCCATCATCATACGTTGATTTCCCACCGCCAGGGGGCTGGACAGATGCCGACCTCGACATCGGCGCCCTGCGTGCTTTCCGACGCTCCGAGGCCGTAATCGACCTGCTGCGCCATCTCCCGTATGCCAGACCAATGCACGACGGACCTCGTCCGGGCCTTTGGAACGTCGCACCACAAACCAAGGCTGTGCGCTACCTCCGTCACATGGGACACTTCAGTCAGTGGTCCGATCGTGGCGACGCGGGGCTGCTTGAGCTTGCTGCCCTTCCCTCTCACGACACGGGAGCCGCACCGATGGATTTGTCGCCGGATGTGATTTGTCTCACGTTTGGAGAGTACCACTCTTCAAGCTCACGCACGAAGCCCTATTGGTGGATTGTAGACTGCAGCCGAGGTGTTATCACGCCGTACCAAGAACGAGTCTACAGCGTTGGAAAGGTCCCACGCAACAAGCCGTGGCGATGTGTGCGGTCGTACTCTGTTACGGATTACTTCTCGCAGCTCGTGTCGAGCCTGGGCGTCCAGTTGTTCCCCGTGCCGCCGACCGAGGATGTCGACGCCGAGGTCCTTGACCCGAGCGCCCTCGCGAAGTCATCGGAGCCGGTGGATATCTACCGTGCCCACGGCTGGGGCACCGGTGACCTCGCAGACTTCAGACACGACGAGTGCATCGTCGCTCTCCAAGGCTGGCGACGTCGGATGCACGAGGAAGTGCAGAGAAAGATCGCTCAGGATGTGGACGACGCCGATGATGAGGACTTCGAGATGGACGACAGTGATGACGACGAGGATGCTGCGCATGAGGGAGAGGCGGGTGATGGCCTCGCTGATGCCGTGGCGGATATGGAGATGGACGATTTGAGTGCCGAGGCTGCTGCTCTGAGAGCTGACATGAGCCCAGAGGAGCGTGCAAAGTTTGATCGCAGAGAGATGCAGTCGCACTTTGTGTGGATTGACGAGGAATGATTGAAATGCAGCATGCCTTACGAAGCCACAGTTTCTGCTTACTTTGCAACTAGTAGATGAGATATAGAACTATACCACAAGACAATGATCACGCCCACTGTCCTACACCTCCATGAGCAAGGTTTTGTGATCCGAGCCTCTAACAAATCTTCGAATCATGCGCTGTCTTCACTTCGTACTCCCATTCGGGGCTATTCCCCTGACTGTGCTTCTTCAATAAGGTCATTGAGTTGCCTCGTAGAATCTCCGGCGCAAGTATCGATCCTCGCGGATGAGAAGCAACAAATCCCTCGTAGGAAAGAACCTGAAGCTCTATCAGCGGGTTAGGGCAGTATGGGAAGTCGGATCCAAAGAGAATGTGAGACGGATCAGCAAAGTCGAGCAGGCCACCGAGCTGGGTTGGGCTGGAACTCAATGCCGTGTCGTAGTAGAACCGAGCAAAGTCAGCCTGAGCAGTCTCGTAATCCACAGCAACGACATTTGCAAGAGCCGGGATGTTGAGGGTCCCCAGCACACGGGTAGCTAAGAATGGGAGAGTTCCTCCGGCGTGCGAGAGGATCACGTCGACATCGGGACAAGCGTGGAGAGTCCCGCTCAGAACGAGGTCCACCGCGGCGCGGGTGGTCGCGAGAGGGTAGTCGACGATCGGCTGCGGAAGGGCCGATGCTATGAGCTTGGGGGTAACGTCGAGGCCTGTCGGGTGGAGGAAGACAAGAGTCTTGTGAGATTGTAGCTTCTCCCAGATGGGCTTGAACGTCGGATCGCCGAGAAGCTTGCCTCCGTAGGAGGTGAAGACGGTTACACCGTGACAGAGTCTCTGCTGCTGGTACAGAAACTCGATCTCTGAAACTGTGCCGTCGACGTCTTCCCAGTCAGGTAGGACTCCGAAGAGTCCAAGACGTTTCCCTGCTGGTGAATTGGCTATCTGGTGCGCGAGATCGTTGTTCAAGGTGCGTGAGAGCTTTCGTCCGTCTTCGTTGGGTCCCGCGATCGATGCACCAGGAGCCGAGACTGATAATATTCCTAGTCATAGTGTTAGTTGACTCGAAGAAGGATGCAGCGTGTTTTTTCCCCAAGCTGAGAATCTCACCTATCGCCGTGCTGACACTATCCATCAGCTTAACAGTGGCATCTAGAGACCACTCAGGTGATGGAAACCCGGAAGGGTCTCCTCCTGCAGCCTGCACAGCTGCAATGTAAGCCGGAGGAAGCGCGTGAATGTGAGTGTCAATACGTCCTGACATGTTGAAATGGTTTTGATTCAAATTCCGATATCATGGAATGACTATTCAACGTTGAGTTGCTATACTCATATTGTTAAATACATCTCATGGAGTGTGTAAGGCAGTCCTAAGTCCCCGGTCAACACGGAAGCACGGTGCCGATGACCGACCCCTCTCGAGGCCGAGCTGCCGAACCCAACATCTTTGATCGTCATTGGTTGCTGTTGGTATTCCTTTCACAGGGAAGTTGGTTCGAACCGTAGGGTCCTGGGGGTGACGAAGTATCAATATCTCTGTATTGATTGATTCTGCGTAAGGAGTAAAAGGGAGATTCCAACCGGAGGTTGGGTGGGTAGTCGAGGTCTAAGTGTACCCCCTCGAGGTGGCCCATGCTCTGCCCCTACTCGCGGCCAAATTGGACTTCCAACCCGACAGTTGCTCTTGAGTGGTCGGTGTTAGATTTTCGCTAGCTCCGACATTCGTCTCTAAAACGGCATTCGGTGTGTGCAATGGCCGCGAGCGACGCGAACTACAGCCTACTGATAGTCGCTGCAACGATCAAAAGCTACAGCGTATTCTTTATGCGCGAGGTTGACTTTCAAAGACGCTTGTTGGTAGCAAATGCAATATTTCGGTCCAAAGAAACACCTTCTTAGCCAGTAAATTATGTTATTGGCCTTTCCATAGTAAGGTATTTACTATTCCTAGTACCTTACCCCAGGGTTTTCGGCATGCCTTACCTTCTCACATCTCACGGTGCGATGTTGGCACTCGAACCAGACTTGTCCAATTCTCATGAGGTCGCCACCCTTGCATCACGCTTCTCATGATCTCATCATGGCTGAAGATGCCCGCCAAGCAGCGCGAGTAGGCAACGACCACACATTCAACCCGGAGAGCTAGATAGAAGCAAGGACGCAAATATGCAAAACCTTCACCAAAGAACATTTCTTGAGATGGCTTGGTCCCACCTACCCAACAGAGCCTTTGAAATTCTCGAAAAGCAAGGATAGCAATTGGCGGTTCTAGACCGAAAAGATCGACCCTCAAAACGTCACTAGATCTCCCTTATGTAGTGCGACATCAGCCTTCGTACCACTCTACCAACAACGGCCCGAAGTCGGGTCCTCGATACTTCAACAGGCTTGGATTCTGACCTTTCTGCCAAGAAGCCTCTCTTCGAATGGCAGCTGCGGACCATCGCTTGTGAAGTTGTGATGATCGTTGATTCATTAATATCTCACCGTTTCAAGCCATGATCCAGCCAATACTTGGTTCGCAGTCTCTGATCGTGTGCGCTTCATACTACCAACTCTCGTGCGGGGGCTATCATCAGCCCCTTCACAGAGTGCCGCAAGTAAGACATGAGACTGTGTCGCAGCGCCACACGTGGCGCTGCCGGTTACTGCCGTACGATACCGCTTTCCACAAGCCCATTACCCGTCTTGTACGGTATATAGATAGGACCCTCATACGGGTCTTCCACTTAGAGGAATCAAGCCACTTTCTACCATACAAGTCTTCCACTTGCTACCTCGCTTTGTGATAGTTATGAGCCCAGCTCTGACTTGACCACAAGCAACAGAAACCCCTACTATTGTGAAGCAGGCTGCAAGTGCCTACTCTCTCTCTCACATACCCCTTCTCGTACAAAACGAAACCATCGTACACGCAACAATGACTACAGTCTCGCTCCCTACCACCAGGAAGCTCAACAGTCCTATGACTATCAATGAGGACTGGCTTCCGTGGTGGAATTCCCTTCGCATTTCGGCTCGCGAACGAGCCGTCTGGAAATATATCGACCCCGACGGCACCGACAGCATCATTTTAGTACGATTACTTCCGTCAATCGACCGCTATGTCCAGGAACGCAACGTACTAGCCGAAGCCGAATTCCTTAAGGCGAAAGCAGACTACGATCAACTCGCAGACAAGACAGGCCATACAGAACCTGCTAGATCACCTCCACACCAGACGAGTCATATCAACATCGTGAACGAATACGTCCTCCTCATTCAGAGCCAAGCGATCGAAAACGGAGATCTCAAGCAGCAAAAGAACGATCTGAACCTACTGTCAGCATGGGTTGAGGCTACCGTCGCGTCGGATATCCTCCAGCCCATCCGAGCTGAGCTCGCCGACAGGAATGGAGACAAGAAACTTGAGCTACGCCAGACGATACAGGCCCTCAAGGACAGGTTCGCTCCGTCGAAAGACGTATCCATGGATCTCGCTCGCGAACGATACCTCAAGGCGATGGATCTCGCAGCGTCGACCGTGGACCCAATGACCTGGCTAAACGAGTGGTACGGCGCCTTCCTGAACGGACAGGCCTATTCCATACCAGAGGTTGAGGGATCTCTCGCGGTCAAGACGTTCTTGCGAGCCGTCCAGCAGCGAATCGCCACATCCTGGGCAACCAGCGAGCTCAACGACATCCACAAACAGGAGCGCCTTCAGACGGGAGTCCGTTTGACCTTGAAGCAGTACGCGGACCTTCTCGGAGACCTCCTACGGACAGACCCGCCGAAGCTCCGTAAAGCGACAGGGGCATACGCAACGCTTGGCAATCAGACAGAGCGATCAAACAAGAGACCCAACCAGAAGTGCCCCTGCGAGCGTAATGTACACCCATGGACCCCGGCCGAGTGCGGATTCGTCGAGTACGCCTACCGCGGCAAGTCAGCGGCATTCCGAGGAACTCTGAGCGACGAAACTCGAGCAGCTATCAGAAAGCGGGTCGAAAAGGGGCATTGGGCCGATCTTCGCAAGACAATCAAAGCAAAGGGGTGGACCAAGGGACAGGGGAGCGAGTCATCTACCACCGAAAGCATGCCAACAAAGTTTGTTGCAGTTACGATCTTACGGAACGACTTTTCCTCATCCCTAGTAGCCTCAACCCCATTCGTGCGAGGTTCGTCTCTTGGCGTATTCTCGACTCCGATTCAACCCGCTCACCCACTGCGCGAATCTACTGTACTGGATAATTGCGGAGGAACCCATCTTGTGAACGACAAATCCCTGCTCGAACCAGGCTCTCTCAAGCCTCCAGGAGACACGCACTTTGTTGAGTCCGGAACGACGGCGTACCCCATCGAGGGATACGGCACGCGCGTGATGAAAGGCGTACTGAACGGCATCGACCTCGTGCTTGAGGACGTCGCGTATGTGCCTGGATTCCACGTCAACATCGCGTCGGAAGGGCTGATTAGACAAAAGAGCGGTCTCTGGTATACGGGATTCGACTGCTCGCTGCGCTGGGGACCGATGGAGAAGCAGAACAACACGATTCTCAAACTCCAGCGTGAAGGAAACCTAGTCTTCTTGCAATACAAGCCGATCTCCCCCTGTCCACAGTCCCCTACGATACGTGACAGACCACCAGTCAGCCTCGCGGGAATAACGCGAATCGACGTGTTCTCAACCTCGTTCCGTACCTCCCGTCAGCCTCCACCGGACCGCGTAGATGACGGTTGGCTTTGGCACCTTCGTACCGGACATTTAGGCCCTGAAGCGCTCTCTCACCTCGCCACCAACACTCGGGGGGTGAGAATCCGTGGTCCTACTCGTATTGAATGCGAGCACTGCGCGAGAGCACACGCCAGCCAGGTTATATCGCGTCGTACGTCAGAACGACGCTCAGTGAGACCGTACTACCGCATCTCATGGGACCTATTTGACTTCACCAGAGGCTTTGACGGCTCTGAATGGCTCCTCCTCATCCGAGACGAGTACTCCGGACGTATCTTCGGCAGCCCACTCGCGAAGAAGACCCACGACGAGGTGTTTACCATCCTAAGACGCTTTGAGGCATGGGTCAGCACACAGCGAGGCCTCCAGATCTGTAAGATTCGGTCAGACAACGAAACTGCGGTTATTGGGATCAAGGGAAGTACAGAGTACGAACGTTGGGCAGCAGACCAAGGGATTGAGCTCGAGCTACCTCCACCCAACACGAAGGAACCTGTCGGCAGTGGCGAACGAACCGGCCTTGAGATCATCACAAAGATCGTCAAGATGCTAGACTCGTCTGGTCTACCATACGAGCTGTGGCCAGAAGTCGGATTCGCAGCTATATACACATACAATGCGAGTCCAATCCAACGTAACGATTGGATATCTCCAATTCAGACAGAGGAACTCTGGTTCCGACAGTACTTCCGGTGGTGGGCGCCAGCGTACGCAGCGGCGCTCACAAGAGATCTGCGACCACACTGGGGCTGGACCTACGCGTACGGCTGTAGAGCGTACCCGCTCATGAGCGAACGAGAGAGAGGGATTAACAGAAGAAGATTCAAAGTAGAACCACGCGCCCATATCGGATACCTCGTAGGGTATGTGCAGAACGCGCACAACCTCTACAGGATCTGGGTGCCCGCGCTACGAAGGGTTGTCATCACACGGAACGTCAGATTCGACGAGACGAAGTTCTATACGAAGAGCGACGCCAGCGAAGCGATCCAACAAACCGAGGCACAAAACGTGGTCTCCGTCATACAAGAAGAGGACCATGTAGCCGACGCCTTCGCCGACATGCTCGGAGTAATCAGAACGATCCAACTGACCTCCAACACGACACCCTCACAGCCGCAAGCTGAAGCCCCTCATCCCCTGCCAATAGAGAAAGCGGTACAGGACGCTGTCCGCTCGAACGATGGTCAGGCGGAACGAGGGCAAACAGGGTTCCTAACTCCCGAGTCAACACCGGCCCCTGAGGACGTACAACCTCTCGCCGAGTTGACCGAAAATCTCTCACTGAACGAGGTACCCGAACACGAAAGTGAACGGGCAGTGGGACCTCGCGATGGAGAAGACGTCGAAGGCCAGTTCGACGTGTCGGAGCCAGGGCACGTAGAAGAACTGGTTGAAGATGTAATTTACGTCCGCGGAAGCTCTCCTTCCGACGACGAGACGGGTCACTCCCGACAGAACGAGCTGGAAGAGTCAGCCTCTCAAGACCTCGCGCGGCCACGCGACGGAACCGAGATCCCACCTCCAGACTCGACGTCTGACGTGCAGCGCGCGCACTCAGACGGCGGCCCAACAAGAAGAAGCGAAAGAGTCAAACGACCTCCCCAACGATTCCACGGAATAGTCGACCAACCCAAACGGAAATCTCGCACCGTAGACTCAGGGGGTGAATCGTCAACTCAAGCCTTCTTCACGCTCCTTCGTGGCGAGCGATACGAGGACTCAATTCTCTCGATGTTCCTGCCTGATCAGCAGCAAGCACGAGACGAAGCCTCATACGGGCACTTCACCCTTCACTCCATGGTGATTGCTGCCATAAGACGGATCGAATGCCGACTACCTCTGCCTCCACTAGGCGTTCGACTCCATAGAGACCACGCCGTACGACCTCCCAACTCTTGGAGAGAGCTTCATAAGCTCCCAGAAGACATCAAACAGTTGTTCCTCGCAGCAGCACGGGAAGAAATTGCCGAGCTGAAGCGAAAGGGCACCTGGAAGGTCGTACGAAGAGAGGACGCGGGCGACTCTAAACCGCTCCCTCTCAAGTGGGTGTTCTCATACAAGTGGGATACAGACAACTACCTCTCACGCTGCAAAGCGAGAATTTGCGTGAGAGGCGATCTCCAACCAAAGGATCCCCTTGAAGACACATACGCCGCAACTCTTGCGGCGCGTACGTTTCGTGTTACCATCGCTCTCGCAGCGAAGTTTGACCTCGAGCTTAGGCTGCTCGACGTGATCAACGCTTTCCTTAACGCGAAACGAGACCCATCAGGCAAACCAGTCGTTTGCGAATTGCCTGATGGGCACAAACTCCATGGCATGGTGGCCACCCTCACACGCGCTCTGTACGGACTGAGGGATGCCCCCCAACTATGGTACACAGAGTTCTCATCAACCCTCCGCAGCCTAGGCCTCGTCCAGTGCAAGGAGGACCCGTGCATCTTCAGGACGACGGACTCGAAGGTATTCGTCGTCTTCTATGTGGATGACATCCTCGTGATGTACCATAAGAAAGACGAACACCTCGGGAATGCAATAATAGACGGCCTGAAGAATGCCTACGAGATGAAGGACATGGGCGAAGCCAACTCGTATCTCGGCATTCGTATCACAAGAGATCGTGCTGCCGGGCACATCTACCTCTGCCACGACCAGTATATCAAAGCAATGGCAGCAAGGTTCGGTCTCGACGACGCTTTCGCACCGGCCACCCCTCTTCCGATGGTCGACTTCGTACCGAACGAGGGAACGGCGACCAAGGCCGAAGTGAAGCTCTACCAAGAGATTGTTGGATCAATCCTGTATACGTCAATAATGATCCGACCCGACGTCGCCTTCGCGGCATCTCTGCTGTCAAGATTTCTTACCAATCCAAGCGAAACTCACATCCGCGCTGCCAAACGAGTGGTCAGATATCTCTACCACACCGCGTACTTGTCGATTCGCTACGGAATGGAAGACGGCGCTCATGTCCTCCTCGCAGCAAGTGACGCTTCGTTCGCTGACGACTCAACTCGTCGATCTTCACAGGGATACATCTTCCTCCTCTTCGGCGGAGTCGTCCAGTGGAAGGCGACGCGCCAAAGTACTGTTACTACGTCTACGACAGAAGCAGAGCTTCTGGCCCTCGAACATACTGCGAAAGAGACGATGGCACTCAAGAGGCTCTTCAGGGATATCACCCTCGATCTCGGCGACGTCTGGAACGTGTACTGTGATAATCAGCAAACGATTCGTCTCGTAGTAGGGGAAGGGGAACGTATCTCAACCCGACTCCGCCACGTCGATATCCAGAATATGTGGTTACGACAAGAGCACGCAGCGGGCAGCTTCAAAGTCGTCTACATGCCAACGAATGATATGCCAGCAGACGGACTTACGAAAAACCTACCACGAGCGAAGTTTGAACACTTCCGAGCACTTCTCAACCTACAGGATGTACGGAACGCATCGCCATGCACACCCAGGGGCCAATTATAACGGAACACAACAACCACGACTATTTACTTTTTCATTTGTACTTACCGCATTCACTACAGATCGTTTTGGAATCTGACGATATCGTATTGCAGCCGCGCCCTCGTTCCACACGGGCGCGACTGAGGGGGTGTGTCGCAGCGCCACACGTGGCGCTGCCGGTTACTGCCGTACGATACCGCTTTCCACAAGCCCATTACCCGTCTTGTACGGTATATAGATAGGACCCTCATACGGGTCTTCCACTTAGAGGAATCAAGCCACTTTCTACCATACAAGTCTTCCACTTGCTACCTCGCTTTGTGATAGACTGTAAGACAGTGTTGGAGAATTCTGCTGTACATAGAAATCGCCATATGGTATCTGTAGCACTGCATGTTGGAGATCGACAGCTAACGAAATCCCCGACTGAGAGAAAACATCGCAGCCTTGGCTGTCTTAAAATAAAATGCTGCAAGCGTTCTTTTCTCGGCCCTAACCATATCCCTGGTTGCCTTCCTGTTTTGTACACGTTTTGCTGACGTTCATACGCTGCTCACTTCTCTATCCCTACTAGTGCTTATCTGGTATAATAGGGGCATTGTATCGTTCAATGATGACTTCCTATCGTGATCAAGAGGTCACTAAAGCTGAAAAGCGCACACTCTCTCCACTGCTTGGGGTTCAGACCTTTCAACAACCTTCTCGTCATTCATCCGGCCAGTATGAAGGACCACGATCAATTCAAACTCGAGCAACTATCCGCCCCACGATCCATTCGGCTAGTCGTGCTACGCAGGAGCACCAAAAACGACTCCATTGAAGATCCTCTCAGCTGCCATCTTGTTGAAGTAGACGTAGATTGTCCGCCCTCATACGTTGCACTTTCTTACACCTGGGGAGGAGAGGAACCTTGCGAACCCCTTGTAATTCATAACTCCGGACGTGCTAAGCAGCAGCTATTGATAACTCCCAACTGCGCTGCAGCATTGAGATTGCTACGACGGTCCCTCCGCCGCAGAACGAAGAACCGTCGCAGCTTGAGTGTCTGGATAGACGCCATCTGCATCGACCAAGCGTCCGATGATGAACGCAATGCTCAAGTCGCCATGATGGCCGAGATCTATCAGCGCTCCAAGACTGTAGTTGTCTGGCTTGGGCAGGATCACGCCCCGACGACTTGGGGCAGCTTGGCATGCTCAAAGCCTCTGGCTTTGTTCCCACGCCTCAGTTACGATCGCGGCCGTAACGAAGGAGTCAAGAGGTTTGCTGCCAGAATCGCTCTCAAAGGTATGATGTCACGCATATCCTCATCATGAGATGGAATCTATCTAGAAACCCTCTAACCAACACACAGTCTGCAACAGTGACACGCTGCACCGCTTGAGACTGTCACCCTACTGGACCCGTGTATGGACGCTCCAGGAATTCGCGCACAAGAACTCCGTTGTCTTATGCCGCGACTCCCGACTCTTCGTCTTCTCGAGCCTTGCGCGTCTCCTAGCTGTAGCACCCAAAGACGAGAGCATGCCGAGCCAGCAGGGGATGGACGTACACGTAGACCTCTACGAATGGCAAGCAATGGCAACTACACGCCCGTTCCGCGCGGCAGCGAACCAACTACGTCGCTTTCTCACAATGTAGGCCTCGGAGCCGCGAGACAAGATCTTTGCCCTGCGAGCGCTGTCTCCGGGAGTGCTCGGCAAGATGACGGTGGACTATCGAAAACCCGTTGGAGAGGTTTTTCTGGACGCCACGAGACTCATGGTCGAGGAGGAGGATAGCTTGCGGGTGCTGTACTTTTCGAACCGGAAGAAGACGACTGCTGGCGTTGCGTGGGAGACTATGCCTTCGTGGACTGTCGACTTTGCGACCACGGACTCTGAGGTGAGGGGGTCGTATAAGTACTATTACACCAGTCTTTGTGTGGGTTCTGGTGGCGCAAAGTCGTATTTTGCATTCTCCGGCGACGGGAAGAAGCTTACACTTCGAGGGGTGTGCGTAGGGAGAGTAGGCAGTTTTGTGAGCGACATATTCCCCACCAAGAGCCAATGTGTTGAAGGAAGATGTGTTGCCGATCGTAAGGATATGACGGATAAAGACGACGAGAGCGAGGTCAAGCATCACTTCTCCCACGATTGCGAAAGCCCGTACTTGGATATACTCGGCCGCTTCATGACGAGCGTGACGATCACCGTCTGGGCCGGGCCGAAGCTGGATGCCATGGGCCGCAGTCTCTACGAGTTGCTATGGTGGATCATTCAAGGGCCAAATGGTCGGCGTCCATGTCATCAACATCAACATCTTCCTCATCTTCCTCATCTTCAAACAAGGCGGCTCGAGGCATGTCAGTCGTCTCCTCGCTCGTCAAGTGGGACTCGCTGCGTTGCGGGTGCCAGTGCCGAGTGGAACTACGATTGGGACGATTATTTTACACTATCGATCGAAAGGCTGGATTTGGAGTCGTTGGTGTTCGGGAAGGTGATACGGTGTGTCTTCTTGCTGGGATGGATCATCCCTTCATCTTGAGGCCTTGTAAAGGTGAAGCTGGGAGATATACGATAGTGGGGCCAACGGTGTTTGCTGGTGCGATGAGTGGTGAGATGTGGCCGGCTGATGAGGATGAGCTGGAGTACTTTGAGATTGTGTAAGAGATTATGTCCACGGTGTCAGAGTCCATGACATATTCTCCTCAGATTTTCAAGATCAGAGAAGTTGAGAACTAACGTTAGGTGGTGATTACACCGGTCTGTTAGAGTGAATGAGGTATGAAGCCCGGTAGGATGTTCTCTACTTTCGTCAAGAGACGCGCCGAAACTCGGTCCCTTCGTCCCTTGGCCTGGCAGGCTCTGTAATCAGACCTCTAGAAAGAATTGAGAAGGCCTTCGAGAGGGACCGGGCACTAGCTTTGGGAATTGAGTCTGACAATCCAGCATCGGACCTTTGCTTCGGGTAGTCCGACCGAGTCAATCACCTGAAGAACACCTGCTTGACTTTCAATTCTCCAAGCGTGGCGTACGAACCATCTTGTAGTCTTTCCTCAACCCCAGCTTCAAGAATAAATAAGAAGCAACAGCCCTGTCGAGGCTGACAACAAATGACGTTGTACTGGAGTTCTCCGTGTGCGTGTGTGCGTTTGCCCCTCTTTGTACAACACATCAACTTACCAACAACCATTTCTCTCTTCTTGCCCCGCCACTAAGCCTCGTCTCGGAGCCTCACTTTAGGGGTGTTGCCAGTTGAAGAGGTGGGTTAATTGACTTTAGGCTGTGCCTTCATGCAAGATTATCCCTGACTCACATCAACCTAGGATGAATGGTCTTTGGAAAAGTGCCCCCCCGCCGCCGATGATGAAAGTACGGTTCGGACGACTCTGAAACCCCAACTGAAGCACCTCAAAGGCCGCCATACGGCCCCTCCAACCGGAACCAACACCAAGTTGCCAACCCTCTTCTGCGGAAATCTCATCGGCCTCATCCCGGTACGGCACCCAAACATCCGATCCAGAGTTCCTCTCCCGCTTCCCACATGATCATGCGGGAAGCTCCTGGAAGTGTAATGCGAGTTGGGCTATTGGACGTTGAGAAGATAGTTAGGGTATAGTAGATTCTCTCTATGGCCACTGATATATGGGCCAGTCTGTGCCCGCATGAAAGACGTTACATCGAATGACATCTTTCCCTTCTCTTCGCCCCGCACCTCTGCTTCTGCGCTCTCATTCCTTCCATCCCATCTTTTGCTCATCGCAGTCTTGGCGCTTTTACGCGCATAACGCATTTTCCTCACGAGCTTCCATCATCAGGCCGGCGAAAAAAGAAAAATGGTGAGACTCACAAGTTGGCTTCTCCTCTCAGCATGGGGAGCCGCCTTCGTATCGGGGCAAGGCCTCCACGAGCTGGCCGTAAAGTCCGGGAAACTCTTCTTCGGAACGGCGACGGACACAAACCTTTTCAACGATGTAGCGTACATGGCGGTCCTAAACAAAACGGGCGAGTTCGGCCTCGTGGTGCCGGAGAACAGCCAGAAATGGGACGCGACGGAGAAGATGCAGAATGACTTCCAGTTCAAGAACCCAGATGCCGTACGAGCCGTCGCGCAGGCAAATAAGCAGATGATGAGGTGCCATGCTTTGACATGGCACTCTCAACTCCCACAATTCGGTGCGTTCCTCGTCGTACTCACTCAAACCTCGCGCCAATATTGACCAAGATCAGTCTCAACGGGAACCTGGACCCCAGAAACCCTCACCCCCGTAATCCAAGCACACATCTCAAACGTGGTAACGCACTACAAAGGCGCCTGCTACTCCTGGGACGTCGTCAACGAAGCCCTCGCCGACAACGGCACCCTTCGCGACAGCGTCTTCTCCCGCACCCTCGGCGCAGACTTCATCCCCATCTCCTTCAAGGCCGCCGCGGCAGCTGACCCAGCCGCGAAGCTGTACTACAACGACTTCAGCCTCGAGTTCAACTCCAACAAGACGGACGGCGCCGTCAAGATCGTGCAGGACCTCAAAGCCGCAAACGTGAAGATCGACGGCATCGGGTTCCAGGCGCATTTCCAGGTCGGCAAGACGCCGTCGCAGGATACGCTGAACAGAGTCATGACGCGCTTCACGGATCTGGGGCTGGAAGTCGCACTTACGGAGTTGGATGTACGGCACGATAAGTTGCCTGCCGATGATGCTGCGGTACAACAGCAGGCCAAGGACTACGGCACCGTCGTCAAGACGTGCGTAGATAACGCCAAGTGCGTCGGCGTCGTGGTGTGGGAGTTTACGGATAAGTACAGCTGGATCCCGTCCACATTTTCAGGGGCCGGGGACGCGTGCTTGTTCGATAAGGATATGAAGCCCAAGCCGGCGTATGCAGCCGTCGCGGCGGCGCTGGGAGGGGCAGCATCAGCACCGGTGGCAGCACCGGCGCCGGCGGCTGGAGCCCAGGGCGTGCTGTCGTCGGGAAGCAGTGCATTTAGTGCCGGGGCCGGGGTTGGGGCCACCGATGCCGATGCCGGGACCGAATCCGAGGCCGATGCCGACAGCGGAGCGGGGGCATCTTCAAAATCAAAGGCGAAGAGCAATGTGGAGGCAGCGACCAAGTCACCTTCCTCTTCGGGAACAGGTCGCTTCGAAGCCGTGCTGCTGATTTCGCCGCTGATAGCCACCGGTATCGGCTGGCTCTTTTGGTTGGTGATATGATCTCTAGACACTTTTTCTTGTTACTAAGCTTTTCCTGATGGCACGATTTTAATACCAATTGATATATCTCCCGGATCTTCCTCGTCCCAGACTTTTGATGTTGTCGAGAGCAAATCATTGGGAATTGACGTGCTTCGGCTGCGACGTTGCGTGTGTCAATGGGAGCCCGGTGCGCGGGTGGTGTAAGTGAGGAGATGGATGATGTCATGCTCCCTGCCGGCAACCTCCACTGATAAAAAGAGACCGGGGGGGCTGGTCAAACGATTATGTATCGGGATGATGCGATTTCAAAGCCAAGAGGGGAAAGAGAAATTCTGCCAAAAGACTGCGGTTCCCACCAATTGAGCTGTTGCAGACAATAGTTCGATTGAGCTGTGAATAGCATCACGACGTGGGAGTAATTCAACTAGCCAGAACCAGTGTTTCTGAATAGATTCATCATGGTGTACCTTAAGACACTAGTCGCCGCTGCCGCCGGCGCAGGCTTAGCCCAAGCTTCGCTCTCCGGCCTCGACAAGATCCCGCCTCTGGGCCTGGGAACATGGCTGTCCGACAAGAGCAAAGTCGCCGACGCCGTTGCCTTCGCCGTGGGCGAGGTAGGCTACAACCACATTGATGCCGCTCTCATCTACAGTAAGTCACTCTCATATTCACATGCTCCCTAGCATGCTCACGCGAGTCAAACAACTCACACGAGTCATCCATCCTCTCACCTCAAGCTCAAGATCGAGATCCCACAACTAACCACTACCCCAGGAAACGAAGACCAAACCGGCAAAGGCCTCGCCTCCTCCGGCGTCGCCCGCAAAGACATCTGGATCACCTCCAAACTCTGGAACACAGACCACCGCGCCGACCGCGCCGCCTCCGCCATCAAAAAGTCCATCTCCGACCTGGGCGTAGACTACCTCGACCTCTACCTAGTCCACTGGCCCGTCGCCTTCATCCCAGACGACCCCAACAACGCCCTCGACCGCGAGACCACCCTCGTCGACACCTGGAAGACCCTCGAAGGCTTCGTCAAGGCCAACCTGACCCGCCACATCGGCCTCTCCAACTTCGCCAAAGCCGACGTCGAGACGATCCTCAAGGCGGCGGAAATTAAGCCCTACGCCCACGAGTTTGAAACACACCCGTACCTCCAACAGCAAGAGTTCGTAGACTGGCATAAGGAGAAGGGCATCGAGGTCATCGCCTACTCCCCGCTCGCCAACACGAACCCCACCTACAGCGACGACCTGCCCGCCATCTACCAGGACAAGTTCTGGGTCGACGTCGCGGCCAAGAAGGGCGTTTCCGTCTTCCAGGCCGTGCTGGCGTGGGGTGTCCAGCGGGGCACGAGCGTGATTCCAAAGAGCACAAAGGACTCGCACATCATCTCGAACCGCAAGGCACTTGAGATTGAGTTCAGTGAGGAGGAGCTCAAGGAGATTGGCAAGCAGGATAAGAAGCATCGCTTGAGTAACCCGGGTGCCAAGTGGGGTGTCAAGCTGTTTGCCGATTTGGATGATCCTGGCAGGAATGAGCCCACGAGCGAGGAGCTTTAAGCAACTTGTGAAAATGAAATGTTGAGATTATTGAGAGCTATCTAGTGTTATCCAGTCTAGTACTCCAGGATGTATTTACGCAAATCTGTCTTGCATATCTCGCAGGTACTCTGCCTAGATAAATCCAAATTGCTGGCCGTCGATAACCGCTTCCGCTTCAGTAAATGGTACACATCGTGCTAGCCGTTTGGTCAATGGTCGGCCCGGTTGCAATGGGCATAATACTTCCTCCTAGCCCAATAAAACCCAAGCCCGACAACCCACAAAACGATCAAGATGAGCGCTTGTACGGGAGCAAAGATGGCGCCCCTCACAACCACAAGCCCACTGACCAGCGCAAAGACAATCGGGATCAGCACAAACGGCCTATACGGTCTCCGCAGCTTCGGCTCCCGAACGCGCAGGATAACCGCACCCAGAACCGTCAAAAAGAAGAACGTGTACTCGCCCAGACCGTTGAACGTCAACAGAGCGCGGAAGTTGCCGAACAGAATGTACAGCGCCGAGAGGATTGTCGAGAGCAAGAGCGCATTGAGCGGCGCGTCGGACCTTGCGTGCGCGGGTCCGGAGGATTCGTCCGTTGAGTCAGCTGGTGAGCTCTCCTCCGACTTGAAGCCCACACGGCCTACGAAGCCGAGGAACTTGGGTAGCCAGTTGAAGTTTGACGCGGCGACGGTCATACGGCCTGCGACGAAGGAGTTGCCGAGAAGGGAGCCCGCGACGACGAGGCAGATGAGGACGGCTGCGACAATGCCGAAGATCGGGCCGAGGAGGCGGTTGATGGCAGTCTGGCTGCTGTGAGTACGGGGTTTTCGTCGAGGAAGCAGATCAAGGTAAGACTTACGACTGCCACGCTGTCGGTCGCGGCCACAACATCCCAGGGAAGGAGAATGTAGTACGCTGCGTTGGCCGCGATGAAGCATAGAATGATTGTCGGCACGGCGGTGTTGATGGCGAGGGGGAGCTGGCGTGCCGGCTGCTGAAGCTCAGCAGAAACGTAGACGGCCTTGAAAGTGTGAGATAGTGTCTGCCCAGATACCGACAGGGTGGAAGAACTCACCTTATCCCAACCAGAGTACGCCCAGAGAGCACCGTACAGTGCAGCCGAGTAGTACCCAAGCATATCCCACGTACCGACCTTATTCCAGTCCAGCTCGCCGCCACCCGGCAGTGACGTCTTGCGGTTCCCGAACCAAGGCTTGTTAAACCAGTCGCGACCACCAACATCACGGTCATGGTCTGAGACTTGAAGGATGACGACGACGATTCCTGCAAGTACAACGGCAAAGATACTGGTAAATTTGGTCACGACAAACAAGTTGTTCAGGCGCGTGCTGGCCTTGGTGCTGATGGAGTTGGCACCGTTCATGACGACGAGGATCAGGATCGAAAACAGCTTGTGCGAGAGAGCGCCGGCCTGATCAGTCACCCCGCCGGCGGAGTAGATGCTCTCGACGAAGACGATGCTGAGGATAGCGAGGGTGGCCGGCATGACGGCCACAATCCAGGTCCAGGCGGCAAGGAAGCCAAAGATGTCACCGTAGATGTGCTGCAGGAAGGGTTGTACGCCGCCTATCTACAAAGTCAACACTCTCTTACCATACAGAGCCTCAGCAGGGAGTTGACTTGCCTTCACCTGGGATCGCGGTCCCCAGCTCGGCCATGGTACTCGCACCGGTCCACGCCAGAACACCACCGACAAGCCATACTACCAGCGCGGCGCCGGGTGACGGAACATTTGTATCGATGGAACCTGGAGAGGTAAACACGCCGCTGCCGATAACGATGCTGATGACAATGGCAAACGCCTCGACAGCGCCAAGGTTTTTCGAAAAGGTACCAGCCCCGCGCTCCTCGGCGATGAGCACCGGAGGGTCGGGCCCGTCAGTGCCGCCGTACTCATGATGGGGGTCTGCCAAGAGGGGCCGTTCCGCGGCGTCTTCGGATCGAGTGTTGGACGGCATCTTCCCGTTTTCGTATGGTTGCCAGTGAAGGACCGTTGCCAATTGGATGGGGAGGTCCGGATAGATGTCGAGGGAGGGAGGGACAGGGAGCTCGGGAGCTTGGAGCTTGAAGCTTGGAGCTTGGAGTCACTCAACGACCTAAACAGGGATAGCGCCGTTTGTGCCTCAGTGAGTAGTGAGCTCATCCTCAGGCGGTACGTATCTCGATCAGTAGTGGTCCAAGCGCTGATTGGAAACTCGGGTCCGCTTTTATCCTTGACCCGGGCAGCGACCCATTTTCCTCAGTCCAGACGGTCCACTTGGGCCAGCCACATCGATTGGAGGTACGTACCGAATGCCGCTCCTCCGCACCGAGAGGTTCCCATCCCGCCGTCAAACGTGGCGAATCCGGAGTCGAATCCGCCGGAGTGCAAGCCGTCGGACATGACTCCGCCGGGCTCGTGCCTATCTTGCATAGAAAGGATGAGTGCATCGGTACGGTTGTACTACGAAAGCTGGCTAGCATGGTGCAGAGCTTGTCGTCTCTCCGCTCATATCTAATGTTCCATGAAAGGAAGGGAGTCCGCTGTTCCGTGGCAAAGCCAAACAGACTTGGTATCTAGCGCGTGGAATACGCGAGGGCGCTAATTACGAATATCATTGAGCAAGTACGCAAGCACTCTAGATGAAAAGTAGGCTTGATCAACATCGTAGTATGCAACATGTTGCTCCCCGAAGATCCCCAGTGTATCGTCGAGACTCTCCACTATAGAGCCGACGGCGCGATACACATAAGGCTCCAGCTTAGCTACCGCAAGCGCGGACTGAAGAGTCACGGAAACGCCCTCCCTGGACTGTTGTGATCGCGGCAATTGGCGACCGAGCGAGCCCAGGGCGGTAGCCATGCGAACCTGCTTGTCAGACCACACACGGGTAGACGATGAGACAGAGACATCTTGGGGCTCGCTGGATGATGTCAACGGCACGGCCTCGCACGACGGGAGCGGCGAAGTCTGCTTCTGTTGAAAGAAGACGACGAAATCACCGCCATACATCTGCAGCGGCGCCCACAGCAGCCCAGATATGGTGCGCCCACCGGGGATCCCTATTTCAGGTAGCTCGGCCGGCACGTCGGATGAGACGATGACAGATTGACTCCGGTATGGCTGAATAGCCCGCACGATAGCCATCGCCTCTGCGTACGACTCCTCGCTCGGCTCGCCGAGTCGACCAATCTCTCCCGTGGTAGACATCAAAGCAAAGTCTGCGTCAAAGAGACGCAACAGATCCCGTGATGCCGCAGCGCTCTCGCCGGGCCGTTGGATTGGCTCGTGTCGTGTCCGTGATAGTTCGGCGTTGCCCAACATTGAGGCGTATGATAGCCTCTCGACAGCGCAGCCGGATGTGCTTCCAACGAATTCGCAAACTTGGCGCTTTGGTATGGATATCCGCATACCCTCGGGTCGGTAGGCGTGACAGATCACGAGACCCCATCGTCTCCCAAAGGCATTGATCGGTACGGCCATGGATGAGCGAGCATTACTGTCCTCGGCTTGAAGTTCGTCGAAGAAGGTCGGAAAATCAGCATTGAGATACGATTGGCCCAAATCTATCGGCTGAAGTTGGGGAAAAGTTTCCTTCTTGTAGACAAGCCTCGCGGGTGGCGCGTCGCGATCGTGTAAAAGCCTGAGCTGGCTCGGAAAGGGCAAGGAATGGAACTCGTCCCCGGCACGATGGGAGCCCCTGAGATGTATGCATCGATGCGATCTGCCTGATTCCTTGTCAGAAGAGTCAAGTATCATTACGGCCATGAACTCGTCAACACGATACAATACGACTCTGTCGAAGTCTGTGACCTCTTTCACCGTGGCCACGATGGTGTCGGGGACGGCCGCCAAATCTGCCATGGCAGCGAAGGACGCTTGTATCTGTGACATTATCCCAATTGCTTGCATGGTGTTGAACTCCCCGCCTTCGTTTCCGATCCTTCGAGCCATTCGAGAAGTCTTTGTGGCAACGTCAGTTGTGTGACTCTTGAGCTCCGTGAGCGAGATTGAGGCGTCGTCCGGGGGCTCGAATTCGCAAACAACCAGACTCAATCCTAGAGAGCTCCTGCTCAGGTGCACTGAGCACCAGAACTGTGCGGCTTCGCCTTCCTTCGTGAGAAGCGAGAGACTGAAGACGGCACGACCGCCAGTGCTCCTTGCAGCTCTCCCCTCCCTGAGAAAGCCTAGCCGGACGATCAGGGTCTCCACATCGTCCGGCCCAAAGATGCTCCCCAAGTCCCTCAACTCAAACAGCTCAGCCGGGGAGTATCCAGTAAACAGAACCGAGTTGTCGCTTGCGCAACTGACTTTCAGGCGGCTTACATCATCCTCGGTGAATGCTATCAGGAACCCAAAGCCTTGGATGGTATTTGACACGGGAGTCTCGGTGGTAGTCTCGACATTTCGGGATAGTTGGACATCGTCTTCGCTTGGGCGTGCAGGCTGGGCCATAGCCGGCCCGGATGACTTGAAGAAGTCGCTTTTCTAGCTTGCCTGCCGCATGTGATGTCGGTGGACAGCCGTGTTGATGCTTGTCTGAATGCTGGCGACAGAGAGTAAAGGCGAACTTTGCGCGGAGACTGCCTGCGCGTGATATGTTGGTGTAATTGGGCTTGCATCGGTCTGGCCAGGCTCATGATACCTAATAGTACATGTACACACTGGCTGATGTAGATGCTTCATGAAGGTTATCACCTGAATTCAGCGAACGGTTCCCAGGAAGACCGTGGCGACAAACCGTTTCCTTCTGCCTACGGGAATAAGTCGAGTCATGCGTGCTGGCCCGTTTGTAGCGGATATGCTAGGCGACCTCCGGAGCGTTACTCGTGAAGATTGAGGACTGGCAAAAAAAGAGAAGTGGCGGATCTAACACACGTTGAGGCCGATGAACAAAGATTCGCCTGCAGCATGTCAATCGAAGTTGAATAGAGTCGAATCGAAAACAAGTTCGCCGCCCGCACGTGGCCGTTTCCATTTCAGGAAATGTACGTAGCCTGACAATCTTATTTTTCTTCTTGCGCCTTCCAAGTTCCCGTCCCGCCTTCCCCGTTGTTATTCGCGACTGCCCGCAGCTCGTCCAGTGTGACCGGATGATTGGCGGCTTCTGACGTCACTTGTTTAGTTTTCTGGTTCTTGGACCCCGAAATGCCCGTTTTAGAATTACATAATGACCGTATTTTGATGATGGGAGAAACTGTGTCTGGTTTCGTCGAAATCCTGTTTAATATGGTGGAATTTTGGATTGGCATTTGGTAAGACGGCACAGGCACGGGTGGGTGGGTTCACGTCCGGATTACTGCGGATTATGGATACACCGGGCCACTCAAGAGTTGGTTATCATTTGGTTGTCCCAGGCTCCATCAGGTATTGTTCCAATGGGAATAAAAGACTGCTGGAAAATATCAATCGTCGCTAGCGCCCAAACCAAGAACGCCTCGCTTAATTGCAATGAAGACAATGGTTCCGTCATGTTCGTGCCGCTGCCGCTGTCGCTGTTGCCTCCCCGATGACTTCCTTCACAGCCAATTACCTAGCCGTCTCCCGTGGTTTCGTAGAACTAGGGGATATCATCAAATGCCACGTATACTTGGACCGGTTTTGCGCAGCCGATGCGCATATAGCAGTCCACAAACATTGCAGAGCGTCCATCGGCCGTCGGGTCCGTCCCTCCATTGCGGCGTGCTCGTAACCTGGCACATGTGGCAGCTGGGGGTCTCGTCTACCACACGCTTCTGTCATCAAAAGCGAATTAGTTGATGCCCTCTTCACGACTGATGGAGATGCTGGATAGAAGAAAGGAAGAAACCTACCACTTTTGAAGTGCGATCAAACGCCGCAACATTGGAATGGCGCCTTTTCCTGGTCGCTTTTGGGCTCACGGTTTGGTGTCTTTGTACCGCGGCTAGCACGTTGGTGTGGTTGGGTCGTGCTTAGTGCGGTGCGCAGTCGTCCGACATTGCACAATCTGAGGCGCTTTTCACTTTATGCACAATTTGACAAGTCTTATACAGAGGATCTCGACCACTCCGGTTGTACCGTTTCGCAGTATTTGCCCAGTAATTACAATTCAATTCAAAAGGCCGCATTCTAATCTGCAGAGTGCCAGGTTTTGATTGAATGTCTCGATTACCTAGTGGTACTCGAAAAAACCATTCATTCTCGACAATGGCTGAAGAATCCTGAAAAAAGGTGTGGCAGCAGGCATGAGACCACAGCTGAGCCCGGGTGCAATCTTAAGAGTGCCACGAAGTAAGGTGTGTCCAGCAAAGGCGTCACGGACACGTGCCTGCTGTTGGTGCAAGTACACAGTAGGTTGTGCCACTGTCATCGCTGCAGGTGGACTCATCCGTTCGCTTCTCCGAAAGTTGGGCGGCGTTTTCAAGGGACTGACTCTTTCTCTCTCTCTTTCTCTTTCCATCTCTGCTTCCGTTTCATGGCCAATAGGAAGTCTCTCCGCGTCTAAATTGTATCTTCTGATTGGCGGAAATCCCTCCGCCTCAGTTCAGGGTCAAATCTCGCCCATCCATCTCCCCCATTCTTTTGTGACAAACAGAGTTGGACCCCTCTGTGCTCCGTTGGAAAGGTCTGGACCTTTTTTTACCGGCAGCGGAAACGGACCCTTAGTGCCTGCAGGCAAAAAAAAAAAAAAAAGAAAAAGAAAGTCTCTGAGTTTGCTCCTCATTTCGTGTCTGATTACACTGAGACCAAAGAAAGTTGCGAAACACTGTGCTTTCCAAAATTCTATGTGTGTTAGCGCACTCCGTCGAATCCTGTCACACGCGTTCTGGACTAGGATTTGGTGGGTGACACGCGGTGAGCACTGATCAGTGAGCACAGAGCAAGAATGGGGGCGGAGGAGGGACTCGGATGAAAGCTTTGCTCTCTGTCCACTTTCCCATGCCCACAATCGCTTTGCCATGATCTTCCGAAAATTGCCACTTTACTTGAAATCGGAGAATCGTCAAACGCATCGATATTCAACAATGCTATGTCAAGAATTCGGTATGTTGTTGGTGATACAAGATAGTCAAAGAGTCAAGACCGTCTCGATGGTCTCTCGGGTATAATAGGAGCAACATTCCCTCCGCTTTGATAGTCGAATCATGCTGCAATTCAATCAGCCTTCCATTAAAAAAATTAAAAAAATTCACTATCTCCCCGATCAACAGCGGTAGCAGTGGCAATGGGCACACCGGTAGAATGACAGAGAATGGTGATGCTCTACTCTGTTCTGGCGAGGCCACCAGCCCGCTCCCCTATGCCTACACTCGCCACACAACGTCGAATCTGTCGAGCTTCCGCGTTCATACCACGACACCAAGTACATCACAGAGAGTATCAGCAGAGAGATGAGAGACTTCTTTGCTCTCAATGAACCATTACTGTGGATAGTGTAATCTGCAGGCAACTGTCTAGAATCCTTGAGCCAAATGTCAGATGGCCACGAAAAGGAGGCATTCTCCAGCGGGCATATGGGTCAGTGTATTCTAACTGTACAGAGTTCAAAGACGATCAACTGGAAACACCATGCTGTCCAGTCTCCAGGGAGGACCAAACTGCACTGAAGCCAGACCACCTGCGGCGCCGGGCTACACCGGCTGGGCTGGACTGCGAAACCATCCCACTCATTTCCCCTTCTGGCAGGAAGCAATGTTGACAGAGAGATGCTTACGCAAATTCACCAAGCTCTATGGACGATATCAAAAGTATTACAGGTCACATCTGACAATATATCCGTACCACCGACAGTTTGAATCACCGTGGTGTAGGAATCCAATGGGTTGCTGGAACCCACGCGATGAAGCCGCCATGAACAGGGCCTCCCGCTTCATCAAGGGCCCTCGACTCCGCCAGGACTTCAAGCGTTCCCGCTCGCCCATGGGCTCCCTTGAACACTTGCCAGTTTCAATATTAACTTCAACATGTCTTCATCTGTGAAACTAAGACCGCGAAAATGCAGTACAGAGTCTTGGTAAGTAAAAACCTCCTAGGGTTTTGATTTTGTACACTGTTGGTACCTGAAGCAAGGACAACTGGCATTGTACTCATTGATGAGCGAGTCCGTTCGAAGTTCGCATCTGAACGACTGTTCTCAGCTTCTCATTGTGAGAATCGGAAGCTGTAAACTCACTCCGTAGGCTGTACACACCTATGTTGCGTGCTGAAGTCGCATTGAATTGCTCATATGGGCAGCTGACGGATTGATCAGCTCGATCTATCCCGTCGAGTGTGGAATGGCGACAATACATTGGCCCCATAACATGGGCCCTCTTTTTCCCCTCACCACACCTGGTACATCCACCCGCGGCACATACCGCTATGTTTTTCAATGTGGTACTTCCACCCAAACCAACATTGTCAAGAATGCTGCGATGGATTCTGACGATAGTGACGCCTCTGGAGCTTCCACGGGCTCCGCGAAATCGTGTATCTTTTTGTATTACTGCCGGAAGACCTCGCTGCCGCCTGCACTACCGACTGTACGCCGGAACGATGTGATAATGCCCTCGTTCTCTTCCTCACAACCGTCTTCCGAGAGACATCCGACGTTGTTCGTAACCGTCGCCGGCCCGCTGGAGATACTGCTGCTAAAAAGGCAGCACGGGAGGTCTTCGGTCCCGACGTACGTAAGGACCTCCGGATCCCTCTCGCGATCGATGAGTACAACCACCGTATGAACGGCGTCGATACGAGTGATCAAATGCGGTCCTATTACGACTTTAGTAGACCAGTGAGGCGGGGCAGTTGGCAAGCAATTGCCTGGAACTTTCTCCTCGAAATCATCATTATCAACACGTTCCTTTTACAGTACTGGGGAAGTCCCGAGTGGCCTCGCGTTGAGAACCAGTACGAATGGCGTAGACTACTGTCTGCCCAGCTAATCCAGAGGTTTGGACCATTGGCAGAAGGTCGACGTAAGGGACGTCCGAGGAGAGCAACAGATCGAAGGAATGAAGCCGTACCATGGCAATTACACGTACGAGGTCGTAGAAATGCCAACTCCCCTTGCGTTGGCTGTAGCCTCGTATGGCAGATTAAAGAGATAAGTGGTAATATTCACACCAGACGGCCGCGGCGGAAGTACACGAGGATGGGCTGCCTCGAATGTGATGTCGCCCTATGTAACTCAGATGATTGCTGGTACAATTTCCATAACCAAAATCTCTGATATAAGGAAGTACCTATTATCAATTATGGTAATTGGGCCAAAAAGGGGCCCACATATGCAAATTGGCTCCGTCTCCGCATCTCAATGTACTGTCGCCATTCCGCACTCGATGGGATAGAGATGAGCCCTGTGGCGCTCTCTAGGTAGAGTTTGGGATCAGTGTTCAGGGGGGCAGGGTCAGGGTGGCCGCTGAGATGCCCTCGCCTTACCACCACCTCTGTGTAGCTAGCAAGGCTACAGGCACGGGGAAGCTTTCGGGTCTCGGCCTCCTCAGCACAGTTTTCAAGTGACCTCCCGCAGGGCAGCTGATCAATTGGAACCGGACACTTTATATAGAGCCATAGAGAGATCTTTTGGCTTATTAGATTGTACAGTTGGAGTTCCCTCTGAAGGATCACAGAATAGGATGACCGCTGAGATGCCCCCCCAGTGATCACTTGATTAATGTCGACGGAAAGTAGAATGGAACAGAGGAGCCGACAGACAGAGCCACAGAGGTAAACTGGAGCTGGTCAACCGTTTGAGACAGAGTTTCCCCCCGCGGACAGGGCCAGGGCCAAGACGGGTACTGAGATGTCCTCAGCCCAGCATACCCTCAACAGATCTCAACGGAACAAACTACCCCTCACGAGAGAGGCACAAAGATTTGCTGGTATTGTTAGCAACAGCATCAATAATAATAGAAGCAACAACAAATCATATGGAGAAGGGTTAGATTCACATTGTGTGATTTGTGCTTCACAAACTCTGGATGAAAACATTGCTAGCGTCGAAAACTCCCATGACATGGACAGCCTGTTTGGGAACACCGTGACAGTACCGTTCTGTATTGTGTTCGCACCGACGGACCCTGGTTGGGTCGACCAAAATATTGTGACTAAGAAGGGCGAAGGGCGAGCGCACTCGTGGCACACTCTGAGTGCCAGATACCCAGTCTGACCCGACGCCGACGCCCAGAACCGGCACCCAGGAAGTGCCAAAATGATAACAGACAGACAATTTCAGACCCTCGGCCACACTAGTGGCCATATCTTTCCATATTTTTCCCAGGCCCAATCCAAGAATGACTCCCCTTCCTGAACGCCAAATCCTACGAATCGAGACCTTGGTGTCATAATTGCAAGGCAAGATCGTAAACAACGTATCCAAGCACCCAGTAATCGTGACAAAAAAGTGACAAGAAATACAGGCTCAAGAAGAAAACGACAGCGAAGAGGACGCCGAGACTCGGTTGCTGTGCCTGAGCCCCTGCTTCCGCTGCCTCATGGCATGAATCAGGCCGCAGACATTGCAGAGAGTGCGCGGCCCGGCGGGTCCGCTACGCCACTGCGGTGTACAGGTGGCATGGCAGTTGTGGCAGACGGAGGGATCTGGCATGCTCTGTTTCTTCAGTGTGAGTAATTGTTCAGTAGGTGGCCCCCGATTGTAGACAGGGGTCGCAAGACGAATTGTGAACATGAGAAAGATGGAATTTGCCGGAGAAGTAAAGAACATTGGATGAAATCAGTGGTAACTTACTTGATTTGACTGACGGTCCATGAGATACTCGGCCGCCCCGTGTTGTTGCTTGCGACGGATCTTGCGCAAATGGCTGGGGCGTCTCACTCGTAGCAGGGCCGCCTCCTTTGACTTCTGAGAGATGGCTACCAACTCCGCCATATCTCCGGTAATGTGCTGGAAAATCTTTTGGGCGTGCAGCAGCTTTGGGTTGCCTAGCAGGGCGCCTGGCACATGACGGCCGCCATCATACGTGGTGGCACTGGTGGCTGCTCTGCTGTATCGAAGCAGGCCTTGAATGTTGCGAAGCAGGTTGTTTGCATCGCCATGGACCTGTGTAAGACAAGGGAAGCTTGGTCAGCACAAGATTGACCTGAGGTTGAAAATGACATTTCGAAGATGGCATTTTGGCAATCGCATCAGGAAGGCAGACGCACTCTCTGGATGATCTCGCTCGCTTTGAGATGGCTCAGGGACATGGGCGCCAGTGCCTCGTTGCTGCATTCATGTTCGCTGAGACGGCGTCGCGAACTCGGCACGGGCGTGACAAGATCTGCCGGGGTCCGGGCCATTGACTCTCGAAAGCTGGAAAATAGGAACGGACTCGGCCGGTTTGGGAAACGGACTGGAATTCGTCGCAGTAGGTGTGAACCAATCGTCGTGAACGCAAGAGCGGGGCGATTGCCAGTTTTGGGAATAGGAACAAATTCAGTTGATGACGTCGATCGGTGGGGGAGACAGAATCGTGTAGAGATCGAGAATCGTGAGAGGGATCGAAAACGAGGGGATGGGGCCCTCTTCGTTTATAAAGGAAATTCGAGCGTCGAAAAGAGGGGAAAGCACGGGACCGCCTTATCCTCCGTTTTGCGCCCCGGATTACGGTTTCCCTTGTCCCTCCTGTGCCTGCCCCAACGCTGCACGGCTTTGACGAATAAAACGGTGATTGACAAGCAAACGCAATAATACGGCCGGCCCGGCTGAGACGGAAGGTTTTCTGGAGCTGAGATGAAGCAAGGGGATTGGACGGTTTGCGTACCCGTACACACCGTGGCAGCTGCAAGGGCATTGTTGATCCAAAACGGAGATTTCTGTATCCGTAAGTTGCATGTTGCCATGTTGTAGACATGGGAAACGCAGACTTTTCGATCCGTCGCCCGAGAACTCGATGTGCAACTATCACCACTCGCTGAGTATCACAGACGATGGGAATTTGTGTCGCTTTTCACTTTCCGATCTGCGGTCAACTCCGATGGCGAACAATGTTCTGTAAGGAGCACAGTCGACCTTGTTGTCAGATCTGGGGGCGAGACGGTGATTTCCGTTTCGGTGCAACCCCGAGTGGCGGTTAGAGGGAGGTGTTGCGGATTTGAACTGTAGAGATTGGTGCCCAAATTGAAGCCTTGTCCTCGTGCTCCAATATTGCAGAATTGCCTAGTGAACCTTTGCAATGATTGTCCAAAGTGTTTGAGCCCGTCTCTTGTCCCTTTCGTGTGGTCTCCGTTGCCGTAAGGCCCGAGCAAGACGGCGCTGTTTGATGTAAGGAGGGCCTCCTTGGTGCGATGCGTTCGGAGCAGCTGGACGACAGAATCAGCCAAACTTCAAAGCTGTCGAGGCGGGAGTAGAAGGTGTTCGCTGCGATGACTACAGTTATGAAGTGATGCTCAGTCTGCTCCATTACCAGACAGTCAGTGTCATGGCGAGCAGTTTGTAGGAACTTCTAATCAATGAACGAAAGACACGATGTGTTTGGATCACGTGAGGAGGCTCTCAATTTCAGGAGGCAGGTACGGTAGGCATAGCATCAGGGAAGGACCCGAGACGTCCAGTCCTTCCTCGCGGCCCTCGTGGAAGGTCCAAGATACAAACATGGCAGTAGCAATTCGGTTTACCTCCTTCCTTCCTTCTTTGCGTCCGTCGCTAACGCGTTCCTTCCCTTGTCTGAAGGTCTCCCATCTACCCCTATCTCGAATCATCGACCTCGACGAACATCCTTTCGAAACCTCTTCCCCGACGCGTCCTTGCCTGAGAACGACATCGAATCAATATCATACCATACTGCCCACTGGGTTCAACATTCGATAGCTATGTCTCTCTTCGTCCTATCCCATGTATGTGGTCGCGAATCCGAACGAAGAAAACTACCGACGGTGGCAGCAGCACCCAGTCCAGTTCACACTGGTAAATGGCGCTGTATGACCTGCAAGGAACCCACATTCTCGCGCCACTGCGGTGACTGTCAATCCAACTGGTTTTGCAGCACTAAGTGTCAGAGGGAGAAAGCCCACAACATCGATGCTGCCAACTACATGGCCCTGTGCCCCGCGAAGCACAAACGACTAGATACCCACCACTACCTCGCCGAATCCCTCAGAGCCGGTACCTGCGAGCCTCCCACGGACCCGCAAACACGAGAAGACTTCGGATTCGATCTATGCCGCTATGGAAATAAGCAAGAGGAACGCCTCCTGTGGGCGACATACAAATGCCTTGGCTGTTTCTTCGGCCTCGACAGCGTCGTTATCTAGGGGTGGATGATTGCCAGGGGCAAGACATTACTCGCCGAGATGATCAAGAAGAAATTTTCCAACGTTCGCCTTATTACGAAGGATGTATACACCTGGTGGTTCCGTCACAATATCTGGGTCATCCTACCCGAGGACAGCAGAAAGGGATATGCCATGACGACCCATAACAATCTCGTCTGGGAATGCGCCATAATGTCGCGAGTCTCCTGTCAGATCCTGAATAGTTGGGACAGAGATGAAGGAAGTTGGTGGACTGGGCACACCGTTGACTACATGACAGCCCGCATACGGGAAGCTATCCGGCCGGTGGAGGAAGTAGAGCAAGGGATCTACGAAGCTTCGAGTGACACCTTAAGTGACGACCGTTCGAGTAAGGACTCCTCAAGAGACGATGACCCGATTGACGCTCCCTCGAGTGACGATAGCATGGCAGCGTGACGCGGATGGCTTCAGTCTTAAGAAACCAACCGCCTGCGCGATAAGTCTGTTGGAAGCAGCCAAGCCTACACCAACAGGAGTCAGGGCATGATTACTTTGAAGCAAGATGTTCAGGTAATAGCGGATAGCTACAGATACTAGAATCCAGAAGCCATGAACGTTTACACAATGATCTATGTTGCCAAGAGGCACATTGCGTTACGTTGGTTCTGAACCAACTCCAGGCAGCTGGTGACCGGAGGTTATCATGACAATCCTTCTATAAAGGAGGGGCTCCACTAGTAGGGCAGTCTGTGGAAAATCTTCACGGGAACTCACCAACACAGGTATGGCCGTCCAAACAGGCCCAAAACTCCATGTATTTCATTCCTGACCACATCTCTAGGCTTCCTGGGATGATACTCTGCTGTGCCGCTCATAGTGCTGTGTGGTGGAGACAAACGGCCAGCTGCATATGGTGCCAGACCTCCAATCTCTCCGTTTGTCGACAAAAGGGGTGAGACGACGAGAAAGGGTCGGATTCCCCTTTTGATAGCCTGCCCATTTGCTCTCAAAGACGGCCTTGCTCGCAGTCGAAGCTTCACGTGAGTGAATCCCACACGGCCATTACCTCCAGCCCTCCCCTTCTATCATCTCGACTACTTCTTTCCCTTCCATACTATCTCACCTTACCTTCATCTCGCACTTCATCCACCATCATCATACACATAATCTGCAGCAGAAAAGGATTGCTCTTCGCTCAGACTCAACCTTGCTATCTCATTGCTGACCGTCCAGTTGACAACAGACGATCACCCATACCAACAACATCATGGCCCAAGTCAACCCCGACAAGTCCACCGCCGAGATTCTCCTCAAGGACATCTCCGACAAGAAGGTCCCCACCGACGAGCAGACCATCAAGGACTTCGGCTTCGACCGCTGCATCACCCCCAAGGGCCAGCAGAAGCTTCTCTCCGTCTACGCCCTCCTCATGACCGGCCTCGACCCGGCCATCACCCCGCTCAGCTCCAGGAGTGGGCCGCCGAGGGAGACTTCAAGCTCGGAAAGCACATAGTGGCCGCATTCGCCGCCGTCAAGGACAACAAGCACGCCAACACCATCACCTGGTGCGACTACAACCAGTACATCTGGAACCCCAAGGACGTCGACTCGGAGCTCGGCGCCCTCGGCGAGGAGACCATGGGCGCCATGGCTGGTGCTGCCACCGACGAGGAGTACATGGCTCGCATCCCCGTCTTTCTGGCGGGCCAGACGCGTCTCCGCCAGAAGAAGGAGGCTCTCGAGGCCAAGGGCGAGTATGTCCGCACCGTTCGCGGCATGCGCTTCACATCTCTGCCTAATGTGGACCCGAATGGACCTCCCGCCGCTGGTCATATGATCTTCTGCCCTGATGGCTTCAATGGTGTGCCCGTCAGCGAGGTTGCTCGCCAGTTTCAGGGTATGCCTGGTGTGGTCAGTTTTTCTTTGCTGACTTTCAAGGGTCGTAGCTGACGTGTATCCGCATAGACCGTCCGCTTCCCTCCTCGCGGCTGAGCCGACCCCGGGAGCACTCAGTCAGCTTGTCGCCAATTGAGATGGAAGGATTTGCCTTGCCTATTGACGATGGGCTGAAAGGAAACTTGTGGAAGTTTAGCTAGTCTTTGAGAGTTGCCTCTCAACAGCGATTCAACAATACCATTCAGTGGCCACAACCCTTGTTCCCCGATGGGCCTTTGCTAGATCATGATTGTGTGACTTGAGCATCAAAGCCACTCGTGTTTGTTCCAATTAGGAGGGATGTAATTATTCTGGTTGACAATGAATTGGCTTGGATCTTGTATGGAACAAGCCAATCGATGCAAAGAAAGCATCGGCATCATAGATTTAGATAAATAACCCATCTTATTGTCGATGAAGTAAGTCTCACCATTCACCAGAAGCACACGCAACTACATATTGAGACCCAACTACAGATCCAGGCCAACACCACACTGAAACCCAACAACACAGAAAGCGATTGATTAGCAGGCAGACACCATGACGTACCAGACCAAGTACGATCAGATCCTCGACGAGAAGGTAGTCGAAAGCCCCGAAAACATATCACCACAGCAGCCAACTCCCAAGAACCAGACCTTTCCCAACGAGAAGGAAGTCAAGCCCGCGCACAGCTTTCTCCACAGAGCGATGGTACTGACAGAACTTCCGCAGATTCCCCAAGACTTGCCCACTATGCAGACCTGGTCCTTCACCCGCTGCAGAACCTACGACCACGCCTACAACCTGCTCCGCATTTACCAGACCCTTCTCGTCGACCTCGATTTCACTCCACGTGAGATCGAGGACTGGCTTGCGCAGGGCCATCTCGGTCGCAACATCGTGATGCACTTTGAGGGCAACCTAGGAAAGATTCCCGAGCACCGGATGACGTGGTTGATGGCGCACCTCTGGATCTGGGGCTTGGATCCCGACACCGCGCTCGGGGCCGACGTGCCGATCTTCAAGTTCTCGGACGAGGGTAGGAAGTATCTGGGACAGTTTGAAGCTCCTGTGGAGTGGGCGGGCATGCTTACTCTCGAGATCGAGTCCGCCATGGAGTGGGAGCTCGAGATCGCTAGGTCGCTTGCTCGTGTGCAGGCCGCAGCGGAACCGAAGGGATTTTTGGAGACTTTGATTCTGGGGAAGGAGAAGGAGGAGCCTTTGAAGTATGAGCGGTGTTTCGCCAGACAACTGGAGAGAGTTGTACTTAAGCTTGAAATGGCGGCAGAAGATTGCAGAGATGTGGTATCAGTCCCCTCGGATGGAGTGGATGAAGAGATGAGATGGTAGAAGCGAGTTCAGAAACTGTTAGTCGAGTTTATAGATCTATTTGATGAATCGATATCGCGTCCATTCCGCGTTTGTTTCTTGACTTACAGCAGCGTGGCGCTTAGTGCATGTCGCGGGGCGGAATTGGCCGTTACCGAAGAGCAAGGGAAGGCGAGAGGTATCATCCTGGACGAGGTTTGAGCATTGTGAACTTGTGGGAATGGGATTGTGGATGGTCGTCCTCGATGATAGAATATCTGTTGGAGGGGGGTGGAGGGCCGGATCTGTATAGCGGGGTGGACGTGGTGGGGGATTCGATGCTGTGGGCGATTGAGGCCGACACTGGACCTGGTGCGTGCTGCGAAGTAATCGCGTTCGTTTGATGGTTTCGCCTTGGACAGCTTGCTCAATTGGCCATCGTCGTTCGAGAAGTTATGGGATCTGGACCACATGGCGACGAGGTTGATGGAGAGAGGTAAAGGAGTGACGCGGTTGGTGGGGCTTATGTAAGTGAAGCTGCCAACGGCAACCGCGGGAAGGAGCCAGTCTCGACTGCCTTCCTCAGCGCCGACGTCCGGGAGAAACACAGGGAAGGAAGGAGTGAAGATGAATCAGGTGCCTTCCAGTATAGTTTCACTATCTGAAGCTCACGATCATCGCGGTCACGTCGTACGTTCCATTGGGAATCTTCCTCGCGCCAGGTTCATCTCTGATTAACAGTATCTCAATGTCTATGCCTGCTGTACTATTAAGACGACCGATTCTCCTTCTCCAAGCACAATCGTATGGCAATACGTGCCGCATCGAAACCCAGCCATCACATCTCTATTTCCAAGTTCAATCTGCCACATCAGAGCCAGCAGTCGAAGTGCATCGTCGGGAATAAAGTAGTGGTGGTGCGGGGTTCGTTCAGTTCGGTAGCCATGAGCACTGTGGAGTTTCAACGTCAGCTACGTTCTCATCTTTAGGAAGTTATTCGGACTCACATCTGTGTGTACCTTCTCATGCTAATGTCGAGCAATTTCCCTCATAGTGTTGAGAGAATGATCTTGCCACTATCGTCAAGCATTCAAGAGTACCAATCGAAGTCGTCACCAGGGCGCTTGTTGGCATCATAGTACTCTTTCAACTCCTTCGCAGCACGCGCAGCCTTGGCCTCGCTCACAAAGTCCTCGGGATCCCAGATATACTGGTTCTCAAGGAACCACTTGTAATCACCCTGGTAATCCTCAGAGCCCAGCAACGTCTCGAACTTGCCCTTGATCTCCTCCGCGACGTTCTTCAGACCATCTTCATGGTGAAGCCACTCATGGAGCTCCTCAGGCTTGACATCAAAGTCCTCGAGGATGGTGCGGTAGACATTGTACAGCTTGCTCTGGTCGAGAGTGATGTAGCACCGCGAGAAGCCGTAGTCGGCCTTGACCTGCGCGTTGGTGGGGATCTCGTCGTCCTGGATGGAGGCGAGGAGGTCGTGGGCCGTGGTGCGCTTGGCGTTCTTGTTGCGCTTAGCGGGGGGCTTGTTCTTGGTGGTGTTCTTGTTCTTGCTTCCCTTGAAGCGGCCGGCACCCATCATGGGCTTCTTGCAGGCGGGCTTGGGCTTGCGGGTGGTGGTGGCCTTCTTGGGGGAGGCCTTCTTGGGGGCGGCCTTGCGGGCGGCCGGCTTCTTCTTCTCGGGAGAGGGCTTCGAGGGCTTCGAGTCTGGGAGCTTTTTTCGGGCGGGACGGTAGGGGGCAGGGTCCTCGGTGGTAGTCTCGGGGATTGTCTCGAGGACGGTCGCGGGGTTGATCTCCTTGGCGCTCATCTTTGTCAGTCTTTGTTGATACAGGTAAGGTGAAGACAAGTGGTGATGATTCTGCAAGTTTGTAAGGGAAACTGCCAGAATGAGGATGTGAAGGAAAAAGATTTCAAGACAGACGATGAAAAGGAAAAGGATTGATGACAGGAGGAAGGACCGAGATGGACGTCTATCAAAGATCTCTTTGTAGGCGGGGGGAAGGAAATGAAATACTCACCAGTGATGATCCAATCGGTTTGGGGGTCCTGGAAGCTTACCTTCAGCTTCATTTGGCCGGGCGACTTTAACACACTCAGGCAATGTGAAGAGTAACCCAGAGTGGGCCCTCCACCCCGTGACTTCATGAAAACTGCCTGCCCATGTTGGTCACCAGTCGATGCGCATACGGTCTTGGAATACTATAGAGACAATGAGAAGTGAGGGTGGACGGCAGCATATCTCATATAAATGCAGTTGTATGTTGTCTACTATACTCAACAAGAGGGACTGAGATGTCTCCTGCGACTCCTGCGACTCCTGCGACCAGAGTTTTCGACGGAGTCGAACATTTCACTTCCTTAGTTGAGGAATCCAACAAGTAACGCCGCCTTTCTCGCCTTTTATATGAACTGAAAGATAGAGGCTATCCAGCCTCACTCCTTCCATCCAACCTCACACCCAACCCCAGAAGCATCAAACGCCAAAAACGCAATCTTCTTAACCCACCTATCCACCCCAAACAACCACCGCCAATTCTCCTCTCTCACACTCCGCTCATGCTTCTTTGGCAAAAACCGTCTCGCCTGCTCCAACTCAACCTCCAACGCCCACTCGATCTGCGCAACAATATACCGTTCCCAAGCCTGTGGCCACTTGCCCCTCAAAAACTCCCTATCATCCTCCGAGAACTCAAAACAGGGCATGTCGTGGTTGGGCGTCTGGCCGCACCAGACGTGGCTATGATTCTTCACCCACTTGCGCCGCTCTCTCGAAATCTTGTCCTCGACGTAGGCGTTTTCGACCATCAGGTGCGCGATGCGGTAGCCTAGGCATCTGTTCGCTTTCCATTTGTAGAGTTCGGTGGGGGTGACGCCTAGATCGAGAACAAGGGTGTTGTAGACGCCAAGCAGGGCTTTGGCGTCTTTGAGGGTCTGGCACCGCGTAAAGTACCACTCCTTGAGGACGTGGATGTCCTTGGGGAGTTCGGTTGCCGGCTGGCGGTCGTGGAGGAATCCGAGCTCGGCGAGCGTGGTCGTGGTCGCCGTTGTGGTTGGGGTAAGTGTGCTGTTAGTAGTATCCATCTCGTCAGTTTGCTGCTTGCCCACTTGGTGTGTTTTTTTCTTTTCTGCAAGGGGGAGTGTCTAGTTACTGGTTTGTAGTTGTGTGTTGTGTTGAACTCTCGCCGAGAAGTCGTAATTGTTGTGGAAAGTTCTGGCTTAACTAGTCATCTCAGACACACACCGTCGGAAACATTGGCATTGCTGCTGGGAACAAGCGAGATCAAACTTGCAAAGCCAAGCAAAGAACTTCCAAAGTCACCGCCGGCAATTTTGCTGCAAGTTCCCCTCTGGTCGGAGACATGGTGTCTGGGGTCTTCAAAGGACTGACTGTGCAGAACAAGCGAACTTGACCTGCTTTGTTGCCCCTCGCTGGGAACGAACCTCTCACCAGTCACCACCTCGGCACGGAAGGTTACTCTAGCGAAGCTCAATAATCGCGTCTGGATGCCTTCGAGGGGCATCCTATCATCATGTTTGTCTATTGATATGCAGCTGATGCGCATCAAATCGTGTAGCCAGCTATACCGCCCAACAGAGTCTAGTAACTCCAGCCGGGTCGTTGCAGTGATGCATTCCCAGCCAGCCATGCGGGTTATCTCATGTACGTTGTTCAACAATTGCACCCAGATCTTTTTCCACCGCCATTGCGGTCCGTCCCAATTCCTGCTTGCTAAGCGGGTATGATCCGCGATCCTCCTCCTCGTGTCCCGTTGCTCATTGCTCATCATGCTACACCCTTATTCTCCAGTATCTTGCTCAGCTCCTTCAGTCGCACGGGTTTCGTCAGGAAAAGATCGATGCCGCTCGCAAACGCTTCTTGCTGCGCGTTGGCAGATGCTAGTCCCGTGAGTGCGATGATCAGACAGCGTGATAAGTTCTCCTTCGACTCAATGGCACGGATCCGTCGTGTGGCCTCAAATCCGTCCATCACAGGCATCGAGATGTCCATCAAGATGCAATGGTACTCGCCCGCCGATTGCCGGAACGCATCCAATGCTTCTTGGCCGTCTCTTGCGTTTTGGTAATCATGCCCCAGTCTCGCCATGTACGTCGCCAACATCTTGAGGTTGAGCGGGTTGTCGTCAACCATAAGAAACTTGGGCCGATCCTTAGACTTCTTCGGTCTGTGGGGTAGTCGCGGGGTGTCAGGACCATCGGGGGTTAGTGTTTTGGGCCGCTCTTCCGGTGTGTCCGGTAAGGCAATGTCCTCTGGTCTGAGTTCCGTATCCTCCTCCTTCACAACTTCATTGTCCATGCTGGTACTGTGCAGTCTTTCGGCGGCACTCCTTGGCAACTGTTCCAAATCTGCAGGAACATCTTCTACCGGGGAAACGTCGGAAAGTGCCTCGGTACTTCCGGCCTCCGCAAGTCCGTCCAGAGCCGGCCCTGTCGGCGTGTCACCACCTGTGTCCGATGGTTCTGGGCTGGCCAAGGACAGCATCGTAGGAGTGGGTATCGCTCGTTCTTGTATTTTGGTCCATCGCTTGAAACTGAGCAATAGGACCTTGGCGAGCTTTCTCGGACCGATGCTGCGGGAACAGATGTCAGTTTATAGTTGGTCAATTGATTCGTCAGTGTTGAGACTCACGGCTGGGAGATAAACTCGAAGACGATGCGATGGCCGGTAAATCGTGCCGAGGTAGCCAGTTGGCGCGCAATAAGGGCGTTCCGGCAAATCACCACGACAGGCGTGGTTATGAGACCCAACCGGCGCTCCATCAGAAGCTGCTCCAGCTGTTTTTCCCTGGACAAGACCAAGTCGGGAAGAAGTTGCTGCGGAGATGGGACGGACTGGTCAATAATATGCATATTAAGCCACTCCCTGCAGAGGTGTGTGACCAGAGCTCCTTCGCTGGGGCTGTTGCTGGCTAGGTCGTCGGGCATTTTGACGCCATAGTCTTGAGGGAATCCGATCATCTTGACTCTGAGGCCCCGGAGCTCGCTAACAGATGCCCGGAAAGCATCGATAGTGCTTCCTTGATCCTCTGTGTCGGCGACCGTTGGTGGTGCTGGGTCGGCGCACAGTAAGGGAAGCTGAACCCTCACTTTCGTTCCTTGTCCGAGCTTGCTCCAGACTTGGATAGATCCACGCAGCTTGGAAACTATCTGTTTCACCAAGCTCAGGCCTAGACCGGCTCCGGCAGACAGGGAGTCCTCCTGGGCGAAGGGGGCGAATAAATGATGCTGAAGATATTCCGGGCTAATGCCGCGCCCGGAATCTACTACGTCAATCTGAACGATGGCCCTTTTGGACGGTGCATCAGTGCGCTGTGGAAGCTGGGTGACATTGACGTTGACGAATCCCTTGTGCGTGTACTTGAGCGAATTTCCTAGGAGATTCATGATAATTCGCCTCAAAGCGCCCGGCTGCGTATGGAAAGCCCAAGAGATTGCGGGGAAAATGTCAAAGGTGACGGATACATCGCCGAGGATGAGTTGCAGGTCCCCTAGTTTGTTTGTTCGCGTCGCCATTTCTTCCATTGCTTGCATACTGTCAAGCCTGCGTATGGCAGTGGTATCGGCGTGCTCTGCCGGTCTGTTGCCCGCAAGTTGTGCCACAGACACGCGTTGGTAGCTAAAGCCGGCGCAGACGCTCTCCACAACTTCTTCAGACAGAACATCGACTTCGACATTTGATGTAATGCTCATCATGCCAGCTTCGATGGTAATTTTCTGATCCCGAGCTCTCAGGCCTCGCTCGCCGAGCGCAAGAGAATTCCGTCGCTGCTTCGAAGGCCCGATGAAGTTATTAATCTTGCTCCAGTCCAGAAGGTGGTCTATGGTTTCCAAGAGTGTGCGGCCACAGTTCTCGATCGAGACAAGTGTCTCTCCTTGAAAGGCGTCCATGGTGGTGTCGTGCATCAACTCTGCGCCAAGAATTATGCCGTGGAGCGGCGAGCGTAGCTCATGGGAAAGCGAGCTCAACAAGTCCGTCTTCGCCTTGTCGACTAACATCGAGCTGACGTGGTCGACCTCTGACATGACAACTGATGCAAAAGCACGTAAATAGCTGAGCTCACCTTCGATGGTAAGGACTCGGGTCGGAGTCTTGGTGCAGGCGAATCCGCCTGCATACCAACGTTGCTTTTGTATGTCCCACAAAGGTATAATGGCCATGCTTCGAGTCCCGGAAAACAGACCGCTAAGCGTTTTCCCTTCGTTTCGTCTGGAGTAGGCATTGCTTCGTTTCCTGCTGGAGATAGTTCGGTGTTGTTCCTCCTGGGCTGTCCCCATGATGTACTCTCGGAACTCCTGAAGTGGTGTCTCTGACTGGGCGCCATGGTCGTCGCCGGAATGGTCGCTAGATTGAATAGAGCCGTTCTCGTCAAAGTTGAAAATTTTGCCTTCTGGATACCTTCGTAACAGTTTCGAAAGGAACCTCTCAGAAACGGAGTTGTGGCTCAAGGAAGGTAGATTTCCGTCCACGCTCGAGATAGACGAGCTCGAGAAGCCAAGGACTGAGCAAAGGTTCTCATCCTGGTCGCCATCGCTGCTCAACCTAGTCCCTCCGTCTAAACCTGGACTAATCTGCTCGTCACTAGAGGAGGAAGATGAGCCGCGGCCTCTGGAAGTTCTCGTGTGAGAGGCTTTGGGGGCAGCGAGCCCTCCAAAAGACCCGATGCTGGCGTCCACAAATAGCACGCTCTCGACTTCTATAGCTTCCCGGACAATGTTGGCTGCCTTGGAGAAAATGCGTCGAATTTGTGCTGTGTGTGTATCGACATCTTCGTGTGAAACGCCATCTGATCCGAATCGAAGATTGTCCAGAGAGGTACCAGACGCAGATGGTAATGCTGGGTCTTGATGCGGTTGAGGAAGAGGCCGAGTGTCTGCCGCCGGTGAGACTGGCTGAGCCTCGGCTGCTTGAGCTTTGGGCTGTGTCGCGTTCTGTATCGCAGCAGTAGACGACTGATTTTGCCTTGTCAAAAAAGCTTGATAAGCCACCATCTCTTTATGCTGTTCAATATTTTGCTGATTCTTGTTTAGGGCTCCCTCGAAAGATGGGTGGTCGTCGAACGAGTCAACGTTATTCTTTTGTCGCCATCCCGACATAGTACTCTTGCCCTCGATGAAGCTACCAACACCACGGACCATTCTGTCGGCACGTCGGTGATCATCCCTGTTCCGTCTGGCGTCCAAATAGTTCAAGATAACTTTCGAAATATCCTGCATGAGTTGAGTGGACACATCGTCAAACTTCTCGCGCGAGGTGTCTCCGTACACACTGAAGACGCCAATGTGTATACCGCTTTGGGAACGAATCGGCACTCCGGCATAAAACCGGCATTGCGGCGTGTTGAGACAAAATGCTCGCTGCGAGGTCCTTGGATCTGCGGAAAGGTCGGGAATAACTGTGACAGGTAGCAGATGGGGTCCCGAAGGATGTTGGTCGTCAAGATGATCCGAAACTGAGAGGATGAGCTCGCAGATACCGGATGATCGTGGGATGGCAGTACCGCACAGTAGCAACTGGTCAATATCGCCGCGTTGGGATTCGGGAGGGTTGGTGTTGGGAGTCAGGGCTAGTGACTGCGTAGCTTCAGCAATAACGTACTGATATTTGCTGTCGAAGAGGGATATCATGGCCCGGGTCGCATTCAGACGTAAAGCGCCAAGCTCAGCGAAAGACGTGAGTGCCGCATCGGGACATGATCGAAGTTCCGAGGATGGCTTAAGATTGTTGGGGTCGTTGTAGACTGTATGTGCGATCAAGGAAGAGTCATATCTGTAGAGTCGGTTAGGGATTTTAATAATAAGATAAGCGTAGATTACGTTGACGAGAAGTCTCCGAGGCCCTGAAAGAGGCATTTTGGGGCGCGGACCTGAACGTCTCCCTCTCGCGACGACCCTCGGAGACGGCCTTGGCCGGCGGGGTGTTGACCATGGCCGGCAGCGTGAATCTCTCTCACGGGAGAGAGGCCGGCTGCTCGTTGGCCGAGTATGCTCGGTTGCGCAATAGTCGTCGAGAGGCAAGCCTTTCTGACCGCGGGCAAGAAATCGACCTACGTTGTTTACGTCAACTTGAGTCAAGTCTTGCGACCCATAGGGTTTCTACGAGATGATCATGTCAGAAAATTTTACCCCCGAGACAGACTTCTCAGTGGTTGTCGGGAAAGGCAGGGGAGGAAGAGCATCTACACCAACCGCACGCAAATGGGGGCGGGAATGAGGTTGAAAATACACACAGTGCCCCTCCCTCCCTCTCTCTCGATGGACTGGCCGAGGGCCCTCGTGAGTGTGTGGCCTTGCGTCACCTCGCATATCGTGAGGTGCTCGAGGCATGCGGCTGGAGGGAGGTAATAGGTACAGATGTGTACGTAGTAGGGCATAGTAGTAAGGAAGTCGAGGCTGAATAGAGGGGTACGGAGAAGGATTGCCAAGGCCAGAGCAAAGGGTTCGATCGAACAGTATAGTGAGAGAGAGAGAGAGAGAGAGAGAGGGGATGGATAGGAATGGGAACACACAGGAATAGTATGTGGAAATAGGGATACACTCACAGGCAAAGCAAAGGCGGCAGTCAGCGCAGAGATGTTTGTTTGCTTGTTGGGAGGAACGTCGCAAATGTCGCAGTTTGTCTAGACCATGGCGGGGGAGAGGAGTAGGAGTAGTGGGTGGAAAAGGAAGATGGCGAATGGCAGATGGCAGATGTGTAGATTGTGATGGAACTGACGATGCGCTCGACGTTGAAAAATGATGTATCGCTCAGTCGGTTCAAGGTAGGTGGGCTGGGCCACACGCGCAGGGCGACTCGGATGCCGAAGAGGGCTGGCTCGAATGATGCGGGAGGTTCGCTTGACGAAGGGAGGCGAAGCCAGCCGAAGACTCAAGGCATAGAGACTCGCAGATCCCGGTCGAGAGAGATGAGAGGTTGGCAGGAGAGTGTCAACTTGTCAAGGACTGGAATTGCTGGGCCAAGTTCTGGTGGCGATTTGACGTGGGATGGATGCGTTGAGCCTTGAGTAAACGGAACGGGGGACCGTCAGGGCCAGTCACTAATGGAAGGCAAGAGCTGAGCAGTAGGTGGGTGAGCAGGAGAGCAGGAGCATTGGAAGAGCAAGCAGACTGCCAGAACAGAGCAGATCGAGCAACACGGGGCGCCAGGCGAGCAGAGGTCGGGAAGATTGACAAGGCCACTGGCCAGGTCCAGACCCGACGATGGAGCCTGCTCCGCATCGGGGTGCTTTCCTGGCCCATTCATTGGCTATATCTGCACAGTGTCATTGAGGTAGAAGGTACTTGTGCGAAACCTTGGCCTTTGGCATCTGGCCCCGATGGAAATCTCAGATGGCCACACTGGAATTCGCAAAAAGTCGGACCGAGAATAGCATAGTGCTGTCCCGTATCCACCCCAATGCCCTGCATCAACAGTGCTGCAGCACAGTGTTTGCCATCTTTGATGGGTTCCTTACCGGGAATAGCCATCCTCCACTGCCCTGTGCGGCGCTGTGCCTTGTTCGCATTCCTTACCTAAGCTTGTCCGATATCGAGATTTGAGGATTTCGATGCGCACCTCACCGAATTGCCACTTTGGCCCGATTTAATGGCGTCACATACGTCACTCCGGAGAGCGCTCCAACGTTGCGCATCGGCAAAAGCCATCGTCGCCTCGATCCTGCTTATTCTTTTGTTCTCTTCATCATGCCTTCTGACCTCCCTCTCGTCATTTCAAGAGCAGTCTTATCTTTTCCCCATGGTAGTGGCAGGGTGCAGCATCTACATTTCCCAGTGCTTCTCCCTAGTTAGGTGCCCTAAGGCCTAAAGCACTTCCCCCTTGTGACACTCTCCCATAGACCTAGGCCTAGGCCCTTCCTCACGTCGTACTTCACAAGCTAGGCCGATGTACCCCGGCCAAATCCAGTCAAGGGGCGGGGTTTGATTCCAAAATACCTCTGGAATCGAGGCGTCTCTGAGCCATATACCTTCAAATTAGAATCCAGCTCGGCGATACAAACTACTTTTTCTGCTAATCTGTGGTTGCGAGCTGCAAAAGGAACATGGTGCTGGGGAGTTTTTCGATGCATGTTCCACCATATTGCTATATGCGGTACATGGTGCATGCGAATACCACATGTACCCAGAAAGACGCTTATGCATAAAGAGAAGTGGACCGTAACAAACGGCAAAACCCCTTAGGGACAGCCACGTATGCAGCCAGCCGCCAGCAGGAATGCCAGATGTTACCTTACATGAACCAGTAAAAGGCCCCGCGTTGCCCGCGCTGGCAATCTAGGCGAGTGTTCGACGGCGCTGCGTCCGATTCCATCTGATTGGATAAAAGACGGAAAAGACTCCGAAGCAAGCCAGCCTGCAAAAGCACAAAGATCTGCTCGTGGGGCCGTCGCGTCTTGCCGAGTCCACCTGGAAGCCTCAGCTTTGAAAGAGTAGTCGAGGCTTCTCATTGTCACTATCCGTGACTCGCACCTTGCAGATCAAATCTTTACAGTTCAAAGGCTGCCCAGGCAACGATGACAATGAGGGAAATACCAGCCTGAGATGCGCAACAATGAACACAATTGCGGATGCTGCAGGCTCCTGCCACTGTGTCTGTCCCAGGAAATGCACCGAATGACAAGTCCTTCCAGCATGCAGGGAAAAAAGGCAGGGCCGACGGGCGTGGACCATAGGTGGTCTGGAACCTCCCATCACGTGCATGTCCCGCTGGCGTTGCATCGACCCGCCTCTTGAAGCCAGCCAATCAAGGAAGTGGCTGGCTGGACCGGGGGCCAAGCATCCAAGATCAGATCCACTCAAGATCTAAGTGCACAGACCACCCGCCACCTGCTGCCATTTCTCGAATTTTGGAAGGTGTCTTATCGCGCTTATCTGTTATCTAATCCTACAGGCTTCCAACTTCCACCCTGACTGAGCTCCATTGATTTCGGCAAGTGACGATTTCCAACAACTGTCAACGACAACAACAACTCGTTGGAAGACGTTCAAAGCTGTCGGCCTGTCTTCTACCATGGCCAATTCCATCAGTCGTGGCTCGGATATACCAAACCTCCATCGAGCGACCAGCGGTAGAGGCGACAACGCAAAGCTGCTCTGGAGTTCTCGCGCCTCGGTGCTTCTTTCGATTATCGGCTGTTTATTGGCTTTTGCCTCTTTGCTTCAACTTCGTCTCCGATTCACAATTGACTCAGCCTTGCTCAACCACCTCTGAGCGACCGCTGTTTCCAGTGATATAGAGTCCCTTCTGATGTTTTGATCAGTATCTAACCATTCCGAGGCAGTGCTGTTTGATGACCGGTGGCGACCGACCGCTCGAATGATAACGGCTCAGCCTTCTGCTGAAGTTTCGGCCGTCGAGGACCCTTCGTCTGCTGACAAGCCCCGAGTGGCGTCTTGAGGACCTGGCTGTTTTCACCTCAAATCTCTACCGCAGCGGGAGAGGCTGCGGGTGGGGCATGTCGGCGTCCCGATGCCGCGTGATCGGCAGTATCGAAAGCATAGACAGTCGTTGCGATGAAGATCTTGCTGTTGGCAAGTCCGCCCGGGCCACGCCTCCCGGGACCGAAGGATGATGCTGCTGTCCGAACAAGATGATGGACGCCAAGGTGGGCCTGTCAAACTCCCGCCTTGACCTTTGATCATGGTCAAACTCACTATCGAAAAACCTGCATGTCCCGTGGGCGATGCAAGCCTTGGAAGTACTGCAAGTGCTGCAAGTGCACGCGATTCGGTGGGGAATGTTTGCATTACGTTCGACGAAAGCCATTGTTGTTGTTGTTGTTGTTGTTACGGTGCTTGTTCGATCGGCAGTGCAGCACTACCTGCAAGTGTGAGATCATCATTGGAAACTTTTTGCTTGACAATTTTGACTCAACGCCAATGCAGTGTGTTCGCGATGGACGGCAATAGTCTCGGTGGAAGAAAGCAATAGTCTTGAACGGGACTTGCCGATTATCGTATTCGCTGACTACATCGGTGTAGCATGGCAGCGTCGTCACCGAAGCTGCTGGACCAACCATCCGAGCAACGCGTGGCATACAGCGGCCGCCGTCGTCAATATCCACGAATGCTTCGAAACGTTTCTGCCTACGACGAAGAAGGGGGGCAGTCAGTTACGCATCAATCGCCTGGAGAAGTTGCCTGACGCCTACAATTCGACAATTGGGTTTTCGCATCACGAGATGCATGTCACGCGTAGGCCCAAAAATAATCGTCCGAAACAGTTTTAGACCCCCCCAATGGCCTTATTCGATACTGGAGGCGAATAACGGCCCTCAGCCACCGCGGTGATGTCAACCACTCGATTCACCCTCCTCTCACAAGGGCTTGGGAGAGGAGAAGGGTAGGAGAGAGAGAGAGAAAATTCGAATTCGGGCCCGTCGGGTAGAAAGCAAGGACTTTACCTTTTCGATCCACCGCGGGGACTGCATACGCATAGTTCAGACTGCTTGTCATGCATTCGGATGAAGTCATTCGGCATCTTCCGCGGTGGGGGGCAATTGAGCTTGTCCTCCCAAGGGTCTCCGGGGTTGAACGGAAGGGTCTCCGGCGGACGAAAACACGGACGGAGGTGATCCACACCCGGCCGTTCTCCAGCGGGGCCAGGCTCGGCGGTGCCCAAGAGCAAGTCGTCCCGTTGCCCAGGAAGTCCGCTTGGCGGAGGAGCGCCGGTCTCTACATGCGACACGCCGATCATGACGCCAATCGCTGTCGAGGTTTTAGGGTTGATTCCTAGCACCACGCAAGCCACGGCACCCTCTTACACCACTGTCAATCCATATCGCCACGTCTCGCAATGGCGCGATTGCCGAACCTTCTAACGCGCGTAGGGCGCTGATCAATCATGCTGATCAGCGACTTTCTCAAACAGTAGTCAACTTTCTAGCATTCACACTCAGCAACTTGCTTGAACGAGGATAAGGAGAAGGAAAACACGAAGCACACAATGTCAGTATCCGAAGTCGAGCGTCGAATCTTATCTCGGAGACGGGCTGGTTCCCCAAAGCCCCAACGACCCCTAATGCTGACATGGAGGAGGAGAAGCCTTACAGGTCTCACAAAGCCTCTTGCGATCGACAGACTGTCTGAGCTCGGCGAGAACAAGCAACACGAGCTCGACGAGGCTATTCAATTGGCCTCGAAAGGCTTCACCCCATCTCAACGTACCAATGCTGTTGACATATCGTAGGATTGTTCCTATAGACTCACATCCTCCCGCAGTACTTCATCCCTTTTCGCTGCATTAGACCCTGCTCAGATCGCGGTTGCATGCATCACAACAGGCGACAGGGTTGGTAGAAGAGCATGCAACAAGCAGTGAGCAGATTGAGAACCCAATAGCTCTCCAGCAGCGGTAGCAAGCTGCTTGCACTATCGATCAAGCATCACCCTACTTCACGCACTCGTTCATTCCCGTGATAAATACACCATCGTCCAACCGTCCCCCAGATATCTCGTCTGGATTCGGCGGACCGAAGACGTGCATGAATATGGATACTCTTCCGCGACTGGTCCTGTGCTCGGGATCCTTCGCGCCCCGAACTCATCCCATTTCAAACGACCTAACGAGCGATTGGGCTCGACCGACGGATGCGTGCGTGAGAGCTCGACAAGTTGTCCTTCTCGGCTACCTGCACCCTTATTATTATTATTCCTCCTCAATTGTGTCACTCTCAGACTCGACCATGTTGTTATTGTTGACGGTTGCTAGTGGAAGGATTGAGGGGTAATCTTTCCTTCTTCACCTTTCCCCTCACTATCTGACTCCGAGCCTTAATAGAACTCAAACAAGTTGAGACGAAGGCTTATGTACGAGCACAGATGGACCAGTGAATGAGCGCGAGATCAGTGTGGCCATGAGGCAGGGGCCCGTGCCAGCGACTCTATGGCACTCTTGTTAGGGGGGCCCATCTGGCCTTTCTCGCGCTTTTCCTCTGTGCCATTCCCATTCCCTCCCGGAATCCCACCCACACCCCGCGTACCGGCGGCGCTTTCAGCTGACAAGCATGACACCACCTCTAGGCATCGTTTCCGCGGGGATTTTGAGGTTTTCCCAGCGTCGGATGCCCACTGCTTTATTTTGGACCTAGAGGCATTCATGATGAGACGATGTGGCGCGCTGCTGTCTCACCCAACGTTCCTGGGTCGTTGCTGTCTCAGTGGCCGCACCAGCAGCGGCCCATAACGGTCCAGACCAGCTGTCCAGTCGGCTCCATCTCTCACACAAATTCGTCTGCCATTCCTCCCGTCATCTGCCCCTTGCTTTACTGCCGTGTAAGGAGAGGAGGGGAGGGGCCAAAAGAATGGAGGGAAAAGGGTGGGGGCCAGTCATTTGTGCTGGGTGAGAGTGAGGCGCTTTCTGGCGCCCCAGCCAGTCGGTACCGAGCCTGTGTGCTGAACAAACCGCCGATCTCCCGGTGTCGACCACGGCGTGGCAAAGCAAGGTTGCGGGGAGGGGTTGGCCATGGCCCATGACAAAAGTTGAAAAGGCAAACGAGCGAATTGGCCGGTCGATGGTTTCCTTCTCGAATAGCGCCAGCGCGTAGTGAGCCACAAGTCGACAAGTCATCGACCCAAGCGTCCTCGGCGACGAGGAACTATCGACCGGGCCCGAAATTGAGTATAGGGAGGGCAAAAAACCATATGGTCGAGAACTTGCAAACTCTCTTGACTCACAATAGCAGGGACCTCGTTGTCACAGTCACCGTCTCAACTTATTTGCATCTGGAGCATCTCAGCTGCGAGCGAATCGCAGGTTCAATCTCAAGGAAAAAGAGTTCAGCTTACCGCCCGATGAACCAACACTCATCGCCAATCAAACGGTTGCGCCACCATCCCTTCCCCTTCCTGGGTTCTCTCCCCGTGGACGCCTGTTTACTTACGGCAAATCGCGTCGCGATGGATGAGCGTGGTGGGTTAGCTTGAATACCTGCTGCCCAGCTGGCCGGCCCAGAACAGCGCCACCAGTCTACTTAGTCATTCAGCTTGGCTTGATGGCTGGCGCCTTCCTTGGTCTTTGCGCCGTTGGTTACTGGTGCTTTACCAGTCTAGACTGCGTAGCCCAGACCATGCGGCACTTATCGTCGGGTACAGCCCCCCTCTTCTGAGTCTTCTCCCTATTCTTGCAGGCAGTCTTAGGCAGAGTCTCTCTGTATTGGGTTTGGGGGCTGGCTACAAACGCATACGATCGAACCATTGAGTTCACCATTGATGCGCATGAAATCGTTAATTCGCCGTGTCTGCGAGTGAAGACTTTGTGAGGACGTTCACCCACCCTCAGCCTCCTTAGGTTAGGCGGTGACGATGACGAGATGCTTGGCACAAGGCTATGCTGGCTCATTTGCCCCTTATTACCTCTTCTTCATGACCGTTAGGCTTGTTAATCATCCCCGATCAGGGTTTCTTGGCCGCCTTCACCCCGCAGATACCATTGTATACTAACTGTAGAGGGATCGTGCCGGGCGGTTCCGTCAGTGCGGCACGATGGGCGCCACGACACACACCCTACCTTCGACCAGTCGGGTAACGAGGACCATCTAGCTGACCGACAATTAACATGCTACGTGAAGCTGCGTGACCTTTAGTCCCTTTAGTGGGGCAGCCACGCCAGCCCTACATGTGCAAGCGAAAGCAGGTTACCTAGCAGCCTGCCAGCGGGTGCTGTGCCACCTCATCGACTCTCACAGGCACAGGAAAAGAAGAACTGGGGAGGAGGCGCTGATGCATGGACTCACACACGTCTGCTGACGCTAGCACCGCGCAAGCACGGAGAAGCCACCACCTCCATTCGGTCGCGGAATTGTTGTTATGGTTGATACCCGTACCCGTCTTGGGAGAAGAAAGAGGGTTCCTCGAGTCTTGGAGGGGGGTGGGCAAGGTGTGTATCCAGACACCGGTACCAGGGACCCTCAATGTCTCATCCCCCTCTGCACGTGGCGTTCGTCTATCTGAGCCTCCGAGGTGGCCACAAGGGACCCAAGAAGGTTCAAGCAACGCAGGGAGAGGGGAGGCAAGTAGTGGGAACACCCATCTCGCCAGACTTCCCAGAGTAGATATATGAGGCTCGCCCCATTCGCACCACTTTCCAGACTGAGAGAGGTTCGCCATCATTGATCAACCGAAATCTACGGACAACCGACTACTTCTTACGCAGTCCTGCCCGTTTTGGACGACAATTCCACTTCCACTCTCAGGACGTCCGGTTTCATCGACACTTACACCATACTACCTCAACACTTATATACAACCACCACCAAGATCTCAGCAAACATGCTGTGTATCCTCCCCGACGAGCTTCTGCTCATTACAGGCGTCACCGGCCACGTTGGCTTCGCCGTTCTCACTCATGCCCTGAGGGCAGGCCACACCGTCCGCTGCGCCGTCCGCTCAGAGGCAAAGGCCGCTTTCATCCGCTCCCGGCCACAGATTCGCGCACTCAACCTACCCCGCGCGAGACTCAACTTCACCATCGTGCCAGACATCACCACCGATGGCGCCTACGACGATGCCATCCGCGGCGTCTCCGCAGTGGTTCACGTTGCTTCACCACTCGCGACCGCCGATTCAGTACCTCGCGATCTGCACCAGGAGTACTTCATCCAGCCCGCCGTCCGCGGCACTCTCGGTATGCTCGAGGCTGCCAAGCGCGCCGGCACTGTCCGCAGGGTCGTCATCACCAGCTCCGTCGTCGCCCTCACCTCAGTAGACCACCTCGAGGGCCGCGAGCGGAAGGAGCCTGTCCAGCCCACGGAGAGGACTGGCTTCAAGCCTGAGCCGTATGAGAGCGAGTTCGCCGCCTACGCTGCTTCCAAGGTGGCTGCTCTCAAGGGTGCCGAGGCGTGGATTGCGAGAGAGCAGCCTCGCTTTGAGGTCGTGCACTTGCACCCTTCCTTCGTTATCGGCCGCAACGACATCGCGACCACGGCAAGCGAGGCGATGAAGGGCACCAACGCCGTCATCCTCGCCACCCTTCGCGGCAAGAAGATGGGATGCAGCTACCCCGGAGCGACAGTTCACGTCGACGATGTCGCCCGCGCCCACGTCCAGGCTCTCCTGCCTTCTGTCCCGGGCAACAAGAGCTACATTCTCAGCACCAAGTCCCGCTGGAACGACGCGAAGCTCATTGCCAAGAGGAGCTTCCCCGAGGCTGTTGAGAGGAAGCTGATTGTCAGCAGCGGCTCGGTCGGCACGGTCAACATTGACTTTGACGCTTCCGCCTCGGAGAAGGTGTTTGGCTTCCAGCTCCAGGGCTTCGAGGAGCAGGTGCGCAGTGTGGTTGGGCACTTTGTCGAGCTGAGACTGCTGAGACGCCCTGCGCTCCCCACGGTTTCTTCGTCTTCGATGGCGGTTAACCAGCATTTGAGGCCTGAGATTGTGGCCGCATAGAGATCTTTACGGCCTGCTTGACGACGTTTACGAGCATTTTCTTTTTCTACTTTTCTACCTTTCATCATTTGGGACATTGCTCAGGCATCGGAGGACAAGACATTCCATCAGGGGACGAAGAGTTAGCCCGTACTGTATCAGCCAGTCGAGGCGCATTTGGATTGGAGAACATTTCAAACATCATGGAGATTGGGAAAAAGGCAGCATTCGATTCACAACGGGATACCCAGCGGAACTAGCATCCGCACCTTTAACATTAGTGTATATACTTTGGATTACAGAAATCCACAACAAGAAATTTTTAGAAGTCATCCATCATCTCATCCGTCTTACATGTTCGTGTTCCCTCGCGTTGGTGGTCCTCCACGCATGTGTCTAACCCACGCCCACGTTCACGCTGACTCCCACTCCCACGTCGCATGCCCGCACCCATGGGAAGGGAAGGGAAGGGAATTGGGGGGGCTGAACCACTGCCCAAATGGTCTGAGGGATTTCCCTCACCATGGGCCATTGGAGTATGGGCCATAAAGGCATAGACCATGGACCCCAGCTGACCAGCAAAGAGGGAAAAATGGTGGCGGGTCCAGCTCCAAGGGCACCGGGCGCGCCGTTCAGCCTCAATCTCCTACGATATGATAGGCTCATTTCTTTTGGGCCGTTCTCCAAATTCCAACACACCCCATAGTCCAGACTCCAGTGTCCAACTGCTTTGCTCTATGCAAGCCTGGGATTGGGGTTTTAGGGGAGGGTAGCGTTGTCTCACGTTGTGGTCCAGCTACCCCAGACTACTGGACTGCATTTGTACGTGCACTTTGAAGAAGAGACCAGATTATGGGTTCTGGAGAGACGCAGACACACACACACACACACACACACACACACACACACACACACACACACAGAGAGAGACAGGGAGGGAGAAAGAATTCTCGCTAATTTTATCCCACGTTGCTTTTTGTCTTTGCGCTGCTGGGAGTTTGGGAGTCTGGGATCCTGGGACTGAGACTCGGATACCTTCCTCGTGTCTTGTCGAATGAGAGGTTGTGGTTTTTGGTTCGCTACTGCGTACAGTCAAGCTGTAGAGCTCGGTGAAAGCCAAGTGAAGGATATTATCCCACTCGGTCGGGCCATACTATGTGATTTCACCCGATTACTTTAACCTTGCGCAAGTGTAGGTTCTTCGTCCCCAGAGGTTGAGCTAGACACCATCACATACTAATTAGCACCCGGGAGAGGCGCGACACCCCCCCCCCCCCCCTCACTGAGCAGGCAGAGAAGTATCCCACTCGAACCGCAGTTTTACAGCCAGTCTAATGCCAAGAACCGTCCCGATCTATGTGAACCTCGAGATCCTGCGACACGGTACCTGTATCGAAGACCAGCTGATCAGGATGTCTCCTCTAGAGTGTCCCTGTGGAGTTCGCTTCGCCACGCTTGATGCTTCCCTTCCCTTTCCTCCCGTCTGAGGAAACAGCGGATGGAACAGCAACAGTTATGCCGAACTATGTGAGGTCGGGAAGAGGTTTGGATGGGATGGGATGGGACTCACAGGAGTAGAAGGATGGGAGCTCGAGGAGTCGAGGGGTGTGAAACAGACACATGTTCGCGGCTCGTCCTTCGTCCTTTCGCGGCTGGCTTCTGAGAGCGCGTCGGTTCGGCGCCGCGGCTACTCTGTTTCCCGGGTCGGAGAACAGATGCCGCCGGTGTTTGATTCTGACTTGCCCTTTTCAAATCACTAATAAGTATCCCCGAATGCCAAGACCGCGGCTCCTCGTGAACTTGCATGAGAGTCCTCAGCTCGTGATGAGAAGTCTGAGTCTGGACTGTACACTGCGTTATCAAGGCGAGGGTTCCAGACCTCAAGCAGAATCTTTGGACCACCGGCAGTCTGGGCCCTTCGAACCCAGGAGAATGGTTAACAGACGCAATGACTCCCGTCCTGCAGCCTTAACGGGCCCTTTCAAGCGACTCTCACCTGAAATGCACTGTCGCTCACGCACTCTAGAAAAGAAAGGAAAGATAAGAGAAGTGTGGGAAAAACGTGCTTCCTCAGAGGGAGCCGATTGGATTGGAGCTAGAGTTAGACGCAGTGTGTCTTGGATTAAGCGAGATGGTCGAAGTTCTAGCTATGGGAAAGACAAGTAACTTGTTATGGCTTGTGGCTGATGAGTGGCTTGTTCACGGTTGAACTTTCGACTCCCCCCATCGTCAACGGCGTTGGGGTGTGAGAATATTATGCCATTCTGTGAAAGATCTGAGGTTTTCGAGTGCGGTGATCATCGTATTCATCATGGAGACGGAAAGGGGGGACTTTTGCCTCGAAGAGTAGGCGAGGAAATAGGCATCCACGTCAAGGTTCGATAGCACAATCCTCTGACCCACAGAATCCTTCATACATGAGTCGAACATCACGAATCCCTCACTTGTTGAAGAAGCGGCAAATTTCTCAGCGTCATATTTCGTGATCTTCCCCAGGATTATTGAATAAAAGTGAACCGTCGACCTAAGTAAAACGAAGGAAGGAAGTATCGCGGAGCCACTTCCGAAAGTTGTTTCGCTCGTCAGCGCCAAAACTTCTCGAGGACAAATTTAGGACCTTGGTAAGCAAGCCACCGCCACGAAAACTGACTCGAGTTCTTCTCGCGATGGTGCACTTCATCCCGTCGGCGTCTACCCCGTCTCCAGAAGGTTTGGCTTCGGAAAGTGGGCAGTCTGAAGAGGAATTGTTGTTCACCGAGGACGAAGAAGATGAACCTGAGATCAAGGACGAGCTCAAGATTGTTGTCGACGCGTCTAACCGGGGAAGGTGATCGGATGTGATTTTGGAGGCGCGGAAGCACATGCGATGCCACCCTAGACATCCAGGACGGGTGCGCGACGGCGGGAGAGTGTGCATCTTGGCGGACTCTTCTTCATCGGACGAAGAAGGCGAGAATAAGCTTCCAGTCCGTCCAGAACCAAAACCAGCAAAAACCACATTCACCCTCTTCAACCAACTGCCGAAAGAACTTTGGGACACCATCCTCCTCACGGCCTTCGACCCAATCACCATCAAAGGCTGGATCAAAATCGACCTCGAGTGGCGGCGCGGGCCCCAAGCGCACTTTCCCCGCCGCCGAAGCAGGTCCTGGGCCCCCATACCCCTCTACGCCGTCAGCCGGGAAACCAGAACGCTGGCGGCCACGGCCTTCGGCGCCCCGGACCCGCGGACCTTTCCGTTCAGCCCCGCTCGGGACGCTGTGGAGCTTGTGTGGGATGGGACCATGCTCCCCACCACGTGGAGGCGGGCGGAGGACTACAGGCTGACCGGGCCCGTTATCACGGGTCCGTGTGGCGGGGATGGAGATGTAGGCCGGGAGGAGAAGAAGCTTGTCAATATTGACATGGAATGGGCTATGCCTAAGGAGACGCGTGAACGGGTGCAGACTGTGATTGTAGACGGGCGTTATGCGAGGTTTGATTTCGGGCTGAGGGATGGGGTCAAGGGGCCGTGGGGCCTCGTGTTTAAATTGGTGAAGGGGTTCTTCGCCGAGGTGAGGGTGTTAGGGATGAGATTGTGGGATTTGGATGATGAGGGTTTTGAGGGGAGCTTTGACGCGGTGAAGGGGGAGGCGCTTTCCAGGGTTGACCAGATGGACTTTTTGGATGTTTTGGAGGAGGTCTGGTCTGAGGCTGATGCTGGGGCTGAGGCCGAGGATGCAGGGGGTGGAGGAGGAGCTCCGTTTCCAAGGTTGAGATTACTGAGGGTGTTCCCAGAGATCCCTAGGCGGAGGAGGAGGCATGTGTTTAGGTTCAGAAAGGTGAGGGGAAGTCATTTCCTGGTTGTTGGACGAGGAGACACCCCGACAGCTGGGCCTTGATTTGATCATGAAATCTCGCAGCAATGTGTTGATCGAGAAAAGGAATGTATGACCTGCCCGCTTAGAGCTGTGGACTCAAATGAGTCTTTGAAGCCCTGCTTGAACAATTACAACACATCATCAAAAATCATGATCCCTCGGTTGGTACATGTAGCTTTCTGGTGTGCAAGGTGTGACACGGTGATGCTATAGAAACAACATGGGTTGAATCTTGCCTGAAATTTGAGAAAAATAAATCTCCTCACGAGACGCCACGGAAATGACCAGGGGCTTAGAGCTAAGAAAATCCGGCCTTTATTATTGTTTTACTCTCTGGTTGGTTATAAGTTCATTGGCACCAATTTCCTAAACAGCATTTTCTTTCAACGCCATGCTGATGCTGTTCCAAATCGTGCACCGGTAGAATCGTGGAATCTTGCTCTTTCCAACTCAGAATGACTATTCCACCTCGCTCGTCAATCTTTGAGCCTCGATAGCCACTCCTCTGGAGGCCGAACCATCGTCCGTCGAAAATCATCGCTGAGTCTCAACCTTGATGTCGGAACATCCACGTCGAATAAGCTCATTCTCGGTCGTGGAGATTTAGTTCTAGATGTGCTCGTCTTGACCGTTGATTCTGTCTGCTTGCTGACCTGGTGAGAAGGGGGGTTGACTTCGAGAATCCCGTGGGGCGAGGTGATGTCTGAGTCGGCCGGCCCATCTTCAGGGTCGAGGTTGTGTGCCTGGCGTACCATCCGGCTCGTCTCGTTCCTGCGCGCTTGCTGTCTCTCTCTTCGGTCTCTCCGTTGACGGTAAACCGACGAACGACCCATCTTGGTGAGTGCCATCTGATAAAGAGGTCTCAACGTTGCTATTGACGCTGCTACGATGCCAACACCCGGCTCGACTGTGCTCCATATTGCAAAGTTGGACGTTTCGTCTGCAGGATGAACATTCACGTTAGCGTCATTCAATGGTGAGTGGCGTGGGAGCTAAAAAAGAGCTTACAAAGAAAGTCCTGGCCGTCTAGTAAGGTCGGGATGTAGAACGCTCTAACAATGGTGGCAGTACTTCCTCTGCATTACAAGATGTCAGCTTTACCTAGCCCTCACCCCGGAATACTGCAGCCTTCAGCCTCTCACACTTACACAGCGGCTAGTCCTAGGATACAAACCACCACGATCTTCGTCCCGATGGGAAGATTCATGGATCTGACGATGAACCATGGCAAAACACCGAAAATGAAGTCTGCACTCGTATTGATGACCGTTGCCGCAATCGTCATGATGTAAATAACCCGCGAAGGCCAGCATTTTCCCGGCGTTCTTGGCCCTTCCTCCCAGTATGTCGGCACCGGTCTACATTGGAATGCCACCATGAAGAGGTACGTCGTGCCGAAGACGACTGTCCCGACCATGAGAGCTCGAATTATCCATATGTGCGGCCGGTCGAGTGCGACTCGGAGGAGGAAGTAGCCGACGGAGATTTTGAGGACGCAGGTTGAGATGACGTTGAGCAGCTCGAGGATCCACCATAGCTTGAGAGCCAGGTTAGTTCGGGGGAAAGATTCATTGGAAGGTTTGATTTACCAGCAACATGGTTCTTCTCTCGCCAGCGGTGATCTCTGTGTCGACCCGCCCTATCCCATGTTTTCCTCCGTAAATCTGCAACACTAGATATCCGGTGAAAATGATCTTCAACTCGTGAGTATTTTGAAGCCCTTGAATACTACCGTCAGACCAGATGTTACTCACCAGGAGGAAGACCATGATCTTGTCATCGACACCGAACGACCGCACCAAAACAGTTCGACAATATACGCGGAGACTGACGGCAAGCCATGTTAGGAGAAGGAATGCCGAGGCAGTGGCGACGATTTGGACGCTCTTTTCCGCCATCGCGACGGGAATGACGCCATAAATTCCATCTAGAATCACCTTGGCATGGGGCAATGAAGATGAAGCTGAAGTGTGGAAGAATTATCAACCACCGACGGAAACGGGCCTAGCAGCCGAACGCCGCTTTATCAACCCCAGCATGATTCAAATCGCAAAATCGCCTTGATCTTCGAAGATTGCCTTCGGTCTGATCATTACGAGATGAGATGTCACAGATGTTGAGCAGACTTTTGAGAGCGATGCCCGTGTAGCGATTCAGCGAATAGGATTGTGAGCTTTGACTTGGTCACCCCTTGAGGGGTCACGACGAAACTTTTGCAGGGGAGCCTGTCTGATCTTACCTGGGCAGAGGAAAACATTCTCAAGGCAAACTTCTGGGTAGTCGCACGTTTTGATAATGATTAGTTCATGGACGACTTGCCTCTAAAGTGCGATTATGCAGGGAAGATGGCAAACATAATCCGCGTAGTAGGTAGTCTAGATTTGGCATCAAAGAGGAAATGTCGACGAATATTCGTATGGTCGATCAGTTCCAAGAGACATTGAGCTGCGTTGATGAAGCAAATTTCGCTACAACAGCTGACCGGTGGCACACAATTATCTGCCGAGTCATGTCGATACTCGGCCCTCATCCAAGATCCTGTCAATTGCAGACCTCTAGCTTTGTTTTGTAGACTATGGATCCAGTCAAGTTGGTGATCACTTATCAAGGTATTAAAAGTGCAGTCTGTGTCTCAGTATTTAAATCTACTATGAACATTGTAGGATCTCGGCTCGAAGCTACTGATACAATATTTGTCGTATAATCATAATAACTATAGGCATCGAGATGTATAATAAAGAACGGTTATTTATTAAAAATAGGGAATAGTCTGGCACGATAGCTTTAAGAGATAAGTGATAAGACTCTTATACAAGAGTATTAAATGGTGAATATTCATATAGAAGCAAGAATATATGAATATAGGGGTAGTTAAGTGTATATGAAAGAGGTTGATAAATATAAAGAGAGTATATAGTTAGATGTTACGCCCGCCGCAAGTTGTCACTGTGGGCGCGTAGCTATATATGCAGAACAAGGGACAATGATGCCGGAGTCATCATTATCAAAGCTTTTGCTTTGTGCCACAGTTGGTTGCCTTGTCCAGCTCGTAACATTAGATTACTATATGAGAAGTTGCTTGCTTAACGAAAGGTCTAGGTAGGTAAAAAGATGCCCTTATATAGGCATAAGATCCTCTGACTAGAATATTCCATTGCTTATTAATTATATCATAATTAATAAGCATAACTATACGAAAGTGAATGCGTAATCGTAATACGTAATACCTTTCAAGTAAATTCCAGCGCATTCTATTACCTTCCAATGCCTTCTTTCGCTCACGTAAGCTTACATAACCAATCTTGCTTACGTAATCAATATCTATATTAATCTATAACTCTTATAGATTAATATGATATATAATATGCTTACGTAATATGAATAATAAGGCAAATAATAAGGTAAAAGATTTACCTTTCTAACAAAAGGTAAATAAGTTGAGGTACGAGTTGGAATAATCAGAGAATCGATTGTATTAATAATTATTCTATGATATGGTGGGAAAGTGTAGTCTATATACAGTATAAATATCACATGTAATCATATGTAATCACATGTAATCACTTGTAATCACATGTGATGCTTAAGTTCGAGCATTAAGTTTATACGGGCATATGTGCCTGTCGGCGCTTTAACATGTATATGTAAAGCGTATTTACGTACGGGCTGTACGTGCGTATAAAGCGTTGTATATCAGTAGATACGTACTTCAATTAAGCCTTTTATTACTATATAACTTCTTAAGCACGTAACTCCTATGATACCTGTATTTATAAATTATAAATATATCATTAAAATTGTAGAAAATCACTGAGTCTAGATATACTTATGACTTAGAATATTTACTAAAATTCTAAAACTTATACTTGATTAGTACTATAAGAGTTACGTACTTAAGAAGTTACATGGTAATAAGAGGCTCAATGCTACGCCCGCCGCAACTTGTCACTGTGAGCGCGTAGCCACATAACGCAGAACAAAGGAAAATGATGCGGAGTCATCATTATCGAAGCTTTTGCTTTGTGCCACAGTTGGTTGCCTTGACCTTCTCGTAACACTCAACCGAAGTACGTATCTACTCAGATACAACGCTTTGTACGCACGTACAGCCCGAACGTAAATATGCTTTACATATACATGTTAAAGCGCCGACAGGCACATATGCCCGTATAAACTTAATAATAAATGCTCGGACTTAAGCACCACATGTGATTACATGTGATTACATGTGATTACATGTGATTACATATGATTACATGTGATATTTGTATTATATATAGACTACACTTTCCCACCATATCATAGAATAATCATCAATACAATCGATTCTCTGATTATCCCAACTCGTACCTCAACTTATTTACCTTTTCCCTTTTTGCCTACCTTTAACCTCTTAGTTTATGAAACATCTATAGCCCTTATATTCATTGAGATATTAATATTTATTTCTTATATTATAGAGTACTAGTGTTGCGAGCAGGACAAGGCAACCAACTGTGGCACAAAGCAAAAGCTTTGATAATGATGACTCCGGCATCATTGTCCCTTGTTCTGCATTATATAACTACGCGCCCACAGTGACAACTTGCGGCGGGCGTAACAACTAGTTTTAGGGTACTAATTAAGTATAAGTTTTAGAATTTTAGTAAATATTCTAAGTCTTAGTAATTATATAAGCGAGGTTATATAACGGGCGGTAAGGCCTTAGATAGTTAAATGCTACGCCCGCCGCAACTTGTCACTGTGGGCGCGTAGCTATATCCCATCGGGTGCGGATGGACGCCATTTTCGCCAAGGGCGGGGTAGAGCCAATAAGGGCCTGGAAACCCTTTAAGTTAACCAATAGATCTCTAGTACCTCCAATCTCTATAGATTTTGGGTGTGCCAGAGGTACCAGCAATCTCTTTCAATACATAACGGTACATTACAGTCTAAGCAGCCCTTTCGTGTTGTCCTTCAAGTGGCCGGCACGTTAAAGGGCCGGAAGGAGCCCGGAAGACCATGCTCGGTAGCCAGAGGTTCGCAGGGCCGGACTGTTGCTGCGTCACAGCGCTCGGGCGTACAGTCTGTATTGCAGGCAGCATTAAGGTCTTCTGGAAGGACCTCAACTACTATACAGCTGCGTACAGAAGTAATAGAAGCATCAGAATCAGAATCATTAGAAGACATTACAGCATCAATCAAATTGGTAGTAATAGTGGTGATAATAGGTAACAGAGCATAGGGATAAATGACGTACCATCAAAGTACCCCTTTAAATGCGCGGTAATAGTGGATAAGTAGTGGGTATTTTGGGGCTTGGCGAAAATGGCGTCCATCCGCACCCGATGGGATAATGCAGAACAAGGGAAAATGATGCGGAGTCATCATTATCGAAGCTTTTGCTTTGTGCCACAGTTGGTTGCCTTGTCCTGCTCGTAACATTAAAGCTATTACGATAATATCTAAGATAACCATTGCTGCTCTATCCCAGTTCATAACTCTATATCGGCAGATTTTCTGCTTTTGAGTTCAGATATGATGTGACATGAACCTTGAATCTTAACATTCTGGCGAACCACTCTCGATCATCGCACGTGGTACTAAGGTAAGTTATACCGAATCATTTAGTTGACGGAACTCTGCAGCCTCACCCCTCGGAAAGTGTCCCAAGCCAAGCATCTCACATCGCTTTGAAAGTGGCTAAATCCGAATCTCAGGAAGGCGTTGGAAACCTACTTTCATGATAGATAAGGTACCTAGGTAGAGGAAAGTGCCAATAAGCAAAGTTAGATCACAAGACTAGGGCGCAGGAGCAAGTCCGGAGTGATTATCGTCAAACCTCTGTTGTCTTTTATCACAGTAGACGCGGAAGCGAAACGTTTTCGAGGAGTCTCCCAAAGTTCAAGGAAACTTCATGAGAGCATCTGATCAAAAGTAGAATATTGAAGTCTCATTCAATTGCGTATCCCATCGGGTGCGGATGGACAGCACTTTCGCCAAGGGCGGGGTAGAGCCAATAAGGGCTTGCAAATCTATAAAGTTAACCAATAGGGCTGTAGTACCTCTGTTTCCTACAGATTTTGGGTATGCCAGAGGTACCAGCAATCTTTATTAATACATAATGGTACATTACAATCTAAGCAACCCTTTCGAGTTGTCTGCCGTCGTTGCCGAGTGATGGTATTCCCAGATATCTCCTTGAAAACCTTCCTACTACCACAATAGGTACAAGGTGAAGATACCTTCCTTGATCCCTTCCTATGCTGTTCCCATGGGATAGAAATATTCCTCTTATCTATAGCCCGTCTAGGCCGTGATAGTCTTCGCCCGCCTGCCAATGGTCCAAACCGTTGAATAAGCTAGGCAGCCAGCAACTCCCGCCATTGGTAGTGGGGTTTCACCTTTTTCCACCTAGGGCTGCCCCAGAGCTGCAGTAGGAAGCTATTCACAACTACCACTTCTAGTAGGAAATTCCAGGCAACTGACTGCCAGCCCCCTCGACGAATAGGGTGGTTATATTGATAGTAGGACCTCATCTGGTCACTCACATCAACCCCCTTCATCTTATGATTATATTCATCAATTGCCCTAAGGATTAGAAGGTCTTTGCGGACATCCGGGCCGAAGACTTCCCGGGCGGCCTTCTTAGCAGCGGTATCCCCAGCCGGGCGGCGGCGGCTGCGAATAACTTCCTGGCCGTCCTGGAAGACAGTTGACAGGAAGAGTACGAGGGCATTATCCTTCCAGGTCAATTGGTTGACCTAATTCCTAGTTAGCTGGGCCGGGCAGGGCTGGGCTGGGCGCGCTGCTCGGGCTGGAATTCCGCAGTATTGAATATCCGTAGTCGCTGGAGTAGTAGTTGGAAACGGTCCCGGGACATAAACAGTGTAAATAGGTGGATAGGATCCTCTCTCTGCTGCTGGGTTGACCAGTAGGTTGATAATCTAGATTCTCTATGGATCCCTATATATAATAGGATCCCTAAGAAGAGGTAGATTTCGTCTGTTGAAGTCTTCCCCCACTCATATATTCTAGCCCGTCTAGCCCTAGGGCCCTCCCTAGATAACGGTGCTGCACTCGTCCACTGGGCCCACTGCTCAAAGAGGCCCTGCGGAACGTACTGCATGAATAGGTCAAGCGGGCTTGCCGGCAGCCCCCGTATCTCTTGGGCCCGGGCCGGCACGTCAAGGGGCCGAAACGAACCCGGAAGGCCATGCTCGGTAGCTGGAGGTTCGTGGGGCCGGACTGTAGCTGCGTCACAGCGCTCGGGCGTACAGTCTGTATTACAGGCAGCAGTAAGGTCTTCTGGGTGGACATCAACTACTATACAGCTGCGTATAGAAGTAATAGAAGCATTAGATGCAATAGAGGTATCAGAATCACCAGAAGACATAACAATATCAATCAAAATAGTAATAATAGTGATGATAATGGGCAAAAGAGCATAGGAATGAGTGACGTATCGTCAAGTACCCCTTTAAATGCGGGGTAATAAAGTGTAAATAGTGGGTATTTCGTGGTCTTGGCGAAAGTGCTGTCCACCCGCACCCGATGGGATAAGGAATGGCATGTAAGGTACACAATTTCCTACACCTCCCCCTCAATCTCCCTATGGATTACTCTACATCTAAAGTCTAGGAGTAACCCATTTACATATTGGATGGAGTAATGAACGTATTCGCTTTCGCTTCTGAAAATGGACAAGTCACCCCCCACCCCTGGCCTTGATCACCTCAATGTCCGACATCATCTCATCCCTCCCCTTCTCTCTTTGAGGCTCAGGTCCAATCGTCACCAAGTCATATTTTTGTGGGAAATACCGGTTTCCCCGCTCGCCCGGCACCTTTCCACCGACCGCTTTGACCAGCCATGCACCAGGACCCCAGGTCGACCATGTTGTAGGCCGCAAGTACCAAGGCTACAAGCTTTTCCTTCCAAAGTTGTAGAGCTTTGTCTCGGGATTCAGGGCTTCGTCAACGATCTTGACTGCGGATGAGTCGGGGCGTGGGAGAGCAAGATGTCGAAGACCGAGCTTTCTCAGGTTGCGCACGAGGGCTAGGAAGGTAGACAGGGGGAGTCCAGGAGATTCGAGACTTGGGGGCGCACTTTGGTTAGTAAAGTTACTGTGGTAAAAATTTGCTTGTAACAACTTACTTGAGACTCAGTCGGACTATGCCGCCTAAATCCGCCCCGAGCGAATTCCTCAGAGCTGTCCTCAGGAAACTAGGCAACGAAGACAAAGCCGAGTCGACATAGACTCTGAGGTATTGATCATTTGTCGCCACCGGCTTACAAACTTCCTCTTCGTATCGAACTGTCCAGTCTCTGAGCTCCGTTGCAAAGTGCAATCCGTCCTTCCAGCCGTCTCCACAGGAGGGAAGAAGGTCGAAGGGAATGCCCATGTCTTCTCCTAGGTTCTTGTGAAAGATACCTAGAGCACATATTTCGACTTCCGTCAGTTTGCGCCATTCGTCCCTATTCACCACGTTGAGTAGCTCGGCAAGACCGTCGCCGAGGGTGTGAAGTAGGTCGGGGTCAGTGATCTTGTTTGCGCGGCGGTATCGAGCATCATGCTCGATACCGTAGCAGATCTATCAGTTCAATCAGCCAAACTGTCACGGGCTGGAGCCCGGTTGAGATCTCCGGCCTTGCCGGAGCCGCACGTATCCCATCGAGTGCTGACTGACGCCATTTTGCCAAGCCCCAAAATCCCCACTATTTACACTTTATTACCCCGCATTTCAAGGGGTACTTGACGATACAACATTTACCACTATGCTCTTTTACCTGTTATCACTACTATTACTAGCATTTCAATTGATGCTGCAATGTCTTCTAGTGATTCTGATACCTCTATTACTTCCAATACCTCTACTGCTTCTAAAACTTCTGTTACTTCTGTACTCAGCACTATAGTAGTTGAGGTCTACCCAGAAGACCTAGCTGCTGCTTGTAATACAGCTTGTAAGCCAGACGGCTGTGACGAAGCCACAGTCCGGCCCTGTGAACCTCCGGCTACCGAGCATGGCCCTCCGGGCTCCTTCCGGCCCTTTGAAGTACCAGCCCGGGCCCAAGAGGTCCGGGGGCTGCCGGCAAGCACGCTGGAACTATTCCTCCAATACGTTCCGCAAGACCTCGTGGAGCAGTGGACCCAGTGGACGAATACAGCACCGCCGTCGTCTAAAGAGGGCCCCTGGCTTAGAACGTCTAGAGTGTATAAGTGGCGGGAGACCTTAATAGAAGAGATCTACCTCTTCCTAGGGATCTTATTATATATAGGGATCCATAGAGAATCTAGATTATCAACCTACTGGTCAACCCAACAGCAGAGGGAGGATCCCATCCACCTATTTACGCGGTTTATATCCCGGGACCGTTTCCAACTACTGTTCCGGCGACTGCGGATATTCAATACTGCGGAATTCCAGCCCAGCCAGCCCGACGAGCCCGTCCAGCCCGTCCAGCGCGGGGGCCAGGGCCGGGGCCGGGGCCGGGCGCAGGCCAGCCAGGCCCAGCCGAGCCAGCCGAGCCAGCCCGTCCAGCCCAGCCAACGAGGGGGCCGGGGCCGGGGACGGGGACGGGGACGGGGCCAGGCCCGGGATCGAATGCCCGATGTATACCAAAAGGTTAACCAGTGGCCAGCCCATATCCAAAAGACTGGGGATTCCTTTTATACAACTGGTTCAGATCTTACAGTTGACGAGGCTATGGTCCGATTTGAGGGTCGGTCTCTTGAGACAACGACGATTAAAACGAAACCCATCCCAACTGGGTATGAGATCTGGATCCTTGCCCAGTCTGGCTACTGTATACGGTGGCTGTGGCACGTACACGGAAAGGGCCCATACGCATTGGTTCCCCAGGCACAGCCCGCCCAGCCCAGCCAGCCCGCCGGGCCAGCCGGGCCAGCTGCTGGAAAGCTGGCCCAGTTGACACCAACACAGCAGGTAGTAACTACCCTTATTTCCCTACTTCCAGCTGCAACCTACCACGTCTTCTTAGACAACCTCTTCTCCTCTGTACGTCTCTTTAGTACCCTACGGAAACAACAGGTTGGTGCTTCTGGTACCTGCCGGAAGGATAGTGGGATAGAAGAGATTCTAGTTGATGAGAGAGAGACTGAAGGACGGGATATCCCCTGGGGCAAAATACACTGTATCTCTACGTTAGATGGGGAGGTAAGCTACTAGCCAGCCTAGCCCAGTATATCCAGCCCAGCCCAGCCCAGCCCAGCCCAGCACATCCAGCCCAGCCTAGTTAACTAGTGAATAGGTCAACCAGTTCACCTGGAAGGATAATGCCCTCGTACTATTCCTGTCAACTGTCTTCCAGAACAGCCAGGAGGTTATTCGACGCCGCCGTCGCCCAGCTGGGGATACTGCTGCTAAAAAGGCTGCCCGGCAAGTGTTTGGCCCAGACGTCCGCAAGGACCTTCCAGTCCCTAGGGCAATCGATGAATACAACCACAAGATGAATGGGGTTGATGTGAGTGACCAGATGAGGTCTTATTATCAATACGGTCACCCTATTCGGCGAGGGGGCTGGCAGTCCCTAGCCTGGAATTTCCTGCTGGAAGTAGTAGTTGTGAATAACTTCTTATTACAGCTCTGGGGTAGCCCTAGGTGGCAGAAGGTGGAATCCAACTATCAATGGCGGCAGTTACTAGCAGCCCAGCTTATTCAACGGTTTGGACCATTAGCAGGCGGGCGTAGACTATCACGACCTAGACGTACAGACATGAGGAATACCTCTATTCCATGGGAACAGCATACAAAAGGGTCACGGAAGGTTAATTCGCCTTGCTCTTATTGTAGTAATCTGAGGGCAATAAGAAACCGCCAGACTCTAGGCGAGATATCTGGGAATACCCTCACGCGGCGTAAATATACGAGGAAGGGCTGCTTAGACTGTAACGTACCTTTATGTACCCAGGGGAATTGTTGGTACCTCTGGCATACGCAGAATATGTAGGCAATAGAGGTACTGTAACCCTATTGGTTAACTCTATAGATTTCCAACCCCTAATTGGCTCTACCCCGCCCTTGGCAAAAATGGCGTCAGTCAGCACTCGATGGGATACCTCTCTGCTGGGAAGCTGTCCGACCACGACCTGTAATAACCGATTATTATATTAGATTATTATATTTAGTTATGCTATAGGCCGGAGCCGGTCAAGATATCCGGCTTTACTAGAGCTATGATTCTACCGTACTATACTGTTACGACCCAACATGAAGACCAGGGCGTGCCCCGCTGACGCCTAGCGGCTACGGCGCATCATATATGCAGGACGGGACGGAACATTGGGGAAACCCCAGGAACGGAAGAACTATGGTACAAGTCACGTGATGATAAGAGATATGATAAGGGATAAGGATATGTTGGATATGCGACATATCCAACCGAGTCAAGGATATGTTGGATATTCGACATATCCAACCGAGTCAAGGATATGTTGGATATTCGGCATATCCAACATATCCAGACAAAGTGGACTGTTCAGCACTGCTCAGTTAGGATCGGACTTGTATATAAGGATGGACTCGAGCTGGGCTCTAGGACAGACTTTCCATAGCTTCTTCAGCAATTAACTTCGTATCAGGATTAACATCCGCTTTCAGCTACTACCTTGACAAGACTACGATTGATCACCGAAGCCTTACCTACCCTTACGATTGACAGACATAGCTTCCCTGAAGCTATCCCCGACTACGATTACTGTTACCAGTTCCGCAGCCTCAACTTCTGCAAACTACCCCTACGACTAGCTGGCCGTAACATATACCGCCGGGTCTAGGTATATTATGCCGTAGCTATATACGAACCTTTATAATTCTTCTTTTTCCTCTTCAGCTTAGAATAGTCAATCGATGGCACCTCTACGTTAAATAAGCCTAGGGGCTAGCCCTTTATATATTCTGAGCTTAATAATAAAAGATATTATACGAAACCTTACGAGAATGATATAGCCGATTCGCTAGTTAGAGGGTAACGTAATAAGAAGATATTGTATAAAACCTTATAATAAGAGCGGTATAATAGATCTACCCGAGGGTAATATAAACGATATATTAAATATAAAGATCGACCGCCGGGTTAATAAAGTGGTTAATATATGCGTCCGTCCTCTTTAGGACTAGATGACGCAGCTCTTAATGGCTCCAAATAGGTGTTACGAGCAGGTCAAGGCAACCAACTGTGGCACAAAGCAAAAGCTTCGATAATGATGACTCCGGCATCATTGTCCCTTGTTCTGCATTATATAACTACGCGCCCACAGTGACAAGTTGCGGCGGGCGTAACACCACATCTCCCCTCCAAGAGTCATGTCCCTATGCCGAGGACCAATCGGACATTTCGGGTATAAGCAGGGAAACTCCAGCAGAGGTGCGGGGTAACCAGTCCTACACGTGCTGCCTACGGTCGGGACGCCCTTCATAGTGTGGGAGGCACAATCACACTATCGACGCAGCGTGCGGGAATTGAACCCACAACCCCTCTACGCAGGGTGGAGTCATCATTGTGTTACAGTTGGTTGCCTTGACCTGCTCGTAATAATAGGCTTATATTACTAAATAGAGTAACCTTTATGCCGCTTATAAATAGCGTACTAATCCCGTCCCTTACTGATATAATTATATAAGTAACGAGTAACGGGATAATGATAGTAACGGAAGGGCAAAGAAAGCCCTTTGTTACGCCCGCCGCAACTTGTCACTGTGGGCGCGTAGCTATATATGCAGAACAAGGGACAATGATGCCGGAGTCATCATTATCGAAGCTTTTGCTTTGTGCCACAGTTGGTTGCCTTGTCCAGCTCGTAACAATATCCTTGACTCGGTTGGATATGTCGAATATCCAACATATCCTTGACTCGGTTGGATATGTCGCATATCCAACATATCCTTATTCCTTATCATATCTCTTATCATCACGTGACTTGTACCATAGTTCTTCCGTTCCTGGGGTTTCCCCAATGTTCCGTCCCGTACTGCATATATGATGCGCCGTAGCCGCTAGGCGTCAGCGGGGCACGCCCTGGTCTTCATGTTGGGTCGTAACATAGAGGTCTAGTTTTATAAGAAAAATTGAAATTTGATTAGTTAATAAGTTAATAATTATGACTTAAAGGTATTTTACAATAGTTCTTCTAAATTAGACTAGTATTTTCGATATACTAACGTTATACCTAATAGTACTATTAATCCTATCTAACAATAAAGATCTTATTCTAATTGTCACGGTAGCAGGCAGGTTGTTTGGCAGGTGGATGCTGGGCAGGCGGATCAGACAATTTATTGCTACGGGCAGGCTCTATCCTAAGCAGGTACAGGCTCTGTTGACAAGACGTAGCTCAAGGAGCTACGTTTCTGGACATGCGCGACAGAATACAGGATGCAGAGTTTTATCCAGCCTCAGGCTTACGTAACCCGGCCACCGGGTTACTCAACACCAACCTCAAGGTTGGGGTCTAGGACAGCGGGTCTGTGACACTAATATCTTTCCAACACTTAGCAAGCTCGTACTTAATATTCTTATTATCTTTAAAATAACTAATAATAAATTATAGGAGAATTTTTAACTTAATAAAGTTAACTTTAATATTATAGAGGCTCTTAATAGCGCTAAATATACTTAAAGAGATCTAATATCTAAAGAACTAGCTACGTAGTAGCTCTATTACTTTTAATAGAATACTATTTAAAGTTCAGTGACCAGAGGGGTCTATAGATGTCGCGATAGCTTTAATTATATATTAGAAGATTTAGTTAGATCATTCAGTTAACTATTAATTAGTTAGATAAGGGGGGGAAATTGAAGCAGTCAGTCAGTCAAGACCCCCTTATCTTCGCTGATTGAATCGTTAGAAGCGCTGCGAGCATGCCTGTAGAAACACCACGCGTCAGAAACAAACAGACACACTCTGATAGATAGGTCTGGGATTCATGGACGTATAGGAAACTCATCCTTGCCACAGACATCGCGTATCGATCTGAGTCTCTTGCTTTGGACTGCACTTCTCTAAGAAGAATTTCCGTGTCGATTGACCGTTTTCCCGCGTTCCGTTTGTTGTTCTGGCCCGTCACTGCAAAGAGTCTGGACATTGACGGAATACTTCCAGCCTACTTAGACATCCGTCGTCAGTTCCGTCTAGAGTCGCTTTGACTTGGAATAATTTGCGGAGAGAAGCAGTAACCCACCTTGAGAAGAGCCAGCTTTCGAGCCTTGGAGAAGGCGTATGGGAACTCGAGTTCTTGTAGTTGGGTAATGATGTCGTGGGACTCTTTGACGGTCATGCTCGACAACTCGCGCCCACCCATAGTGAACGGAGCTTCGATATGCATTTCCCGGCGGTAACGTACATGTTTGACAGATAGTACGTAGCTGGCAATAACAACGATAACTGCTGTCACAACAATCCATGGTGGGATTTTGCTGATATGAGAACTGGGAATCGTGAAAAACATGGCACGCGTTAGAGCTCGCTGGGAGGTAGAATTTGACAAAGGAGCACATCTTTGCGACTATGAAAAGTCTTGATACCAACAAGGGAGTATGGCAATTATACGATATCAGAATGGATCGTAGGAAGCGGTAAATCTGCCAAAAGGAGTAGTCCAGCCGAGGTCCGGGAGCTGCCCGTATCATTGTGGGTAAGCACCTCGTGGGTTTCGGCTCTTAGTGGGTCATCAGATTCAACAGAAAACGCCTGTGTTGAGCAGAGAGTTGTATCTGGAGTTCATAACTAGCGAAATGATCCAAAACTCTGCACGTGGTTATTATTTCGGATCTGCTATGGCCAGCAGTCTTGTTGACCAGGTACTTTTGAAGACGGGCTTGTGATACTGTGCGAAACGCACGGCGATTCGGACTAACTCTCACCAGTCGCTAACTCGGTTCTACTTAATTGTCTTCATCATTACTAACGTGTGTTGAGTACATACAGTCTCCTAACTTCTAAGCCTGCTGACAGCGAGTGAACACGTACAATCTTCTCAAGTTGCTCATCAAGATAGTCCCTGGGTCTTGCCTGCCTCTACGTGTGTTTGTGTGTGTTATATTTAACGCCGTGGCGGCAAGGGCGCAGCCGCCCTTGCGGCCGACCTCCCGAAGGGTATATGGCGTGGAGAGCCGTCGCCCTATAACTATTGCTAGATACAGTTCAAATCGTCCTCCAAATCGTGCCTTATGGCTACTATACGTTCTATCTGTCCCTGGTTCCCGCTGGTGCCCCAGTTCCATTCTTGAATTTTGCGGCTTAAGGCCGGATATGTCTGGAGAGGGCGGCCTGCCGAAATAGGCCCCTCGTACATGTTCTGATTTGTACAAGACCATTCCTGCCTCTACACCGCTCATGATTGTGGCTTGATCAGCCCAATGCTGCTCAACAGTGGCCTGTCACTGACGGCAACCAGATACGCCGTCGTAGAACCCTCGTTGATATGCTGAATCTTGGACCATGCAGGCACGGCGAACGTGTCTCGAGAAGTCCACTTGAATACCACACGGGGTTCCGTGGGCGGTTCAACGATGGTCCGGCCTTGGCCTTCATAGCAGTGGTACATGAACGAGGCTTGCTCGCGAACCTCCTTTGTCGTGTGGTTGCCGTCGATACGCTCTGCTTGCGCGCCGAGGATGGGTGACAGGGGCTTGCCATGCCTTGTGTAGTGGTGGATGGCATAGGGGCCTTCCTGGGCCTTGAGCTCGGCTTCGACTTGGTCCCATGGGTGTCTCCACTCACACGTTTCTGTGAAGCTGCTGGCTGTCAATGGCTTACTCATTGTCGATGAACTAGGTGGGGTGGACTTACACACTAGGGTAGCGGCTCTCGTGATATTGCTCCGCAAAGTGTACTGGAGTGAATCTGAAGAGCGGTAAGTTGAGTGCATCGAGCCAGATAACCGGAGCATCGCTCTCGTTTCCATGGTCGTGCCAGTGCCATGTCGGTGTCACGACAACATCACCGCGCCTCAGGGGCATCTTCTTTCCCTCAACAGCCGTGAAGCCCTCACCATCAATGATGAATCTGAGTGCGAACGCGATATGCCTGTGCGCAGGGGCAGTCTCGCCAGGGTTGACGATCTGAAGTCCACCGTAGATGGTGTCTGTTGTGTAAGGGGATTCTGCGGTACCAAGTGAGTACGGTGAAGGTTGTCAAAATGACATCAGTGACGCTTACCCATATTGGGGTTGACCAGCATCAGCACTCTCCTCTCGGCCTGCTTCTCGCCAACCATCTCTGCGGCCTTGTGAAGAAGAGGGAGGCTGTCGGCGTACTTCCACATGTGAGGCTTGGCGACGGGTGCCGGTGTAGGTGGGACCATCACGTTCATCTTGGACCACAAAGGCTCCATGTGTTTTGATGGTAGCTCTTCCAGGTAGTCGTTCATGGCCTTGGCCCTGTTGTCGTCCTCGTGAGGAGAGTCCATTGTGAAAGATTCGTTAGGTGTATGCGGCGGAGGCTGGTCTGAGTACCTTGTGGCTGTGTTTGCGTTGCGATATTAGTGTGAAGACTGTTGTCGGGATATATCCGTGGACTCTATGGTGAAAGACGTGATTATCGAGATGAAGTTGGATGTTGAAGGGACATTCGAAGGAGGTTATCAAGGCCCGTTTCCCCGTTATCCCCGGACTGTCGACCCCCCTTGCCCGCAGCTATGTAGCGGAAGCGCCACGCGGGACGGGATTCGATCTGGCAGTTGAGGCAATCCCGAGTTCCGATGTATCACACAGCTCCCCGCGCTCCAGCCGCGGAACCATCTCTGATTGGCCAATTCGGGGCTTCTCCAATTGAGGGGCTCGATGATGCACAACTCGGAGGCACACTCTTAAGGAGCCGAGATAATCTGGGAACAGCTTCATGCGGCTCATTGTAACCAAGGAGGAAGCACAGCACTTTGGAGAGATTTCTATTTCGAGACACACTTTCAAACACCATGTCGTGGAACCGTCTAATTCGCTTTGTCGACGACAACGACGTCGAGCATTTTGGCGAACCTGAGGTGCAAGACGAACCAGAGATCACATCGCTTCTCGACAAGAGCGACTTGTGGGCTACTATCTACGATGGTGCTAGCCCTGTCTCGACCCTGGCTAAGGATGAGCGGGTGCACGTCAAGGCCCTGAGACCGCTCCTGACACCAAAGGACGTCCCGATCATTCGGTGTATTGGCCTGAACTATGTTAAGCACAGTATTACAACCCTCCCCGGCTTGGTACTATCGCAGATAGCTGACTTAAGTTGCGTGCAGTCAAGGAGGGTGGCAGGACACCGCCCCCATTTCCTTCACTTTTCATCAAGCCGGCGACATCAGTCGCTGCATGGAATGAGGACGTGCCAATCCCCAAAGTTGCACAAGATGGTACTGTTGATTACGAGGGTGAACTAGTAAGTGACGGATCTTCGAGCAGAACTTCTGATAGGAATCGCTAACAAGACCAGGCCTTCGTGGTTGGAAAATCGGGCAAGAACATCCCCAAAGAAAAGGCGCTGGAGTACGTCGTCGGCTACCTTACCGCAAACGATGTCTCGGCGAGAGCTTGGCAAAGAGACCCCGCCAAGGCTGGCGGTGTACCTCAGTGGTGCTTCAGCAAGGGCTTCGATAAGTTTGCCCCCTTCAGCCCGGTGCTGGTCTCTCCGGTGGTGGTGGGAAACGCTAGCGACCTCTTGCTGCAGACTTTTGTCAACGGCGAGGAGAGACAGCATGAGAGCACGGGCGATTTGCTATTCGGTGTGGAGGAGATTGTTAGCTTCCTCAGTCAGGGAACAACGTTGGAGGCTGGAACGGTAGTGTTGACTGGTACGCCGTCTGGTGTTGCTATGGGCATGAAGCCGCCCAAGTATTTGGTTGACGGGGATGTGGTGGAGGTGAGGATAAGTAAGCTGGGAAGTGTGAAGAACAAGATGGTGTTTGAGTAGAAAATATTCACGAATGAAATGATTTGTCAGGATATTTGAACAAGAGCATGAGAGGCGCAATGGCCGGGTATTTTGGAGTAAAATATACAGGATGATGACATTGACAAAGGAGAACATTCATAGACTTCCGGGCATGCTGTTAAGCCAAGAAAAGTCGTTAATGTCAAATGTGATTGCGTCCATATCAAATGCTGCATCCTGAGTCAAGTAGGAAAAGGGCATATCGAAGGTTTCCTGTTGCTCATTGGTGATGTTTGGCACTGCAGCATTGGTTTCCGAGTTTGGGAGAGCAGCCGGCTGTGGTTGCTGATCCTGGAACATCTTCGTCGAGAGGATCTGGAGTGCCGCGGCACACCTCCGCGGAGAAGGCCCTAGGTTCTCGTGGTCGTGGAGCAGACCCATTGCCTGGTTCCATGATCGGGAGATGTCGAGCGAAGAAAAGACCGCGGGTCGGAGTCTTGCTGCGATGAGGACCGTGGCAGCTGTGTAGATATAGAACACGCGATACCACCAGGCTGGAAGAAGACCGAGGGTGCCGTCATGTTGCTGAAACTGTACGATGAATGAGATGAGACTTTGCGCGGCTTCGACGCAGACCATTGCGCATTGCTGGACCACCCGGGATGGGAGATCTTCGTGAGCCTGGGAGGTTTCTGGGCACTGAGAAAGGCAGAATCGAGTGAGCATGGGTCTGAGAAGTAGCATGCGTGCATGAAGTAGCCTAGGAATCCGTCAGTCATGGCTCAATGATTGACCAGGTTGGCTTAGAGCCGGCCTTTGGTACGCAAGTACCAATACTGACCTGATACGCAGGATTACCGCCTGTCTGCGAAAGACCTCATCGAGAGTAGTCTCAGGCACGGCCATAGTCAGGAAGCTGGGTAGGCCCTTCTCCCATTTCGTCAGTCGCTGATCAAGCTGTAGAGCTTTCCCAAGATCTAGCTCTGGTCTTTCGAGGGTGCGCTGAGTCGTGCTTCCTGTGCCGTTCGGGTAAGTAGGCGACTTTAGGGGTGAGGCTGACGAGTAGAAGGCGAGAACTGCGTGGTTGATAACCTCATAGAGCTCGAGCGACTTGTGGAAAAATGCTTGATACCGAAGCTTGTGAAGTTGAATGGCGCCTAGCTGTACTCCGTCGACGCTGGTGACGTTGGTATCCGGGATCGAAGGCAATATTACACTTGACGCCAGCTGATCTGAGATCATCGCTGGACGTCCATGAGTGATGGCGATCATTCTAGTCATCAAGTTAGAGGAGCAAGGCGCACGTGATGCGGTCTTCAAGAGGCACTTACCTGTCCATCAGGATACATCCATGCCATATCCTCTTCACGAGATCCCTTTCGGGCTCATCCGAGAGTTCCGATGCCGTCTCTGGCAAGTGTAGCCCAAGGCCCTGCGCGATTCTCACGGCGGACCCGACAATCATCCATGTCTGGTGAGGATTATTTGTACTTTGCAGGTACTGGCTCATAATCAGCAGACACTGAATCAGCTCGATGGAGCCAGTATCCCAAAGGCTCAGCTGGAGCAAGTCCTGCGCGCGAGTGAAGTACCCCTGGCTGGATGAATCCCTCTGATCCGGAGGCAGTGACTCGATCAACTGCGTGGAGAGTGCGAATACGATGTTGAGGATGCTCACAAAGATGCGTTCATCGGCATCGAGCGAGGTACCGGCAAATAGCGCTCGATATGAGTGCTCGAATCTCTGTCGGTCTAGGAAAGGATACAACGGATCAACGTAGTACCAATAGAGGTCCGTCAAGTGATCAGCTTGCTTTCGGGCTGGTAGGACATAGTCAGCTTGCCCTCCTACACCAGAGCCATTGAGAGGAAGTGTCGAGCGGAAGAGCGAGCTTCTCACACTCCTATTCTCCGTCGAAGAGCCCAGCCTCGCGTCAATAGCAGCTTTGATCTGGTTCGTGAAAGACCCAGCGCTACTACTGCCAAAGTACTCGCCCGTCACCATACCATCCTCACGAACCGTGGTCATGGAGTCAACAACCGACGGGCTGGCATCGGATGGTGTGATTGGGTGCCGCTCAACTCGACCTCGTCTTGTAAGGTCTGGCCCCGAGGACGTGGTCGACTTGGGCGTCGCACTTAGAGCCGGGCGAGAGATAGGAGGCATCAGAGGCTGCGCGAAATTGGTCTCGGGCGTGTGGACGATCTTGGGCATTGCCCTTTCGGGATTGCCTGGACTTGCATCTGCAGGTTTATTACCACCCGAGAACGACTTCTCGGCCTCGGAGGTGTATGTGCAGCCGTTTCTCAGATCGGTCCTCTTCCAGCAGTTGCCGCACGCTATGTTTCGCTGTCAGCCGTGGCACGGCCAGAAGCGCATGCGTTGCGCAGGGAGTTCATCGACCAGATGTTCTGGAAACTTCCTAGCACGATCCTAATTGACTCCTGTCTGACCTCGCGAGCCAAGACTCTCAAAGCTGCAGGTCCTTCGCCGTGGAGCCTTCACCGATAACTCACCTGGGCGTGCTCCATCACACTTGACTTTCCTCCTCCGACATGCTTCACATGCCACATCGATCTTGATCCGCTTTGGCTTAGGCTCCATTGTTTTCTCCCTCTCCTCCCGCCGGGCGCAAGGCGTGGGGGTAAGATGGCTCTTCCGCCAGAGACTGGAGTCTCTCCCCAGACGAGACAAAGCTCAGAATGACGGGTGACTTATCTCGGAAGCCGCAATGGCCTGGGAAATCTAGATTTAGATCATGGATCTCGGATTGACTTCGGTCGAGTTAGATAGACAAAGATTGCGGAGAGTGAGCAGAGTTCGGGATGAAATGTTTGGATGGAGAAAGGTTGAAAGTCTGGGGAAGCCACCGAGTTCCGAAGCCAACTGAAGAACTCCTCGCGACCACAACAGAGAGCAATAAAGCATGGGCCGGAAGCTGGCACCGACGGGAAACGGAAAGCGGATCGAATTATGATTTGTTCAAACGGATAAGTTCCGAGTCATGGCCCCCCATCTTACCCCAGCCTCTTTGTCCAGCAACTTGGCAACTCATTCCCTCTGCTTATTTTCTCATCTGCTCCCATTGCACGGCTCCGTCAACCGCATGCTGCCAAGGCGGCCGAAACTTGACAAAAATCTCCGATTCAGGTCGCCGCTCGGTGCTGCATCCGACATCCGTCAGCCGTGAGCCTCACTGAGCGGCGTGTTACCAAGCGGCGGAGACTTACCAGCTCTCCAGCAAGCTTGTCCGGATGAGAACGTATCGCCCCTTAGCGGATGCGGGGGTTGTCCACAGCGGGGTCCGACAGAACGACTTTTCTTTTGGAGAGCCACTTGAGGTGTCGGCCAACGTGAAGTTGGAGATGAGGTCGCTCCCCGAGACTACCTGGACGGATTGAGTCTCAAACTTTGCAATCTGCCACGAGAGCCAAGTCAATAATGATTCTTGCGTATCCTAGAAAGAGAGAGTCTTACTGTCTGGTGCGACCCACCTGCGCCTTTGCTGCAATGACTACAAAAACATGAGAAGACAGTTAGGGGACCCGACGAAGTCTGTATCTGAATGCCACCGCATAGGCAAGAGCCGCGAAGAGAGGTAGACATGCTTCTGGCGATACTGAACAGAAGTGTTGTGAAAGTTCACAAAGACCAAAGCAGTCTGCCAAATTAAGTACGTTGGCTGAGGGCTGTCTCCGGTGGTCACTTGCACGCTCTAGGCCGGACGCGGAGCCTCACAAGACTTCAATTGCCTATCACCACGTGGAACGAAAACCCTGCCGGAACGCGTAATTGGCTCTTTCGGATGAGTTGGGATGCATCCCGAGACAACGGGACGCTAAGCAGAACCGACAGTAGGCGAACTTGGCAGCTGAGATTCGAATTGAAGCCTGCCAGCCACTCAACTCCCATCAGATGTAGTAGCTGTGAGGACAAATTGCGTAATCAACGGCACTGGATCACAGATGCTCGCTGAATGGAATTGAGAGTCACCGATGTTATGAAACGACTCGAGGTGTGGACAAAAAGCTTGACTATCGATTGGAATATTAACACGCTCGCAACTACGTAAAATAGGCTTCCATCGACTGGGGGTTGGTCTGTTATCTCAGACCTTCCTGTCCGCAACGTTTTCAACTTCAACAAACTCGTCGTCAACCTTCTCACTTCTAACACCGCTGCTGCCAAAGCTATGGTTCTTGCCGTCAAAGACCTCAGCAATCTGCTCGAGCGAGCGTCCCTTGGTCTCAGGGAAGAGCAGCCAGACCAACAGCAGGAGGATGGCCAAGATAACGCAGAAGACGATGTAGTACTTCCAGCCCAGGTTCGCCATTCCGATAGGGTTACAAAACTGTCCGATAATGAGACCGACGAACGTCGATCCCAAGGACATTGTCAAACCCCTTCCACGCAGAGTGTACTGGAAGATCTCAACAGGGTACGAGAGCAAGAGGGGTGACCAGGCGATGTCGTAGAAGAAATAGTAGATGAAAATAAACGCAACCACGGCGTAGCCAGCCCGCTCGTCCTTGGTATTGGTGAAGACGCTGGTAAGGATGGTCCAGATGATGTAGCATCCGAGCATACCAGCGGTCGAAATAAGAAAGAGCTTGCGGCGGCCGATGCGGTCAACCATCATAGCACCGGCGAACACGGCCGCAAACCAGTTGAAAACCTGGAGCAGGCCATTGATAAGGGCCTGGTCCTTGGTTTCGGTGATTCCGACAGTGCTGAGAACCAGCGTGAGGTAGTAAGAGATGACTCCGGAACCAGACCATTGAGCTCCGAGACCGGTGATGACAGCAATAAGCGTACGGCGGCGGTTGGGTGCCGTCTTGACGAGGTCGAGATATGAAGACTCGCGCAGTGCCTCGGTCTCGAGACGGACGTTCTCCTCAATTTCCTTTACCTCGTATTCAACAAGTGGCGAGAAAGTATCGCCGCCGGCGTGGTAGCGAGTGAGGATCTCTCGGGCTTGTTCAGTCTTGCCGTGGGCAACGAGCCATCTGGGAGACTCAGGCACGAAGTAGAAGAATGCGAACTGAATCGCAGGGAGAGCACCCTGCAAGATGGACGGGATTCTCCAACTCCATGTTGAGGTCAGACGGAACGTGCCGTAGGTCGACCAAGCCGCTAAGATCGCTCCGAAGAACTGCGGTCGTTATCAGCTTAGGTCTCTCACAACAGACACAACAGAAAGCTAGCTGGATATACTTACAAAGAATGTGTTGTAGAGACTTGAAATCTTGCCTCGCTGGGTCGGGTAGGCAAGCTCGGTCACGAGAATCGGTGCCGGCTGCGCAATGAAGGCAGTCGCGGCGCCGAGGAGCCATCGTGCGACGATGAACATGGGCAAACTAGTACTTGCGCCCTGGAGGGCGGCACCAACGAGGAGAAAAAAGAACCCAATCCACATGGGCACTTTTCTGCCGTACTTGTCTGCCAGGTATGTAGTTGGGATAAGACCCATGATCTTGCCGATGGGATACACAGCGTTCATCGTTCCGAGTACGGATGGTGTCGGGCTACCAAAGTATCCGCGCCACTGCTTGATGGTCTGCAGACCGTTCATCATGGCACCTGGTTCCAAGTGTAAGGCTAACATTCTGCAAGTCTTACACCGAGCAGTGACATACCATCGAAGCCGACCGAGGCCGACGAAAACATTGGAACCAATAGAGTTAGGTTCAGCAGAAGCAAGTGCTTGGTGCGATACCATGTTGCAGGGTTTTCGGGCAGGACCTTGAGCTGATGTTAGAGTTCCTGATCACATAGCTTCTGACTTGCATCGTCTGTTGTCAACGCCGGCACGTGGAAGGAGAAACTCACTGCGAGCAGGTCAGACCCGACAGCCTGTGCAGCCGTCTTCTTGGCCGGCTTTGACTTGAGGAAGCCCATCTTGAATTGGTTGTGGTCGGGCTACACTGAGATTGTACTGGAAGGTTGTTGGTTTCTTCAATGACCACCGTTGCAATCGACTTTAAAAGCAGTGAAGTCGCCGAGCCGGGATCAACTCGAAGCCATTAGAGTTGAGTCGGAGGAGATCTTGGAGATATATGCAAAAGTCAAAAGAAACACTGTCAAGAGTCGGAATGGAGGAGTTCCCACGCAATCAACCCCCCCTGTGTACCCCAGTCGACCCCGTAAAATGTCTGCGGTTTCCCCACGGGCGGTGTATTCTTCCCCAAGTTCATCGTTAGCTTGGATGGCCGACCCGTCGTGTCGGGTGAGGGACACTATCACGGAACTCGGGAGTCGGATGGCAGGTCACGTCGACCAGACTAGACGAACGCTAGATGACTAGACCTGGCTTAGGAGTTAAGATGGACTAACGCCGCTGGTCACAGAAGCGACGACCATGAGGTGTCATGGTCAACCTGACAAAAGTCTCACCTGGCTTACACCGACGGCAAGCCCCCCGACATGGGTGGCACTGGAACGCTCACCTTGGTGCTCACCGAGAGACTCAGCGGGAAGAGTCCCCGAGCGCAAAACTCTCAAGACTAAGCAGACTCTATGACATGCAGATAAAGCGAGTCATAAGTGAGCTTCCACGCTCCCCGAGGCCATTGCGTCGGTATCTGAAACGGTTCTGCGGGGGTCGGTGATCAATGCTGCACGATAATTAAACTCGCGATCCCCAGACAGGGCCGACCATCCTGCCTCCCCCTCACATTTCCCGTCGCTCGTCTCCCCGACACGAGAAATGCTTCCGAACAACGAGGTTTCTAGGAGTCATCTATCGTCGCAATGGACCCACCGCCGAAGAGGATGAGGATGGACATCGGTCGGGGCTTCCCCGATATGGGCATGGCGGCCGTCACCGGCGGATCGCCTCCTGGCCGCTCCTCCGGCGTCGATCACGCGCATCTCGAGCAAGCTGATCCTAGGATGCCGAAGCATAGGACTTGGTCGCGTGCGTCGTCCGCCTGCCAGACGTGCCGCGGCCGCAAGACCAAATGCGACAACGAGAGGCCGATATGCGGCTATTGTAGGAGGGTCGGGGCGACTTGCACATATATCGAGGACTCGGCTCCGGCAACGTCATTGTAAGTTTACTTTACTTTATACGGACGTGGAGCCTCGAGGCCCATGTCTGATCGGGGGTTCGGGATACACTTTGCGGGGGATGGCTGCCGGTTGAACCGGTGGGCACGTATATCGGACTGATACTAATGGAGTATGGATTGCTTCCGTCAGATGTCAAGGTGTAGGACCACGTTTGCTGGGAGCAATAGAGAACCTGGCCAACCTCATTCAACGCAACGAGGAGAACTTTCGCGCTATCCCGCAACTTAGCCGCGACCTGTCCCGTGACTCAAGCGACTATCCGGACAGCCCAACCTTCCAAGGTGGACGTCAAGATGGTCTCCTGTCCGGGCAAGATGGGAGCTCTGCGGATGGGGCCAAGAAGTCCATTCATCCCTCGTTATCGGATACAGCTGGTTTGGACTCCGTGCTGGAGTGGCCAATCTTTCCTAAACCGGTACCCTTCGCGATAGACCCCTTCAGCCACGCTTCCCCACGCGGGGAAGTCTTTTCCCCCAGATCACCCCCGGCCATGGAGTTCTACGAGCTATCCCGGCTGGTAGACTTATATTTGACCAATGTTCATCCCATGAATCCCGTCGTCGACGGGCAGATGCTTCGCCAGATGCTAAAGCAAGTTGCGGAAAACGGGCCCGACTGGTCGGCGTCCACCTGCATCGTCGCGCTCTCCTGTGCCCTTGGCGCCATATCCCAGAGACCCGGGCAGAGGACGCCAAGCGGAACCCCTCGTGGGTACTCGGTGGAGCCCAACCGTCATCTGGCGTCGAGGTATTGGTCAGTCGCCGAGAAACGACTCGGTTTCTCCATGGGATCACCTGGGTGGGAGTCTGTACAATGCTTGTGCCTTGCAGGGTAAGACGGCTCCTCCCGCGTATTTGAAATGTCATGTCTCTTGGTCAGTAAGGCTGACTAGCACGACAGAATATGGCACATGTACAACATGGATCCCTTACAGGCGTGGAAATGTTTCAGTATGGCGAGTAACACCTGGTACACTACCTCGCTCACGAACAAGTTTGTATCCTCTTGGCACTGCTTGGATTCCCCTTTGCTGACATTCGTTTCAGACTGACCATGCCGGCTGGTAAGGCCGAGATGCTTGAATACCCCCAGTCACTCTCATTGGAGCAGATTCTGTACTTCACTTGCTTCAAGTCTGAAAGGTATACTCAGTCCCGAACTCACCCCCGTGGACCACTTGATCATTGGCTAAGACCCAGTTGCAGTGAGCTGGCGTTTGAGCTATCTCTCCCCGGCTCCATCCTCGCCGGAGTGGATTACCCATACAGCTTGCCTACTCCACTAACACTCGGTGTCATGAACCTGGACAACAAGGCCCTTATGATGGAGCAACGATCCTGGTACTACTACTTAGCAGAGATCTCCGCAAGGCACCTCATAAACCGCATCACGCAGGCCCAGAAACGGTGCCCACCACACCCAACTGAGCACGGCATTGACCGCATGCTCGAAGTATTCGAGGTGTTTGATGCTCAGCTATCGGACTGGTACGAATCACTACCTCCTCCGATATCATTTCAAATACCCAGCGGGGACATTGCTCCCCTGGGCGATGACCTGTGTCAAATGCTTCGTGGAAGGTACTTGGCGATAAGGGAGCTTTTATGCAGACCCTTCGTCCGCTTGGCGTCCACCATCTCCATCGCACTCACGGTATCGGAACACATGGTTGCCAGGGTCGCAGAGATTGCTTCGAGAGGGTTGCAGTATTGTCTGTTCAGAATACAGGCTACGTCTTCTACGCCTCACCATGGGCTTTGGTTGCAACTGAGAGGTTTTGTGACCTGTTCTCTAATATTGACGGCTGCAGAGCGTGCGCAAAGCATCCCGTCATTGAACATGCCAACCAAGGTGTCATATCCTCAGAATTGGAAGCGGACAATCTTTGCTCAGAAGGAAATTCTGTCTAACTGTTGGGAATTTGAGGAAGGAGGCATAAGCGACTGCGCCAGAGTCTTGGACTGGGCGCTTGCAAAGTTCACGGTCTGAACCTATGCTTATGTTCGAAGTGCAAAGTTTTCCCATCAAGAGAAACAACAGAAGATGTATCTAGAGTAAGATGGGAGCGGTCGTGTTAAGCATCTGCAGGGCGCTTAGACAAGGTGGCAATGTTATCGGTCCTTCAACGGTGTCACGAGTTATGGCACGCAGCAATGGGCATATGAAGTGGGTTAAAGTGGCTTGAAGTAACCCATCTAGAATGAGCACATGAGAGCAGTCTATATACTAAGAGAGTGTGATATCCACGTGAGAAAGCACGTGGCAAGATACTTGACAAGTGCTGATACCATTCCTGTTTCGTGACAAACGGCCACATTAGCACGCTAGACGCTACGCCAACTGACACGGCCGTTCCCTAATGTTTTGTACAATAATTGTCGCAGCGCCACACGTGGCGCTGCCGGTTACTGCCGTACGATACCGCTTTCCACAAGCCGATTACCCGTCTTGTACGGTATCCCATCGAGTGCTGTTGGGCTACAGATACATTCACAGAAGGGATCCTGACCACTCAGGGGCAGCCAAGAGTTTTCTCGACCAATCAATGGCCCTATTTGAAAGGTACTTCGGTTACCTATATATTTTGAGTGTGATAGAGGTACCAGCAATCATCAGAGTTACAAATCGCAACCCCACACTGCTTGCATCCTGACCTCGTCTTCTTTCTCCTATCTCTTCGCAAGTTCCGTGTGACTTCGCCTAATGCTATTCGTTTGTTGTTACAAGACAAGCAAGCAGAGGGCTTCCGTGATACCCTCGTATGTTGTTGCCATGGAATGGAATTCTCTCTTGTATCAGTGGCCCTCTGGGGCCGGGCCCGTTGCCTCCTATGAACTAATGGCCCAAAGCGCTGAATTAGCTGGGTGGAAAGGGTCCTTCGCCATTGGTACTGAGAGTTGGCCCGAGCCCATTCCGGCTCGCCCCAGAGCTGGAGAAAGAAGCTATTAACAAGTATGCCTCGTTCCAGCGAAGGTGGTTCATGTGGGCGTACAGTCGCGCTATCACACTTCTCGGGCGTACAGTCAGCTGTACAGGCGCTTGCGAGGTCTTCAGGAAGTATCGCAACGTTGATACAGGAATGTACAGACCCTTCAGAGTCACTATCGTCGCTCGAGGCCATCGTGACGAATTGGCATGTGTAGATAGGCGATTTTGGTGGTGAAGGGAAGCCAGGGATTCCTAGGGGTAAATGACGTACTGTTATGTATTCCTGATGTGAGGGGTTAAGAGTGGGTAAAAGAGTGGAGCAATGTATCTGTAGCCCAACAGCACTCGATGGGATATAGATATGACCCTCATATGGATCTTCCACTTAGAGGAATAAAGCCACTTTCTACTATACATGTCTTCCACTTGCTACCTAGCTTTGTGATAATAATGTATATATGTCAAAGTCAACTCAGTGTCATAAGTTCAATCGGGGAGAGAGGTTAACTTCTTCACGTGGCGTCTGTTCAGCCGAGTAGTGCGCGAGACTCGGGAGCCGCTCGGCGTGTACATGATTCCATTAGGCGCTTCACAACAGTCCGAACATCAGACACCGTTACTGAGTTTTAGTCAAACCTTGATGGTAGGACCGAAAGGCCGAATAGGTGTAAGACGCGATATATACTCCCGGGAATTCAGAATTGACGCGGCACCCGATACCGAACATGCCAAGCTTGACATGTAGCGGCAAGGTTTGCCCAACGTAACGACGGCTCTTTCGGGGCGGAGGGCCGACTGGATCGGACATTCTCCCCGTCTGCAGGTTCGGGGAGGTTTAGTTGCACTCCGGAGGTCGCAGCCTCATTGGCCTCGACGAGAAAGGTAGCTTTCGGTGTCACCGCTAGTCTTGGCTCTGGGAAAGATGCATCTTGTTCTCTCAAGTGGCTTGTGAAGATTGAGCTCTGTCTGCGCCATGCTTACGTGTCTCATGTTTTCAGTCTATCAAAATCGTTAGAGGCGCACGGTCACGGATGTGACACCTGTCAGGTTCATGCTGGCCATTGATCGAACAGAAGTTCGAAAGACTCGCCAATTATTCTGGTTCATATGTAAGTAAGTGAAGCAAGCATTCCTTTACTCTCCTACAATGCTTGTTTACCCGACATGCGCATGTTGTTGAGTTCTGCGTGGGTGATCACGTCGGGCACAATAAGTGACACCTGCTCCCACTATGTTGATATTCCTTTCACAGGGAATTTGGTTCGAACCGTAGGATCCTGGAGGTGACGAAGTATCAATATCTCTGTATTGATTGATTCTGCGTAAGGAGTAGAAGGGAGATTCCAACCGGAGGTTGGGTGGGTAGTCGAAGTCTAAGTGTACCCCCTCGAGGTGGCCCATGCTCTACCCCTACTCGCGGCCGAATTGGACTTCCAACCCGACACACTAATTACTCAACGCAAAGAATTCTATCAAAGATCTGCGTTTGCCAACATTCAAATATCTGATTGCAGGAGCATCAGTTAAAGTACATGTACCTTGTTTCGTACTTCAACCAATTACTTAGGCAACAACACCGCGGACGCAGGCAGTCTGCCAGGCGCTCCAAGAAAACGGCTGTACAACAGAGCCGTTGTACCCAATGTCGATGCCTGTCTGAACAGTCTCAAGGTCTCCAAGGGGTGTCACTTCCCAGCCTTCAGCAATCGGCCCATCTTCAGGGTTTACAATGAAACACAACCACAAGTCCTGCATCTCTTCGCTGACTGCATACTCGAACGCTGTGGAGTTTTGACGCGCAATGTCATGCGTCCCGAAAATAAGAGGAAGTTCGGCGGAATGGAAGGCACCCTGGCCCCCAAGCATGATGTTGGTGAAATTGGAAGGATACATGTAGCGATAAGTCTTGAGGCCAGCTAAATTTCGCAGGGCGGTCTCGTAGTGTGCTGGACAACCGAAAAGGTTGTCGGGGACTACGTCTGATCCATTTGTTGGGGGAATGGTGGAACTGCCGGCGAAGTTCCATTCATCCCTGGTCGAGCCAACGATTGAGGGCTTCCCGGTAACAAGATCAGTATGGCTACTGCGTGCTTGGCTGGGATTGACACTTACGCCTTTCGCAACTCTCCCATCCAGAGTCCTATTCTCGTAGTCGGAGAACTTTGTACTCTCGTCAACAATAACGTTGAACCTCAAGTTACCAGCTTGATCGAGGTACTCTTGTATCTTCCGAAAAGGGACCTCCCTCAAGCAGCCAAGCTCGTCCTCTTGACATCCGAACGCGGCTGCCAGGCAGGTAAAGTTGCCATGTACTGTATCGTTATTTCCGATCGGGATAAAGGGTGCTCCTGAATCTTTGATGAAGCCAATGGCAATGGGATCATCCGAGTAGCCGTACTGATAATACGAAACCGATGCGGCTCCAGCACCAGCGCTGCATACCAATCAATCAAGCCAAGCTTGGGTGACGGGCTTGTCTGATTGACTGATTTTTCACAAGAAGCTTGCTTGATTTGACTGGCTTGGATTGAATTGATTAATATTACCTATTTAGGAAGTCAGTGAAGCTCTCAAGATGTCTCTATGCGTCAGAAACTTACATCATCTGATGTTCTGATGTCATCCTGCCCTCCGTCAACCCTTCCGCTTGAAGTAATGCCCACCAACAGCAACGCTGCCCCCTCGAACCCAATTCTGGAGGCATTGTGTCTCCTCAAGCAGTGATGGTTTCATGGATAGCCTCTGTGACGTCAGCATAAGTTTGGCAAGGCTGAATGCCCTCTCGCAGTCGGTCGCCATCGCTGGGATAGCAAAGACGTCGAGGGCAAGTTTAAGTCAACCAACCCACTTTTCGCCATCCCCCCCTTTTCGCCACCCCAATCAACATGGTCTCAAAACATCACCACCAACTTCCAGTCAATTAATTAACTACCTTCCACTGCCACTACAATACAGTCACTGCCCTCACTAGGTAATTCGATCCTTGCGAGTCGACTGGGACTAACGAGACGGTCGCCTGCGTCCTCCTGAGCTCTCTTTATATCCCTGATGTTCGCGAACTTGGTATTGGGATCTGTTTGGACGGTTCTCTTCCTCCTTGGAGCCATGCGGTCAATTCGGGCCTGGAGCTGACGGTTTCTATAGTCTGATGTGGCCAATAGGTAGTCCTTCTCGCCAAAGCTCTTTTTTATCTTTCTGAATAGTAGTCGTTGAGTGTTGCTGTCTGGACTGAGCTCTGTGAATAACCTCAAGTGCTGGCTAAGCTCACTGGCCTGCCTAGGAGTTGACCAGTCAACAACAGACGTCGCTGATACCCAGTCAACGGGATCCATGGGCTTGCCAGTCACTGCCTGCCCCTCTGCAGTGTTGTTTAATGGAGTGGCAGGGCTGGGGAGCATCAGTGGGCTCAGCAGAGGGTGGCTCATATTAACTGGCCATAGTCCAGTTGCCTTCCACCCACTTCGTATATTAGACAACGTCAGACCAGCCAAACGAGCTTTCTGGTAACAGTCCAAAAAGTGCCGCTTTCCAGCGATAGTAGAATTGTCTACTATTTCGTGCTTTCCGAGCTCCTTCCTATAAGCAGACTTTACAGGTCCAAACACTGCTAGATCCAGGGGCTGGAGGACATGGGAGGTATGTGGAGGCAAGAATAATAAGTAGACGTTGTTGATAGCACTCCCACATGAATTCTGTCGCCGTATGACTCCCATGCCCATCCATAATCAATAATCAAGGCTCCTTCACCCCACCAGCCCTCCTAGGGCCAGGGGGCTCAGTCTGTGGCAAGAATACCTCCCTCAACCACTCTAGGGCAGTGTCGTCTGTCGTCCACCCATTATCTGTTGCTGTGAACTTCCAACCGTCGAATGGGTTAAGTTGAAGGGGAAACCACTGCTGTTGGACCGACTTTCCCTTGAATATGACCAGTGGTTTGATAGATCTGGCATCAGCAGAGATACACTCGATAATCGACACCCAAGCACGCGAACCAGGCTCCTTTTTCCGCACTGCAGTGGCCTCTGCCTTGCCCAAGACCAACCCATTAGCTCCCTTGCCCTCAAGGATGCCAGTCTCATCCATGTTGTACCTGTTGGATTGTTTGATCTTCTTGATCTCTGGGATGTCGAGCAAACGGAACCAGGGCCTGATTACCTCAGTAGTTGCTCCATTAACACGTCTAGAATCAATAGTTCGGCTCTTCTGGACCTTAACTGAGGGATTCCTTCGCAGGAAGGCTTGGATCCATCGCTTGCTAATAGGCTTGCGGTCACCCTGAGCTCTCAGAACTCGCTCAGCGAATTCCCTGACTTGTTTATGTGTAGGAGAGACCCCTAGAGTGTGCTGAATGCGAATCTACTCTGCCAGCCGGTCTTCCTGCCATTGATTTAGTCTCTGAAGCTCGGAAAACGCGGTGAGTCTGCTCTGATGCCCCTTGAGTCGACTTCGTATTGTTGATCGTGGTACAGCCCAGTTGTCGTATGGTCACAAGGTGGGCATCGAGATATTTGATAGAGAACGGTTATCCATTGAAAGTAGAGAATAGGTACGAGGCTTGCTCTTAAATAATGATGATGATGATGATATATTTAACGTCTAGTAACAAAAGGACGTGCCGGGCGCTATACCGACATGGTCTATACTAATCTAAACTATATTATAGGCTACCGTCTTTACCTAACGTTCCTATTCAATAAGTCGGGCAAATTTCGGAAAAGAAATTAGTCTCCTCTATCTATTCGCATAGAAGAGAGGCTCCCTTAGCAGAACCTAACAAGAAATCAATACTTACTTTGGCCATACGAATTAGCGGAGGTAGCGCGGTATAGCCTTACGTCCACGCTTACAGAAGTAGAAATAGACTGGTATCTTAGGTTTCCTACAGCTACAATTAAGCAACGCATCTTAATAAGCAAATCTCTCGTAGTATATTATAAAATCTCTAAAATAGGATCTTGCTACGTATAGCCTTCCTAATAAGTACCGAGGGAGGCGGAGTTCGGGCGGCTTAGGGTAAAGAATTATCTCGAGGTCGGCATATTACCAAGGGTATTAGGACAGCCATTTTCTGGCAAAGGCTTGGAAGGCAGCTGCTTTAGCTTGCCTTTCTAGGTACGCTAATAAGGGCTATGGTTAACGTACTTGATAAGCGAGCTGCCCAGACAAGCGAGCTGCCCACCCAACCGCGTTCATCCTTCCTCCTCACTTCTAATGCGTATCACGCCACAAATAATCATATCGTCACAAAGCAAAGAGACCTAATTGAACTTAGCAGTCGAGGCTATCCAAAAAAACCCTAAACTCAGCATTCGAGCCGCAGCAAGAATCTATTCAGTCCCCCCTAGGACCCTAGGCACCCGATTAAAAAGCACACCTACACAATAAGATACTATACCTAACTCACGTAAATTAACGGAGCTTAAAGAGGAGAAGCTAGTTAAGTATATCCTCAACCTAAATTCCCGATCGTTTCCTCCCCGGATTAGTAGTATGGAAGAAATGGCTAATCGATTACTCGCCGACCGCAACGCGCCCCTAGTTAGGAAGCGCTAGGCTTTAAACTTCGTTGAACGATAACCACAGCTCCGGACGCACTTTTTTCGCAAGTACGACTTTAAGAGGGCCTAATACGAAGATCTAGACGCGATAAACGCATAGTTTCGGCTTATAGCGAACACAATTACGAAATACGGCATTATAGACTCCGATATCTATAACTTCGACGAGACTAGGTTTATGATAGACTAGATTATATCCGGGATGGTCGTCACGAGTGCCGAAAGGCGTTCAAATACAAAAATAATATAGCCTGGTAATCGTGAATGGGTTACAGTCATTCAGGCCATCAGTTCGTCAGGCTATAGCGTTCCGCCGTATATTATCGTTATAGGCTAATATCACCTCTCTACCTAGTATATAGAAATAGATCTCCCACGCGACTAGGTCATCGCAACGTCTAAAAACGGATAGATAATAAATGAAAGAGGCCTAGACTGGCTCCAGCACTTTAATCGGTATATAAAACCGCGTATAACTAGCAATTATCGCCTCCTCGTTGTCGATAGGTATGAAAGTCACCACTCTACGGACTTTGAGATATATTGTAAGGAAAACAATATCGTCATACTCTACAAGCCGGCCTATTCGTCCCATCTACTTCAGCCCTTAGACGTTGGGTATTTTAGGCCATTAAAGACGGCTTATAGTCGACAAATTAAAGATAAGATGCGCCGGGTGTTACGGCCAGCTAGTCGTAGGGGTAGTTTGCAGAAGTTGAGGCTGCGGAACTGGTAACAGTAATCGTAGTCGTGGAATAGTTTCAAGGAAACTATGTCTGTCAATCGTAAGGGCAGGTAAGGCTTCGGTGATCAATCGTAGTCTTGTCAAGGTAGTAGCTGAAAGCGGATGTTAATCCTGATACGAAGTTAATTGCTGAAGAAGCTATGGGAAGTCTGTCCTAGAGCCCGGCTCGAGTCCATCCTATATTGTCGCAGCGCCACACGTGGCGCTGCCGGTTACTGCCGTACGATACCGCTTTCCACAAGCCCATTACCCGTCTTGTACGGTATATAGATAGGACCCTCATACGGGTCTTCCACTTAGAGGAATCAAGCCACTTTCTACCATACAAGTCTTCCACTTGCTACCTCGCTTTGTGATATATATACAAGTCCTGATCCTGAACATATCCTTTGTTGCCTGGTCACCATGTTCGTTGGTGATCACTAAGTGGATACTGGTGAGCGCTCACTTTGGGTGATCACTGTGATCACCTTATCGTGTGCTCACTTTGGGTGATCACTGTAATCACCTTATCGTGTGCTCACTTTCCTTATCGTCACGTGACTTGTTCCATAGTTCTTCCGTTCCATGAGGAGTCACCTGAGTTCCCGGATTCTCTGCGTATATCAGGTAGATAGCCGCCGCAGGCCTGTGGGGCGGGCCCCCTGGCCTTGTTATGCATGTTGGGTTGTAACACTATACTTTATAAGTTATGCCTATTGCTGCGTACCATAACTCGTGACAGATTACGACGATCAGCCCCAGCCTTCTAAAGGTCGATATGAATGCAATAATTATAACGATCGGTTCTAGGACGAGCAGGATCTCCGCTAGCACGAGGTCCAGTACCACAATTACTGCGATCCCTGCGACCGCTTTTTCAGCAACCAAAACAACATCCGGCAGGTAAGTCACTTCCACCCATTCTCGTTCTCTAGCAGTCCCACTCATGGCAATCAGCACTTGAACTTCAGTGTTCATCGCGCCATCAGCGACATACAGTGCCCCTTCTGCAGGCAGACCAGCAACACCGCCACCGGTCTCATCCACCACCTCGAGCGAGGTGCCTGTCCCAATGCTCCTCTTGACCGCGACAAGCTCTACCAGGCCGTCCGCGCCCGCGACCCCAACGGAGTCATCTCCAAGAAGCTCCTAGAGTGGCACGCATCTCCCACCTACCCTCCGGGAGGTCTGCCGCAAGGGCGGCTGCGCCCTTGCCGCCATGGCGTTAAATAGAACAACACAACAATCCCACCTACACCGCCACTGACCGGACTCACAACTACCACATCGGCGCCTACGAGTGTTGTCTCTGCCACCGCGCCTTTTCAACCCTCAATGGCCTCAACCAGCACCTCAACTCCCCCACTCATCAGCAGAAGCTCTACCACTGCCCGAACCATCGTTGCGGTCGTGAGTTCACCACCCTCGCAGCGGCCATCAACCACCTCGAGAGCGAGTCCTGCGGCTATATGCGCTTTAAGGCAGTGCAGCAGAACGTGGGGCAGATTCTTGATCCTCGCCGGATGCTTTCTTTCTCATGGAAGGTGCGATACTTGTGAGGGTATGCTTGGAACAATTGATGTACGATGTGCGAAACTGGGAATGGGGCTGTCGAGGGCCACAAAGATACTTTAACGAGACTTGCTTTGAGATGATACGGAAGGGTGGAACCTAGGAACTTTAGCGGATGTTGCAACCGTCTCAGCTGATCAAATCGTTTGTGCGTAGATTTCCTCAACAATAGGTCAAGAGAACAAATGGAAGACTCTTTCTGTCACTGGTTCGATTCCTAGTCACGGTCCGTCACACAAACAAAGCACAGGTGTCGTCTCCATTGAGGCTCTTTCAGATGGTCCGTTACCAATCAATGGGTTGACTTGCTTTATTGACGGCCAATAGGGTGAAGGCGGTTCCAAACGAGATCTGGGCTCGCTTATCCGGTCCTACCCATGATTTTGGGGGAAATGCGGACTCACACCCTCCGAAAACCACGCCCACCCCGGCACGGCACCCCGGGATCAGAGGTTATGGGGCCGCCTGTCATTGGTGCCATAATAGGCCCTCGCCTGAATGAGAGTCGGCGTCCAAGACACACTGCGCTTGCTCCCGCCTTGTCAGTCTCAATCGGTAATGTAGGCCAACGGAGCCCGAAAAAATGACACCTAACTCGGAAGGCGACTTGCAAGTATGTTCCTTGGACTCCAGGTCCCTATAAGGGCATTCAAAACCAAACCGAAATTGCGTTCAGAGTTAAGTAGTGTCTCTGCGAAGTCAGCTGGTCCTCCTCATAATTCAAACTGCGCTATGCTTCGGCTACCCAAGATTACAACTCCTCAAGAGACAACAAGGTCCTCGAAAGCAGTGGCATATGCCCAAGGTCGCACGGGCTTAGAGAAAATATTCTGAAATTCGTCCAGCATGGGTTTAGAACAGAGGCGCAATGGGGATGCAGATACCGACACCGACACTTCAAACCCCACACACCCAACACTCAACACTATCGACTTTAACCTTCAAATCGAAGTCGAGGAGATTCTCACCGACGTTGATCCCGATATCTCTCTAGAACTCCTGCAGAAGGCCGAAGCCCATTCTGGGAAGCCCCCTCCCACGCGCATATCGAGAGAAGCGCTCGTCAGCACGCACAACGACTATGTCGAGCAGCAACAAAAGTCTGGGCAGCAGAATGGACCGCGAATGGTGAAGAAAGTAGTCCTAGCACTCTCGTACCCGCCGTCTGTGAAGTCTGTGGAGCAGCTCTCGCCGGTAAGTGATTCACTCAGGCTCGAGACAATCTCGCAAACGGCTAACCGTGTTTAGATGCGCCTTGACGAGCTCCTGGTAGAGAATCATCATGAAGACAAGTACCTAGTCCTCAGGACAATCGCGCAACCTTACTCGGGTGCCGGTACAATTACTATCGTCGAAGATCAGCATAGCAGCGTCGATAAGATGGCTCTCTATAACCAGGGTAACTCTACAATCTTGCAGTCTATCCCGGAAGGCTCGGTAGTACTTGTGAAGGAACCGTACTATCGATTCAGCGGCGACAACGATTTCATGCTTTGCATTGACCATCCATCAGACATTTTGCTTCTTCGGCAAGGTCCGGATGATGCGTTTATTTCGGAGGCATTCAGGGCGGTGCCAGAGTCCGAGATTGCAGCGGATTGGAAGGTTGCTGGGGATCGAGCGTTCATCACCAAGAACCTTCCCTTAGCAGTAGCAAAGTAAGACTAAGCTACCGACCTCTTTCTCTAATCCAACCCCTTCTTACGTTCGTTTTATAGTTACACCAGAGCTCTCGAGCTAGCGCCAAAAGAAGACACCTCCTTCCGGGACGACGTTCTGTTGAAACGAGCAGGCATCAATCTTACCCTCGAGTGTTTTGGTGGCGCACTATCAGATGCCTTCTCGTCGACAGGCGGATCTTTAGACTGGAAATCACACTTCCTTGCCGGCAAAGCAGCTTATGGACTCACCGATTTCCACACTAGCAAGCAACACTTTGAGGCGGCCCTAGAACTCAAGCCCGAGGCCGCTAACATCCGCAAGGAATACGAGAGGTGTTTAGCGAGGCTCGAAGAAGAAAAAGGCAACTATAATCTGGCGAGCATGACAGCAGGCGTCACGTCAAAGAACATCCACATTGATAGAGCAAGCTTCTTATCACGGACTGAAGTCAGGGATTCGCCACACCACGGTCGGGGTCTCTTCGCCACAGAAGACATCAAGGCCGGCGAAATCGTCTTCGCAGAAAGAGCTACCAGCGTTCCGAACGAATTCAACCCAGAACACAACGCAGCCGCAGCTTACGCTCAGCTCGTGGAGCTGTGCGCAGATAACCCGACAATCCATAACAAAGTGCTCGACCTCCATGGAGGGTCCTACAAGCGCAGCGGTCAAGAAGGCACCCTCATTGATGGCAAGCCTGTCATTGACGTCTTCCTTCTCGAGTCCATCCGCCGCAAGAACTGTTTCAGCGGCGCCCAGGTGTCGGCACAAGCCGCGAATCCGGAGTGGGATATGTGGAAGCAGGGCATGTCGCGTGGGCTCTGGGTGTACTCAGCCTACGCCAACCACGCGTGCCTTCCCAATGCCAACAGGTCCTTCATTGGAGATATGCTCATCGCCACGGCTACTGTCGATATTCTCGTAGGCACGGAGATCACGCACATTTACCTGCCTCCCAAGGCGGCATATCTACTCCGCATGCCGCAGTTCCGCCGTAGCTGGGGTTTCATGTGTAGCTGCGCCCTTTGCGCCGGCGAAGCCAAGTCCGCAACCGAACTGCATCAGAAGAGAAGCACTGCTCTTGCGGAGATCGAGGCGCTGATCAGGACGAAGCGTCCTACCAAATTCTACCCTGACGCGACGATCCGACAGATTGAGAAACTTACAAACAAGCTCTCTGCTCTTCACGAAAAGGCAGTCTACGACGATCTCGCTTTACCACGGTTGATGCTCGTCTGGCCGACAATGTGGCTCGTGGAAGTATGGCACACCAGAAAGCAGTGGAACAAGGTCGTCAAGTGGGGGAGTGAGGTGTTTCGCAACTTTGGCTTCGTCGAGCCTGTGAGGGATGGGAGGTTGTGGATGTATAAAGACACGCAGGCGGTGACAACGTTTGAGGTCATCAGAGCGTTGAAGTGGTCAGCTGAGGCGTACGCGGCACTTGGGGAAGAGCTTTTGGCGGGGGATTGTCTGGATGCTGCACGAATTGGGTTGAAGACGATGGTTGGTTTTGTCACGGATGAGACGTTTGCTGCTTTCAAGTGAAGCGGCTGTCTTTGTTGGCCTGTCAATGCATCGGCCCCGGGCCATGCCGTCATGTTCTCCGCCTTCCTCACATCAGCCCGGACGTTCTGCTCGTTGGGTAACTCACGTATCACGCTTCACACAAGGAACCGAACAATTTTACTTGCGCTATTTGTTTATTTCGCAGACAACAGGTACCAGAGTCTTGGCAAACGGCGCTCCTCTTGGCATCGCGGACGTTGAGCATGAATCAGGACATAGCGTTATCGCTGCGAAGAACCCCTTCTTGGCACTTCAAGGTTTTCAACTGTGTGAACTTTCCCAGCCATCAACCTGTCAGACTGTTGTCTCCCCTCAGAATCTTGAGCACGTGGGCTCCAGGAATTGAGTTTCGATGTGTCTTATGGGCCTTCTGGGCACAGCATTGAAAGTCGACAGTCGCTTCTCACTTCTTACTTCGCTATATCCCTTGTTTTTGAGCACATTTATCCAATCGTTACGTATTTCCAAGTATGTCATCTATTCACAAAAGGAAACGCACCGCATTGCCTTCTCCAACGATGTTACCTGCCGCAGTCCATCCCAGGAAGCCTCATGCCCGGTGCAACGAAGGATCATATTCCCCGCGCGTTCAACCTCCACCCACCAACAACAACACCATCCAACTCTGCGACATCACCTCAGATTCCTCGCAAATGTCCCCGACAGACCAGGAAATAGGTCGCGTGCTTATCGTTAGCCTGTGAGGGGAAATCGTCAATGAAGCGGGGTACGCAGCAGTGAAGCTGCAAGCCAAGAGTCCTTCTGCCATCGATGCTTGGCTTCCCCCACCTCGTGGGAGGGAGGTCAGTGCTTCCTCGGACAACGCCGATCCCAATCGTCGTGATAATTACGGTTTCCTGTTGCTGCGATGAGTGAGGTGAGTCCCCGCCGACGCGCTTTCTTCCCCAACTCAATTCATGCCGGCCCCGGGAATGTGGGAAGGAACTTTGCGCGGCAATTACTTGGACCTTCTATGTTAAGTTAGACGCGTGATCGTGACTGAGGAGGTTTAAACCGACCGCCCACGATGTCTTGGCTTGTGTATATGATCACAGTCCCGCCTCTCGTAGACACGGCCTCCATTGCCAATCCAACGTTCACCCCAAGTTCATCCGATCTTGGCCTTTACCTCGTGGACTGTGCTCCCCCTCCGCCGTAGCATCCCACGATGTCCGCCATCGCCCTGGTCCTCTTGGCGTTCGCGCCCTTGGCCACCCTCGCCCAAACCTTCCAACGTCTCGGCGCCTGCCCAGACCTCGGATGCGTTTTCCCGCCTGACCAAGCCCATTTCCTCCCCGGCCAAAACTTTGACATCCGCGTCGAGATCCACGCGCCGGTGAACGGAACCGAGGCCTTCAACGACGGCGTTCCGGACCCGGAGTTTACTCTCACGATTGCGAGCAATAGCGTGCCTGAGGGCAAGTCTGTGACTGAGTTCTTCAGGATCGAGGAGGAGCCTGAGCTGGAGACGTGGACTTTCTCGTGGTATGAGGATTTGTTTGCGCAGGATGCGGGGAATGCGTCCGTGGTCAATGTTGCGTCCAAGGCGTACCGTCACTTGTCGTTATATGAGCCGGGAAACTACACGGTTGAGCTCAACTATTACAATGGCACGAAGAAGACGCTGGCTGAGTGGTTGGTTCGTCCTCTTGCTGAGGAGAAGAAGGCCAAGAATGTCATTTTGTTTATTGGCGATGGTATGACGACGAATATGATCACGGCCGCACGCCTGTTGGGTCACAAGAGCGTTAATGGAAAGTATCAGTCGAGGATGCAGATGGATCAGTTTCCCATCTTGGGACATCAGATGGTGAGTTTGTTTTTTGGCGGAGGCAAGAAGGCGAGATCGACCGTGTTGCAGTGCTAAATTGAGAGCAGACACACTCCGTCGACAGCTTCATCACGGACAGCGCCAATTCTGCGTCCGCGCTTTACTCTGGTCACAAGGGTACATCAGACTCCATGGGGTGCGTACATGAACGAATGCCTTGCGAAAGAAACCGAATATTGATTGTTTTGTAGTGTGTACTCCGACTCATCGGCCGACAACTTTGACGACCCCAAGGTCGAGACGATCGTTGAGATGGTGGTTCGCGTCTGGGTATGTCGTCTTTCATGAAGCAACGACCATGCTTTTGGTAGCCAACAACTTCGTAGGGATCTGCTTGGGGCGCCGTGACCACAGCTGCCCTCGACGACGCCACTCCAGCAGCATTGACTGGCCACAGTAGATCTAGATCCAACGCCGGCTCGCTGATCGACCAAGCCCTCAATGGCATGACGAACTACTCTTGGAGCAGCCACCCCGGTCCCGACGTCTACTTTGGCGGCGGTGCCTCAACTTTCCTCCCCGGAGCAACGTCATACGAGGGCAAGGACTTCTACGACGAATTCCTCAAACAAGGCTACTCCGTGAGCTGGAACGCTACGTCCCTCCGCGAAGCACCCGTCGATTCCCCAGCCTTGGGCGTCTTTTCCACCTCTCATCTGCCCGTCTGGCTCGACAGGAAGATCTTCAAAGACAACATCGCCGAACTCAAGACCCATCCCTCCGGAGACGGCTCGGCGCCGCTCGATCTCCCAGGCCTGAAGGACATGACCCTCAAAGCCGTCGACATCCTCCTCGAGCGCAGCAATGACACAGGCTTCTTCCTCATGTCCGAGGGCGCCTCCATCGACAAGCAGATGCACGGGCTAGACTACGACAGAGCCCTCGGCGACCTCCTCGAATTCGACACCATCCGCGCAACGGTGAAGAAGCTCAGCGAGGCCGGTGAGCTCGAGAACACGCTCATCGTAGTGACGGCCGACCACGGCCACGGCTTCGACGTCTTTGGCGTCGCTGATACAAAGTACCTCGCCGCGCAGGACACGGATCGCAAGAAGCGCGACGCGATTGGCATCTATGAGCGTTCCGGCCTGTCGCAGTATACCGTCTCCCGGCCCGATGGCATTGAGTACGGCACCGGTCCCAACTTCCCGTCCAACTGGAGCCCACGCTATGCTATTGCGCCTGCGTTTGGTGCCAACCCCGATCGGAATGAGAACTACCAGCTCCACGAGTCGCCGCGTCGCGTGGCGGTTAGCGGAGAGGATGGCTATGTTGCGAACCCCGAGGACGGCGAGGATGGTTTCTTCGTTCCGGGTACGATCCCGACGTCGTCTTCGTCTGGTGTCCATTCCCTGACTGATGTGCCCGTCTTTGCTATGGGACCTTGCCAGGAGACGTTTGCTGGTGTGTACGACAACACGGACGTCTTCTTCAAGATTGCTTCGTGTCTTGGACTTGGACAGTCTTCACCGACACCCAAAAGGAAGTGAGGGGACAACATGGGTTGGAGGCCGGGGTACTGGTAGATAATTCGTCATGAGCAATGCTAGACCAAGTCTGCCTCTCGATGACGCGTATGCAGAATCATCTTGCAGCAATCAACATTTTCCGTTCCAAACTGCAGCCTCTGTGCATCCTTTACCTGCCACACTTCTTCCATGTCTTCTTGCACTCGTTGAAGGGAGGGAAGTTGCCTGTTTTGATACATCTCCCTGATCCTAACAAGAACCATTTGACGTAGGCGAGTCTCGACGGATTCGCAGCCGCCAGTCCATAGGGGCCACGCATGAGCAGAGACAAAGGATGACGTGATGGGCACCTTCAACAGGTGGTAGATGCACTGCTCCGCGTAAAAGGGCTTTGTGGAAATCTCTCCGTCGTCCCAAACTCGGTAGAGGTAGACGATTGCCGCGTGTTTGTAGGCTTGGATCGTGTGCTCAATGTCTGGATCGCCGTCGTCGGAGAAGTCGACTTCCTGCAGGCTTCGTTTAATGCCGTATCCCCTCTTCTGGTGCTCTTCGCCGCTTTGTCCTTGCATTTTGCTGATGGTACTGACGAGGGAAACGACGGAAGTCAGCTTTGCCAGGCTGTGCAGGCCCTCGAGAGGCGCCGCATTCGTCATGCTCAGCAGCGGCTTCGATGCGCGGGAGATGGATGACATGACGTCGTGGTAGAAGCAGAGACTGAGCAGAAACTGCGCGCTCGAAGTGTTCCAGTTCGCTGGCCCCCCTGAGTGCATGATGACTGCTTTGGCTCCAGCCAGGTGGTCAATCTGACTGTCCGTGTTGAAGAGCCGGTCCGAAATTTGGAGCATCAAGATCGTGGCTAGGGAGAGCTCGGGGTTCTCGGTTTGGATCGACTTTCGTAGCGATGATAAGGCGACGAGCATGTGTCGTGACGATAGCGTCCTGAGGTTGACATCATTCCGGAGGATGGCGAGGTGGCCTGCCGCCATGGAAGAGATTGAGAAGAGCAGGGCTGTGGAGCGGAGCATCATTGGCGTGAGGTGGACGAGGAAAGGGTTCTGTACGCCGGATGCCATGGATATCACACTGGCCAGCGATCCATTCCAATGATGTATCAAGTAGCGATTCATTGGCGAGATATCTGGCGATAAATATGACGGATTTCGGATGAGACTGTCTGGGCTTGAAGTCGAAGTTAAAGTCATTGAGCTGGAGCTAGGCGTCGCGGGCTGTCCATCGCTTGAAGGCGGCGTCACTTTACGATATCCAACAGTACCTCTGGGCTTTGAGCCTCTCTTCTTTGCAACTCTTCCGCCGTCTTTGGGGTCATCGGCCGACTTCCATCTCACTCTCAGCCCATACCCCTTGCATGTTTTGCCCAGTCGGACGCAGCGGCCGCAGTGCGGCTTTGCTTCATCGCATTTGTAGCCCTCGTCTCTGCCATTGAAGTTAGCATCAAGGTTCTATCTTCACGAAGTATTATATCTTACCGGCATGTGAGGCACCCTGTTCTACTCCTTGTGTGCGGCATCGTCGAGGTGGATTCCGGCACAAACACAGCATGATCTGAGGGGGGCCGATGGGTTGATTCTTCAGCAAAAGTGGGGTTCAAAGGCCGCTTTTTGCCAGCGGCGTTTCTCGCCTTAAGTCCGAAAGTTGGTGATCTTGGCGTTCACTGACGACTCATCTGCACGTCTCGTGTCACAGACTCGGTGAGCGAGAGAATATGATGTATCAACAGTTTGAGGAAGTCCATATCGCGTCGGGACTTAGCACGATTGAGCGATTCATTACACCCACAATGCCACGACCTCCTGGCCCCTGAGCAGACCTGGAACACCGGTTTTGCTGTGATTGACTTAAATACTTGTGATTACAGCTTCGAGCTCATACAGTCGTGACGTATCAAGGATTATGAGGGCCTCGAAATTCATTTTCCGGGGAGTTCTTACCACCCATTTTCATTCCTTTACATCCAAATAACCATTCTAATGACTGCGACGTGAGTCATCTTCCATGTAGCACTTGTTAAGACGCGAGTAGCAATTCTACGACAGGGCCGAAAACCTTCAACCAATTAGCAAAATGAGTGAGAGTTTCAGTCTAGTCAGCCATTCTTAAGAGGTCTCCACATCTTCGCTTGCCCGTGGTAACCATATCAAAATTATCATGATACTCGACCAGAGACCCGAGTCTCTACTGTCCAAAGTAAGTATGCTTCACTAGTCAATCTGCAAGTGAGAAAGAGCCCATAAGCATATCACCCTCGTCGGAAGAGATGGCGTTATCAAGGGTCATTCCCTTCATGCACGACACTTCCCCGCGCTTTTAGATTAGTGGCTGTTCTGTTCCATGGTTCTGTTGATTGAGTGTTTGCCAAACGAGATTTGTGACTTGTCTTCGGTGTGATGAAGAGCGATGGCTTGCATAACCGAAAACTTGCATGACGCTCTCCACGCCTCGTGTTGGTTTTGAACCATGTCAGATATTGCTCATAAGCCTAGGCCTGACCAAAGACATTAACTGGCTAATGCGCCCCGCTTAGGTTGATCGCCAAAGCCAGGGACGTCGCGAGTCCACGCGAATCCTTATAATCCTTATGATATGAAGAAGCCTCATGAGAAAGACTAATTGAACCTCTATACAGTCATATTATTGGCAATACATGAGGCTAGCTAAAGATGGCGCATGCTTCACCTTGGCATGAACCCTGAAAACGCACGCAATCGGACCATGGACCTTTGAGAGCAGTCTCCATCGATGCTAATTGGTACGTAAATGCGCCGTCATCGCCTAGTTCTATGGCTTAAGAATAGACCAGAAGATATCATAAGTCAGAAATGTATGCGTAGTGCGATTGCCAACAATCTACGTCGTCTTTGCCGTCTCAAGATCCGAGGATGGACCCAATGAAGAACTAACAGAAGCGAACATCTTCTTTTGTGCTACGCCTGGTATGGACAAGTTTCTGTAATCATGTTTACCGTGCATTCAAATCTCACCTGATGGTAAGGGCGGGAATGTCTCCCGAAAGCCCGGGCAGGGGCTAACGCTGTGGTAGTTGGCTGTTGGTCTTTGAGCAAGCAAACACTCGCATCATTTGTTGAGACCAACATGCCAGGCAACATCTTCCAATTATATCCATGGGATCTATTCCTCTGCATTGGTGGCAGTTCAAGGTCTTCCCACCAATGCATGTCGGTAGAGAGGACAATGGAATCGGGTCAGGCATGGGCATCCGGTTGGTTTTTGACAATCTTGGCTGCAGCTCTTGATCAGCCAGACAGCCTGTGTACCGTATGAATCCAAATAAAATCGGTGCATGGAAAGCTGTTCCTCATATTTGATCCCCCAGTCCCAGTTTCGTCTTGGCTACACCTTCTCATCATTGCCCGCTCGCGAAATTTGGTTAATCCGATCAGCCGTCTTCATGCATGTTGATATCAGATTATCAACCACCAGATTCGGAGTAGTCGGCACGGGATGTGCGACAGCCTCCAATCTCGTACTTCTTTCAGTGCTGTGCCGTTATCAACATTGGACAACTCCGTCTTAGTCCCTAAGTAGGAACAGGCTGCGATCAGAGCTTCACCCCGATGCTCGGCTAGGGAGTGAATACAGGGATGAGTGCTTTCTTTGATGGACTGAACATTTGTATGTTGGCCGAATGAGCTTGACAGATTGGTTGCTTGGCACACCTATTTACGAGCTATCCTTGTCAAATCCCATAAGTCAACCTACCCACTTTTCGTCATCCCCCCCTTTTCGCCACCCCAAAGATGCCTCCCAGCCTCCTCATTATTATCCTACCCCTATTGTTTAAACAACTATAATAATTACAATTTTCGTCTAAATATAACGTAGTTCACAAGCGAGTGAGCCACACAAGCGAGTGGGCCACTCCCTTATCGCACCTTAAAGGTCGATTTTTAACTATTTATTAAAAATCGAATATAAGGCTAAAATTAATAAACTATTTTACATAAGCTTTGATAAGGGCTATAATATAAAATATAATATTATACAAATCATATAACTGTTACGCCCGCCGCAACTTGTCACTGTGGGCGCGTAGCTATATAATGCAGAACAAGGGACAATGATGCCGGAGTCATCATTATCGAAGCTTTTGCTTTGTGCCATAGTTGGTTGCCTTGTCCAGCTCGTAACAATAACGTGCATGATAAGCGAGCGGATCGCTCAACAGCGACCGCCACATCTTTTTCTTTCCAACACATATCCATCCACCACAATAATACAGTCATCAAACAAAGAAGCTAGTATAATTCTAGCAGTTCAAGCTATCGAAAAAACACCAAATTTGAGTATTAAAGATGCAGCTCGGATCTACTCAGTGCCATTTTCAACCTTACGCGCCCATATTAATGGAAGAACTTCGCGACTTAAAACCGTACCAAACTCACGGAATTTGACGTTGCTCGAAGAGGATACGCTAGTTGAGTATATTCTCGACCTGGATTCCCGATTATTCCCTCCTCGGATCAGTGGTGTAGAAGAAATGGCTAATCGACTGCTCGCCGACCGCGACGCGCCCCCAGTTGGGAAGCGCTGGGCTTCGAACTTCGTCAAGCGACACCCACAGCTCCGGACGCGCTTTTTTCGCAAGTATGACTACAAGAGGGCCCAATGCGAAGATCTAGACGCGATAAACGCGTGGTTTCGCCTTATAGCGAATACAATCGCGAAGTACGGCATCGTGGACTCCGATATCTACAACTTTGATGAGACTGGGTTTATGATGGGCCAGATTGCATCCGGAATGGTTGTCACGAGTGCTGAAAGGCGTTCAAACACGAAAATGACGCAGCCTGACAATCGTGAATGGGTTACAGTCATTCAAGCCATCAGTTCGTCAGGCTGCAGCGTTCCGCCGTACATCATCGTCGCAGGCCAATATCACCTCTCCACCTGGTACACAGAAACAGGTCTCCCACGCGACTGGGTCATTGCAACGTCTGAAAACGGATGGACAACAAATGAAAGAGGCCCAGACTGGCTCCAGTACTTTGATCGGCATACAAAACCGCGTGCAACTGGTAGATATCGCCTCCTCGTCGTTAATGGGCATGAAAGTCACCACTCTGCGGACTTTGAGATATATTGCAAGGAAAAAAATATCATCACACTCTGCATGCCGGCCCATTCGTCTCATCTACTTCAGCCCTTAGACGTTGGGTGTTTTGGGCCACTAAAGACGGCTTATGGTCGACAAATTGAGGATAAGATGCGCCGGGGTAATACGCATATTACTAAGGAGGACTTCTTCCCTGCATTTCGCAACGCTTTCACGCAAGCCCTAACGGTAAAAAAACATCCAGGGAGGTTTTAGAGGGGCTGGGCTTGTTCCGTTAAGTGCTGAAAGTGTGCTTTCGAAGCTGGATGTGAAGTTACACACTCCAACGCCCCCAGGGTCTCTCCCAGCAATACCCCCAGCGTGGACTTCTCAGACACCAAACAACCCAACAGAGGCAAATTCTCAGTCAACTTTGATTAAAGATCGAATCTTAAATCATCCAAATAGCTCGCCAACACCAGCTAGTAACGCAGTTGACCATATCCTCAAAGGGACACTAGCTATGATGCATCGTAATGCTCTTCTAGAGGCTGAGAACAAAACCCTTCGGGAGGAGAATAATCTACTTAGCCGACGGCGGAGATCTAAGAAAACTCGTCTCAGGCAAGGAGGGAGCCTTACTATAGCTGAGGCAGATGACCTTCAATCACAGAGAGAGGCTACAGCTCAGATTGAGGAGGAAACGCGCCGGAGTAGTGGCCGTCGGCCGAGGACGGAAACAGGTCAACGGCGATGTGGCGTCTGCGGGAACACTGGACACAATGCGCGCACATGTCCATTTCAGAGAGAAATGTCTAGAGAAGAGGATTATGGGTAGTTTCAATTAATTAAACTTTGTTGATGTTGATCAAGATTTACATACGTGGAGTGGTTGCTGTCGAGCGATCCGCTCGCTTGTCCGATCCGCTCGCTTATCATGCACGTTATATGATTTGTATAATATTATATTTTATATTATAGCCCTTATCAAAGCTTATGTAAAATAGTTTATTAATCTTAGCCTTATATTCGATTTTTAATAAATAGTTAAAAATCGACCTTTAAGGTGCGATAAGGGAGTGGCCCACTCGTGTTACGGCCAGCTAGTCGTAGTGAGGTATGTTTGCAGAAGTTGAGGCTGCGGAACTGGTAACAGTAATCGTAGTCGTGGAATAGTTTCAAGGAAACTATGTCTGTCAATCGTAAGGGTAGGTAAGGCTTCGGTGATCAATCGTAGTCTTGTCAAGGTAGTAGCTGAAAGCGGATGTTAATCCTGATACGAAGTTAATTGCTGAAGAAGCTATGGAAAGTCTGTCCTAGAGTCCGGCTCGAGTCCATCCTATATACAAGTCCTGGTCCTGAACATATCCCTTATCAATGATCAGTTCCTCTGATCAGGTGAGCGCTCATTGTTCGGCATGAGCGCTCATGGCCCCACC